CTGTGAGCAATTTAAAGCCGCTGGCCTAAAAAATCAATGGTCAACGAACATCCTAAAAGCTTAAACCCAAAAATTCAACGAATATCCTCATTTCAAAGATTGCTTTTTAATCAATTGTAGTTTGCTCGAAAATTTTTGGAATGGAAGATATGTTTCTGCACTTTTTCAAGTTTTTAGCGTTATGGCTGGGGCCCAGGCTCATTTTTTATATTTGGAGCAGCAATGTACCTTTAGAGATTTCTGTAACATCCTATAGCAGAGCTGTCTCTTTATAACATTTAAACCTGCTGGATTAGGCTGTTTGCCAAATTTTAGCATTGTAATGAATGCGGTCACTGCCATTGGCTCCTCGGGTACCCAAAACGCTCAAATACTTCAAATGCCACGGTTTCCCTAATCGATGCAACATGATTACTCCTAAATTAAACAAAATATGGTCCATACTCACGCATTTAAAAAATTGCAACTTATGTGTCTCTCTACAATGATGCTGTTAGTAGCCACACGGACTGAGAGTGGAGCTTTAAAAATACATCGAGAAAACAGAAAGCAGAATATGTTCAGTGTATGAGGCATGGAAATAACTGCCTGAAATGAAATGCGGTAAGAGGAAATTGATAAAGGACTTATTTATTTCGCAATGTTTAAGGTGGCTTAATTAGGTACTGAAGAATTCTTAATTGAATAAAGTCATATGTATTATAGTGTGCTTCAAATTTCACCAATGTTTTAGATCAAAACTAGCCATATTTCAAAACTTCGAGTGGCTCAAAAGTGTAGAATATTTTTTATGTTTTGTCTTATGCCAATATATATATATATAAATATATTTGATATTTTACAAGCAACCGTTACTGTTATTGCAAACAGAGAGGGGTAGCTTGATGGGAAGAAATGTAAACTTAGTTACGAAAAATGAAGCAATACTTAAGAAAAGACTTGGTGAAACACTTAAGGATATTAGGTCAATTTAACATAACAGTTGGTTTCAAGGAAATACTTTAACCTTCAGAGAAAGATTAAGCTGTTTGCTTTGAGAATTGTATACACAGTACTCATTCTCATAATGAAATTCCGCTTTGTTATCACCATGGAGTTACTAGTTTTGAGGCTAAAATAATAAAGACGATATCAGTGCTTATAATTATAATACAAATCCGATAGTTTACAGGCAACAGGATTTTAAAGATTGTTATAACTTCCGGAAACAATGTAATGAAAGCGTGTTTGTGCTCCATAAATTTGCAATGTAAAACTCAAGTTCTGCCTTCTTGCTTTGCATTCTTTGAATCAAGCTGGATATGGCAATGCCACCTTAATGCTCCCCTAAGTTACAAATAAATGGTTACGGTACTCCCGATCGTTCCAACGTTGAGGTGATGTACTTTCAAAAGCCTATAATTGACTTTGATTTGTAAAAGAAGCTTGAAGCTTGATCCCCAAAAAGCCCCTTATCCTATGACAAGGCTTTAAATGAATTGGCCAAATGGATTCGTTCTGATAGCTGGCCGTCAAGTAACATTCCAGGAGAGTTTTATATTTGAAAGCACTTGACCTTAAGACCTTCTTAGGTGTTTTATTGCTTAATTTGCCTTCCAGTAAGAAAATGCTTTATCAAACATGGTGTATGTTTCTTTGATGTGTAACTATAGATCCTCGCATTATATTACACGGGCCGATGATAAATACGTCGTGAAAACCTGTCCTGGACGTGCTGTATAGCTGAGCATCTTAAAACTGATGGATACTGTTCCTTGACGAGCTCATTATGAATCTGAATCTTAAGCTCTAGATACCGATAATTATGAGAAAAACAAACTTTACGATATAGCAAGGAAGGGCAGGGTAATGAGCAGCTAAGAATGCCAGCGTGCAAAAGAGGCTCCCAGCATATCAGCGTTCATAACCAAACGGAAAACTGTTTTGTGTGCAAAACAACTCAGCAGCAGACCGCAGAATGCTGTAAAAGACTGGAAACTAAACTAGGGATTACGTGGGAAGATAGGACCACTGATCTATATCAGTGGATAGGACAGATCTTGGAATTTATGAAGCACGGGAAGCCGGTTAGTGAAATATAGGGTATAGCAGTAGACTTGGAAGTGCACTGGGCACTACTTCGAGCAGAATAAGGTAGTTTGAAAAAGGTAGTAGACCTGGGCTCCTGCGGAGTGGGATGGACGTGAGAGTGCAACAAACGTGAAATTTATGAAAAAATGATTGTCACCATATACTACAGTGATTTCACAATTTCAACATATCAAGAACTTTGACGTTTATAGTCTCAATTGTGAGGCTTTAGGGCATCTATAAAGAAGAAAGCCTGTTGGCCTTGTGTATTCCTAATCTAACACCCGTTTTTGGTGAACATAAATGCAAGAAAGTGAATAGTATGTTAAATCTATCGATTGAAACTGTGCAAATCTCAAAACTCGAACTGGTAGTTTCTAAAACATAATTAAACAGAATTGCCAAACCCCTAAAACAGAATTAATCACTGATTAATTTTGGATAAAAGAAAGATTCGATACTATCCACATGCCTTCTCGAAAAGACGACATCGTAACCTGTATGTTATCATCCTTTAAGAAATTCACATTCTTTTTGTATAGCCTCCCTTACAAACTCACTGCTTCAAAGTAGATTCAAGATGCCTCCTTCAGCATTGATTGTTCAAGTTCTCCCACGCTGTTGTTTTCTGTTCCATTGGTCATTTTAGCCTTATCGGCCTAATGAACTATATTTCAAGATGATAAGGAAAGCCTTTTTCTGAGTATGATACGGTGGGTACTGTAAATAATTATGCGCCAGGAACTAAACGATAATTTATAGTGCCTTTGAATTGGCCTATTTTTTGGTTGTTTTGATTTCCTATAATTTGTCAAATTTTCCTGGCAGCGCAGCTTGTTTTCAGAACCAGAAGCCTTGTTTCAATAGTTTCATCAAGTTTAAAAAATGAATTTAATAATTATGTTTCGGCAATGTTTCCAGTAAGAAATAGGTATTATCAGAGCAAAAATTGCGCGGTAAGGCGTATATCGGACCCCCTATAATAACCCGATTACAATTAACTATAATTACAAAGCTGGCCCGTCTTACCACAACCTACATGAACCATGAACACTGAACACTGAATTACATGAACACTGGTAGGCACAAGAGCTTATTCAATCCGACTCGAGATTAATTCAATATGGAATTAATTCCACATGGAGAAATGTGCACATGTACACTCGCAACTTTAATGGCAGGGGAAATTGAGGTGAATACTTAAATCTCAGTCGAGGACAGGATCGAATTTAAAGCTAAAAACGTGACAAGCAAGGTTAATTCTGGCACGAGATGGTAGCATATTTATAACGTTCAGTGTGGTAGGCCTGGCTAAAAGCCAAAACGAGGCCCTGTCATCAACACAGAAAGTACCAATAAGGTTGCATTATCAGCAAGAATTCAACTGATTCGAAAACTCGAGAATTCAACACTAAAAGAGTGCCCGTAGGCGCATGGAAAAAATCGTAAGTGACACGTTCTCGAGGGAATAATCTAGTCACCTTCAAGGTGAAAGAACGGATTATCGTGCGGCCTTCTAACACCAAGAAACAAAAGAAAGTCGCTAACAAGTGAAAAAACTTAACAGATATACAACGATCTTTTATGATGACACTTCAGTTAACACTTGACAATATCTTTTCTAGTTGTCAAGAATTAAGCAGGGGCAAGCCCTCTTTATATCTTAACGGACCAAGAACAGTGCATTTGATGTTTCAGACACACTGACAAGCAATGCGACTCAAACCAACATCATCATGAGAGCACTCACCGCAAGATGACCTGGAAATCCCCTCAGATTAGGAGTTAAATTGCTGCTGGCTGGTAGAGAAGCATGTGTCTGAAGTTCTACAGTAAATGATGTTTGAAAATTGCTAAAATGAGAGCAAAAGCATTCGTGAATCACCGAGTCAGATGAATTATGTAAATTCCACCAAGACACATCGTTGCATCTTCATAGCCGTGCGCAACAAGTCTCTTGTTACATAATTCTGGCTAAACAGAACAAAAAAACAGAAACAACGCCAAAGAATTGCGCGAAAAAATTACACTCGCGCTGAGGAAGCAACGAACAAATAGAAAACGAGTAGCAAATGTCCCAAACACTCCGTTAAAAAAGTATTTAAAAAGCTTCATAAATACAGAAACATTTCAAAACGAGGCTGTATGAAATTATAACATCAATAGAGTGACGCGAGCAGAGCCTTGGGTGGATAGTCTGTGTCCCAGACCCCTAACTTTCAAGCACAGGCGATGGGTGTAGGGAGAAGACTAGGAACTCCAAAGTCTAGGCCCGGCCTCAGTACGCCCTGGGCACACCTGGGGTTTGAGTCACCAAAACCTGGCATGCCGTCGGAAAAAACGGGAGAAGAACATTCTTCTCAATTCCTTTGTTTGTTTAAACGTGTCTGCAATTGCACTAGGATTACGCTTATGTCCTGGGCGTGGCTTACAGTTTGTCACCTTTAAAAGACTGAAATATACAGCGATGTATCGGACAGTTATGATCCTTTTGCTGACTTGGCATTAATAACAGATTGTAGGGTGTACGACATGATGTCTTATACCATAAACATTAAGGTATGAATAATTTTGAGTTTTGTCAGCAATCAAAGAAATTATGATTCTGACAAAAAATACTCCTGTCTGATATGCAATTATAAAATTCATATAAAACAGGCAAACATAACACGATTAATGAATGTAATTATGTACAAACCATTAAAAATATATATGAAATCATAAAAATATATATGGAAAAATATATATATATATAAAAAGCCTTAAAGAATGCTAAGGAAAAATACTGATGAAAGAATGTGAAGATTTTGGCCGGAATTATTGCAAGCAACAACAAAAAAACAGTGGTCAAGCGACCATAGAAAGATTGGAAATCAAAGTTTACTTTTCGCACGATTTGAAAGCAATGCACAGAAAAGAGCAAACAGAGATGGTGATGATTTTCATTGCAATCGAAAAGCATATGAAATATTGAAACTATCAACGAGAAATTTTAAAAACATAGTTATCCACGGTTGTACAAACAAATTTGGGAAACGGGAAGGTTTGCTACTCAAAGAAAAATGCTTTTCAAAAACCCCCAATAAAAATTGTTAAATTCGTAACGAGTTACAGATGTAGTAAGTAGAACTTTGGTGTACAAGACTAAATATTCTACCACAGTATTGTCCTAAAGTTCTAAGGAAACAGGAATAAAACGTTTAGGGGTGGCATGAATAACTTCTTGCTTGTACGAACGGATGAAAAATTCCTTTGTACAACATCTTCACATTGCGAGAAACATTGTTAATCATCGCTTGTCAATAATACTTGACAATTCGCATGAAAAATAGCTGAGCTCCTTGTACAGTGCAATACTAGCGACAGAGAGAGGAGATTTCGCACTATCAACATTTTAAATTGAGGAAACGGTGCTGTGGTCGACCTGTGAAAGACAAATCAACATGCCTGGACTGGTTTTGCATCGAAGTGGCAAAAAACTTTACAAAGTTTATGGCGAGTCAGGGAATTGCTTTCCTTTTATCATTCTTAATCTCGGTTGTGGAAAACGGATGTGATTTATCATGAATATCATTTTACTGGACTGAATCTTGTTTACTTAAAAATAATGTTTACAGCAAATTTTGAACATGTCCATTAGAGTTTAGCCTTTTTAATACTTTATGATAAATCTCTTCGGAAAAATACTTACAAAGGACTAAAAACGTCCAAACTGCCCTCAAAAGGAAATTTTCTATCCTCGTTGATCTTCTTTAAGAATTTCTTAAAATGTTTCCGGAACCGATCATCGAGCTTCTGCCGCTTCTGTATTTGTATAACAACGGCCTTTTTGGAAAACATTCTTGAAAATTAGCTCTTTTGAGAAACGCCTAACCTCGAGTCTAATAACCGACTCTGAGTCTGGACAGCTTCTTGCCATCTTTCAGCCATTCCGATCCTTACGGGTGTTCTCTTGCCTCGGCAGAGGTAACTTTTGCTCTAAAAGAAAACATTTTCAATACAGTTATTCTTCTCTTGAAAAAAATCATTGTTGATACAATGTTTCAAGAATATATTGAAATATATTTTTTGGGGTAATAATAAGAAATCCAGAGATTATCTTAAAGAGTTGTACAATCAAATGTCCAGTTCTGAAAGTTTTGGGAATTTTGAAAATTCTATATGTAAAACCCCCGTGTTTAAATTCTAAAACAAGGGTATATCAGAAGGGTATATCAGAGAAAAATCTTAACAGGGACATGATTTAAAAATGCTCCAATTTTAGATGCTTAGAGAAAGGATATCTTCTGTCCTTCCATTAATAGAAGGCATTGAAACATATGTAGCATGTGGCGTGGAAGAGTTCTTTATCAGAAAGAGGCGTTTACCAGAGAGAGGATTCAATTGCTTTCCTTCAAAGCAGGCAATCTAGAGACCTAAAGAGCAAAAATTCGTAAGTTACTTTTGTCACACTTACAAGTGAGTGGGCCTGATGAATTCATTTGAAGACTTGACTCTCGTGTACTTATTTCACCTTTGATGATCTGAGAAAAATTTCATTACCGATTAATATCTTGAAGCTTACTATTATATCCATTCAAATGAAACATACTACAATATACTACCAGACACAAAATATTCTTTCGTGCTTGATAATCAAATAAAACTAATCGCCAGCCTTGGTATTCAATTTTCCCGAATAGGAAGTCATGGAACTAAAGAAAACTTTCTTGGGTCTTAGATTCATAATGTCGCAAAAAATAGAAATTGCATCTAGAGGCGGTTCACTTGTGCCAATTAAATTAAAATGACAAATGTTATTGAAAAACCCCGTCAAGAAATACTTGTTTTAGAGAAACTCTGGTTTTTAAGCTTCAAACCTCAATTCTAGATTGAATTCTTAGAAGTTCATAACAGAAAATAGAGGTGTGTATAATGGAGATCCGGATGTGTATAGAAGCTAGAAACGATTTTATTTAGAGATTGAATGAACACTGTCAGCGAAATTGCGATACGGTTGACATGCTAGCATAATAGAAATAGCTGTTCGAAACAAATGATGCCTTAAAATTGACTTCCAAAAATTACAGTTTGACATGAAGATTTGACATAATAATAAGAGTCAAAATTTTCTTTAGGACATGTGACTACAATATTCCTTAAAAACTAACTTATAACGGTTTTAACAGCTACTTCAGTACAACTTACTTAATAATTGTTTCATTTTTACTAGATTTACGGTGACTTAAACCTAATCCTTCGTAGATTAATATGCTGTCATAGAAAATTTTATGGTAAATTTCAAAAATCACATGACCTAGTCAAGACAATGTCACATTCAATGGTACATCCTTCCCCATGGTTCATTCAACGACAAACATAGGTAATACTTTTATTTCTAAGTTTAAACGAAAACGTTCCCTATAAGGTTCACAAAAATAACCCTTTAACGATATATGTAAGATTGGATTTTGCATAAATACACAAGATACATTTCTAGGGGCAAAAGATAGCGAGACTTGAGGAATGCAAGTAGGCTGGGTTTATGGGCAATTTAGCCAATCAAAAGAGCCGAACAGCACAGCGGTCATGCTTTTTGACATTATGCAATAATTACCTCGTGAATCTATCTCTTGGCGGCATTCTTTGAATCTTAGTGTTTTTATTATAAGTTATCTTCTCCTTATTTCTTAAATGCTTGCAAGTGGTTACTAATATAATAAATCCAGTCATTCAAAGTTAGCTAATGAAATTTGCAATCATGTGTAAATGAAATAATTGAAAATAATATAATTTACCTGGATTTCATCAGTTTTAGGGATAGCATCATTGGCGAGGCATCCCATTTCGAAGACCTTGCCATTAAGCATAGGGAGACTTCTTTCGTCAAAAACTTTTCGCTTAGACGAGCTCCGATTAGTTACAGCACCATACTTGCAAGAACACTTCTCTCCTTTGTCATTCTTTTTTAACTTTGACGCTTCGCTCTTTTGTAGTGATTTATAAATATCTTTCAGGCGAATCCATTCTTTCCTAAAAGATAAGAACTCGTCTTACAGACAAATTTGCAACGTGCTGTCCGTAATCTGAGTTGAAATCGGCCATGCCAAATAAAATCCAGCCAAAGATATTAAGCTCCCATAGAATCCACAGCGATCCCTTAAAGGCGATGTTAAACAATTCAGAATCCATGTATCTTAAAAATAATGCCAGGGTAACGCCGAGCAAAATCGCATAAAATGCAACTAATGCAAAATACAAGGAACGCGATCCCATCCTGCTAATAAAGAACGTTGGCTTCTTAAATAAACTCAGTATGCATGAAAAGACCGTTGTTACGAATCAATTAAGTTTAGATTTTTTGACTTAATATAAAAAAAGTTTTAACAAATATGCCGACGAACAAAATCTACCAAAGACTATGTCAAGGTACCTACTTTGATATCACATACAAGGGAGGAATTTCTAATTCATTGTATTCCTTGACCTTCTTTTTTCTTTTCCGTTTTCGTTTGCCGTCCTTTTTGCAATTGGCCTCCACTTTGATTGGAACTGACTTATTACAAGTCTCGGCTTCAGTATTAGCACCAACTAAGTTCTTTTCAATAAGAGGCCGGTTAACACTACAATGCTCCAAGTTTTCATTAGAATCGTCCTTGCTACAAAGAAATTTGTCCTCAGAATTATGATCCGATAGCTTATGTCGTTTCCTAGGGGCCTGTATTTTTCCCGCGTCGTCTTTCCAATCGCCAGCAGATGATGCTGACGATGATGTGCGCCTCCGTTTCGACCGGCAAACACTGTTTTTTTCTGTGTCGTTCGATTTACTGTGCCTGTCATATTCAACTCCATTTGGTTTGTTCGTCATACAGTAAACAGTGTTGAATACCTTAACAAGAAAGAGAAAACAAAAATCAACCATTTTTAAGGCAAAGACAAGATTTTAGTAAACAATTGGGCTGGCTCAAGTTGCAGCTGCCCCGCTCAATTCAATCTGCCAGTTGAGCTGCATAAAACTTTAAATTAACAAGCAAAGCTAAAAAATTAAGCTTCGTTTAAAACAGTCAAAAACCTTCACAAGCAGCGCCAGGTGTGACAATAATCCAAGTTACCAATTAGAGGTTCATACCAGACCCAAAAAAATCATTCTCCAAAAGGCAAGAAACGGATTCCTTATGTTCATTAAACATTGTTGATAATTCTGAGATTTATAAACTTCTAGTATATTGAATAGATGGTTGTGCCTAGGGATGGAAATCGATGTAATTACACAAAATGTATGAAAAAGACCAGAGAAAAGAAAATTAAAAGGCGTGTTCCGAAAAGCTACAAAAAAATGAAATATATGAATTTCAGGCGACCTGAAACAGGCTAGGGCTACAGGACAAAAAGCAATGCACAACAAGACACAAATTTAAGTATCGTATTTTTCACTTAATGCACGATTTAGTAGATTTTTGAGTTTCCAATTTACTTGATCAATGGGCGAAAATTAAGCACATGATTGTAAATCATTGCTTGAGATCTCTGACTTTAATAGTTTTGATTTGAAAACAAGAGCTCTCTATACTATCAAAAGGAAGGGGTGAAGTTCTCAACTTTTGGGAGGACCAGGGTAGTGGTTGCAAAGGCATGAATCTTTATTATCATTTCAAATAATTTTAAATATAGCAATGTGAAAACACTGATAATCAATTATGTTTTTGTGTGTAAGGTAGGGCAGTTCAAGCTGTTACTCTTGGTTTTAAACTGTATGCAACAATTAGACAACATGTTTATCGGCTAATCAATACTGATATAGAAATAGGTGGAAGCATTGCATCATGTGTTTTCCTTATTTTCTGCCAAGGTACAGTGACTTTGGGTAGTACATCAGGTAAAATGTTTCTAGCTTCTTGTGATTATTAAAACACTCTGTCGTTGATCTACATTAGATGACAAGTTATAAATACAAACCTGACAGGCCTTTTCTGCTTCTGTATCAGTTTTGTATTCAATAAATGCAAAACCCTTGATCTCCTTTGAATTCTTGTATCTGGGAAGACTGTTTTGAAAATATAATACACTTACTTTAAAAATTATTGGGAAACCTTCATAAAAGAGCTAGGATGCTGTATTTGTTTAGGTTTTGCAACAAAAAATTGTCAAGATATGGGCAGCTTGTTCTTTATATAATTACAGTTTAAGATATCCTTAAACAATGCTTTTATGTTGAAAAAACACTGTCACTTTTGAAAAATAAAGGTAAAAACATGGTTATATACAAACATGGAAAAATGTAAACACAAGTTGAATGGTCTAGTAAGGGCAAAGACACATGACTGTGAAAGTTGTTCAGTACTATTGTGAACTCTAGTGGCTCTGCCAATTATCTGAAACAGGTAGTCATTATAGACCTTGGCACAATCTGGTCTATCTAAGAGATGCTTTCCAATGGCAGAATCACTTGTTTTAAGGGTTTTTCTAGACCTAAAAATTGAAGGAGTCAGTTCTCTATTAACAAAGAACGATTTATTGCAATTTTATCATATTTACTCGTTGCTCAAAAATTAGTAGCTGTTAGAAATTAACAAATTATGTTCAACAGAAACATAAAAATCTTTGAATTGGTTGACAAACAATGGGTTGAACAGAGAAGGTACCAAGAAAGAGAAGGTACCAAGAAAAGGTTACAGTTTCATGTTAAGGTCATTGTGTTTTTATGTACTTGTATGTATCTGTGTACAGAATATCACTTTGCAAAATTGTGTTATCTAGTCAATGATTTCAAAAATAACTATGAAAATTTGATGCAATAAAAAAACTTTGACAACTACCTTATATACTCAATATGTCCACAGCAACTAAAGACATCTCTAAGCCAACATCGGTCAACAAAATGTGGGAGTCGTTCCTGGAAAAATTCCAAAGCAAATCTATTAATGATGCAAGCATTTTCACAAGACCTCCTGTTATCTTTAGTGAAAAGCTCCATTTCTACAAAGGACAAAGAAATGAATACACTTATCTGGGGGGAGTACAGGGTACAGGCCTTCATGACTCCCAAGCTTAACGCCTCTGATAAATGTATTGGTAATAAATAAACTGCAATATTAGGTATGCAATGGTATCATTCCAAAATATGCATATGTATCACTTAGATAGCTACATAATTCTGTTAACAAGTCTTTTCTACTATCTTTAACCTAAATAATGTATATTTCCTTCCAGTTATCCCTCTCTCTCTCTTTGGTGCCATATCATGAGACTTTGACGATCACACTTTGCCACAATTCTCTGTTCTTAGTCATGTGTATTAGATCTGTCTTCTTGATTTTTATACCATTTGTTTGGATCCATCCAGCTAGGCTATTCATCCACAGTGTTCTCTACCTTTCTTCTCTTCCCCTCTATCTTTCCAGTTAGTGGCAAGTTCCCAAGTCCCTCTTTCCGAAGCACATACCCCAAGAAGCGCATCTGTCTTATTCTGATGTCCTTAATAAGCCTTCTATTTACACCAGCTCTTGCAAGAACTTCTTCGTTGCTCACCTTGTCTGTCCACGGTATTCTCATCATCTTCCTTACAAACCATATCTCACAGCTTCCAGGTGCTTCTTCAAATTTGCTGTTAATGTCCAAGCTTCACTCCCATAGCCCAGGACCGGATAGACATAACAGTTTAGCACATGAAATCTCATTGACATACTCATCTTGCAGTTTCTCAAAATGTTATCCAATTTTCGAAATGCAGATTTTGCTAATTCTATCCTTCGATTGATCTCTGCAACACACCTAGCATCTTCCGTTACTAGGCTGCCTATATAGCTAAAAGATGAGACTTGTTTAATTTTCTGGTCCTTTACTCTCACCATGAACACAGGATGTTCCCTTTTCTTTGAAACAACTAAACACTCTGTTTTCTTAAAGTTTATAGTCAGACCATTTTTCTCACTCTCTTTTATGACAACATCAAAAAGCTTTTCTAGATCACTGGCAGATTCAGCTAACAAAACTGTGTCATCTGCATACCTTAAGTTAGTGTTAAGTTACTTGTGTTAGTTCCAGTTATCACTAAGGTCTAACAACAAAACTGTCCAAAGCCTTTATTCAAACTCTAATACTTCTACAAAAAAAACTCACAACATAAACTGTTCTTGTTTCAGCATCTTCCTGCTTGGGTAGTGGAGTTCTCCTCCTAACAAGAGTGCACTCTTCATTCATCTGGCAGTAGAGAAAAATTAAAGAATGATATAAGCTGGATCATCATTCAAAACTGATGAAATATCATTGAATTGAGAGCAAACATAATGCAAACTAAGAAAATTTGTATAATACATTAATAATGTATCTTTGTGGCTTATGTTCACACATTTTTAAACTAAACCATTTGTTATTTTTTACAGAACTAGTTAAAGATTTCTGATTTGTAAATTCATAAACTACATGAATTATGAATACAATGTTGCAAGGTTTTCACTAATTTTTGAAGAAGAAGACTCACATTTAAAGCATCTATAAGTTTAATAAAGTTTGTGCAGTCTAACTAAAGTGAGGGTAAGAGTAGGTGGTGGAGGTTAAGTGAGGAAGCAGCAGACTTTTGCCAGTTGCCCACTTCTAATGAAATTGTGAATGTTGTGAAATTTGAATCAAATTTGAAAAGAATATCTCATAATTAATGTCTTCAAAAATGACATCTGTTATTGTGATGCCTCAAAAATTGAGGTCGCAAAGTTTTCTTTAAATTAATGATCATACAAATTTTTTCGCTTTGCATTTTTTAGAGTTGCAAATTGAGTTAAAGAAACAAGTAGCTTCCTTACCTCTAATAATGGTGAATTTTTAATTGCTTTCACTATTAGCTTCAAATTTTCAGATATTTTCTTAACCTCCTTGAAGCTTGCGATGAGATCGATTGACACAACTGAAAAATGAACTATAGTTAGGTGACAATTGCTAATTAAAGCTTAGAAAGAAGAAACAAGTACAATCCTGGACAAAAATGTTGAGACAAAATGCAATTTCTGTAATTTTCTAATTTACCTTGCCCCTGTAAATTGAAATCCCCCTTTTCCCCGAAGCAATGCTGGATCTGTAGTTCTATCATTTCTCCTTCAAAATCATGCATTCAACATTGAATTGGGGGAGGGGGAAAAGTTACTTTTTAAAGGAAAGAGAAAATATAAGCTTTTCTTGAAAAGTCTTAACCATTTTTGTCTGGGCTTGTAGATAGAAGGAACACTTTTCATTTTATCTACAGCATATTATGAAATGTTGTAAGAAGAAAAACTGTAACAAGGTTTCTGCAGATCTGTGAATCAATAGAGCATAGTAACCAAAAAACCATTCTGCTTACAAGGGCAAACACTAATGCAGTTTATCATAATTGTTTAAAATCACTTTCATTCAAATGGGTATGATATAAAATGCACTTCATGTACTCTTGAAGAATTTTGCAAAACCTCACTCAAAGCTACAGTAGGATTAAGAATGCAACAAAATTACAAACTGACTGAGCATTGGACCTTACGGATCATCTGTACAAAATTTTGCAAGTAGCTTTTCTGTAAATACATCTTTGCGAGACCAGTTTTTGCAAGGACAGTGAATACCCTGTACCAGCAATTTTACGAGGGCATTGGTAAGGGTCCGAACCACTCTATGCCCCATGACTCTAAATTTTGTGTTATTGAGATGCATTTCGCAACAAGTTCCAAATTAAAAATTACGCATTTAAAAGTATTGCAGTTACAAGGTTCAAAGCAAAAGAACTTACATCCTTCAGTTTCTTTTGCAATCTTGCTATTCAAAAACTTATCATGTCTAAGGTTTGCATCCCCCAAATAAAACTCAATCTGTGAAAGAACAAAAGATAAATTATTAATCTGATTTAAATATTACCAAAAGTTTCAATAATTGAAAGCTTTCCTTAAAAATAAAATAGAAAAGCAATGATTTAAATCAGGACCGTAAATCTGTCATGTCAATTGGGGGGGTCAGCAGAGCGAATGAATATAAAGTGTGCAGTGGGTCATGGCACCACCAAGCAATTTATGGAGTGTGTTAAGGAAACAATTTGAGGGGGCAAACGACTTAATAAACAAAAAAAGATTTTTAGATTTAGCTAGAAGGTATTTACAGATATATTCTTAGCATGTTGACTTTTTTATAGTTGAGTTGATAACATTTTTCAGAGACAGCTTGAATAAATTAAACCTGGGGGCTGAGAATCACGTTCAGTGATGTAGGAGGACCCACCATGGTTGGGGCCGAGGTGAAAGGAAATTTTTGAAATCATACCTTCTAAATAGCTATAAAAGCATCTCCCTGACCAAGTTTAACAAAGTACTATACCGTTCAGGATAGAAAAATCGACGTTTCTGGGAGAAATTGGGAGTCTAGTGACAGATGTTGGGGAAATGCTTAAACTCTAGTGACAGGCGTTGGAGAAAAGAAAGAAAAGGTGTTTTCTATTCGAGAGCAAGCATTTTTTTTCTTGAAACCATATCAGATTCGAAAAAATTAGGATGTATCTAAGAACATATTCGGACTCCAAATGAAAATTTTCTTAAAAAAATCGAGGCTCGGCAAAATTTATTGCATTCTAATAGTCATTGCTTCTCTCTATATTAAATGCAAAAGTACTTCTTTGTTGAAGCGGTACTTTTACGCAGATTAAAAATTAGTGTAAATTACGCAAATTAATTTTACTCCTTGCCCTCTTTGTCTTTTGGTCTTGTTCCTTGTTCCTGTGCAGTAAAAATTAAGGGGCTATTATGGAGGTCTTGGTACCACAATTTGACTAATAGAGGTTCAGAAACTAGGAACTTTAGGACCTAGGTTTTGAGTTAGGATTTTTAGGACCTAGGTTTAAAGATATGAAAATATGTGTAATATGGGTTTGTCGAGACTTATGGTGATGATTCTTTTCTTACATGCTTTTTGAGATTTATTCAAGGGGAGACCGGTGGATAAGATATTTGGGGCTAATCCCTGCCATGGGCATCGTCACCGACTCGACACCACTCTGCAAACATAAATAACAGCCATCTACAATAGTCAACTTGCGCTTGACACCATGACATAGTGGCTGAGGTATGTTGCAATAACACAGCAAAACTTAGTTTGGTTCTAACCCAGTTACCAGGGATTACTTTCTTTAAAAGAAATCGACGATAATTTCTCAAAAAATCGTTTTGCTCCAGATTTTTGGGGGGTTCCAGTCCCCCCCTTCCCCCCCTTCCCCCCTGGGATTTACGTCCCTGATTTATATATATAAACTAGCTCTATTCAAAAAACAATCCTTATTAGCGGCAGTGATGCCGGAGCATAGGGCCACAGGGAGGAAGTTGCTACTCCATGCTCTCACAAACATTTGCTATTGTTTTGCCCTTTTTCTTGGCCTCCCTGCCTGCTCTGATCAAAGAAGACTCTGCAAATTCCAATCTGAGATTATGAGCCTCTTTCTCCACAGCAGCTGTGCCGATAGGAGGGTTCAGCCAGGGCAGTGACAGGGGAGTGTGCTTTAAATTGAGATATTTTTTCTTTTTTCAAAGATAATGCACCAATCCATATAAGGTTTTCTCCTGTAAGGGCTCTAAAAGGCCTGAAATTAAATATTAAAATATTTGAAATGAATACTGTGTTGTTTATGTTTAAAACATCTTTTTGGCAATCTAAATATTTTAAAGACACTTTTGCTTACAAAAGCTCATAAAGTAGTACTGTAAAGGTTTTGAAAGTTTTTGAAAATATTCACAAATTGTACTTTTCTTGTATAACAAGCAAGCTATCTGTGGTTTGGGGGAGGGGTTTTTAGGAGGCATTTAGGAGACACTCTAACCCTAATCAATTAAATGTAATGAAAAAATCGTTAAAATCCTATGATGAAAATTAATTAACAACAGAGCCAATGAGAGCACACACCTGATTCTGGAGGTTTTTTAATAATCTCTTCTTCCGCATCCTTTTTTCTTTTTTGGGTTCAGTGGCATCTTCTTCAGAACAGATGCTCATTGTTGCAAATTCTTTAAGTCAGAAAATCTGCAAAAATCAAATTGTTTCATTACTGCTTTCTATTGGACTAATTTTTCTAGGATAAAAATTTTATTGTTATATTTCATTAACTTTACTGATAGACAAATAAACATAAATTAAAAAATTGGGTGTTAAACTGAGAGTTGATTCTAAACTTTGACTGAATTTTAACATGTAAAAACAAAGTTCAGTTGAAACTGACACTGTCCCACCCCCATAGTAACCCCCTTGGCAACAGTACTCTTGCATTCTCCATCTAGAAATTCTCTATTTATGGAAATTATGCGATAATGCCAGATGAACATCCTAATAAAAACAGAAAATTCATGATTTCTTTTGTCTCGACCTTTGTTGGTGGGTTAAAAATGATGACCTACGTTTATTCCACATCTGCGAAATGAAGACCCCCCTTAACAAGCCATTGGCCCCCTCATCCCTATAAAAAGTATCCATTTTGAAACAGGCTTACATGGCTGACATCCCTTTCTCAATCTTGCTTTCAAAACATTACCTGGCATGTCCTGCCTCTCTGTAAATAAAAGATTTAGGTGCAGTAGACACGAGTCAATTGGTGCCATTTTGTTTTATGCCATCTTTGTTTTGTTTAGGTGGGCGATTAATCAACACAAATACCACACGAAGCCCAGTACAAAAAGTTAACAGAATTAGATATCTTAACTATCCTATGATAAACACAGCAACATTCTTGAATATTATTATCGGCAGTTAGAAGATAAATTATAAAATCTTTACCTGAATTAAAACTGGTTCAAAGCACCTGACAAGATACACGTCTTCCCGCAAACTTGCAGCGAATTTTCTGTGAAGACATCCTGCTCCTCCGTGGTGGGTTGCGGGCAGGGAACCGATGCCTGCGAGAGGGGAAAGGTTGCTTTTATTCCGAAGTCAGGTAAGGATATAGACATTTCATTTTCATTTCAAAAATCTTTACACACGAATTCCCTATCAGCTATAATACAAATAAAATAAACTACTTCTATTACAATTGCTTCTTTAATATATATAAAATAAAGATGTTGCTGTTCTACCTAGGGATCGTGTTTTGTTTAGGGAATTTATTAACTTTGTAGGAATCACTTCAAGTTTCTTTTAAACATGGAAATTGTTCCGGGCAGCCACTTATCTGTGGATATCGGCTGGGGTAGGCAAACTCAAGCAAGAATCATACAACGAGGGGACAGGCTTCTAAACAAGAAAGAAGTTCATAACAGTGAATTACGCGTTTATTTGGAATTTATCAAGCTTATTACACAGAGCAATGAGTTAAGAAAAGAACGAGGGGCAAATCACTCCAAGAAAATCTCGTACACCTTTTGTGAAAATCCTATTGTTTTATCCGAAAATCTCCGGAAATCCTTTTGTTTTAGGGAAAATCTCGTACGCTATTTGCAAGAGTAAAGTGCCCCTCGGAACACAACATATCAACTACAAGATTTTAAAACAAATTTTGAGGTTGCTGTAGCCATTCAACTGAAAATTTATCGAAAGATATTTAACGAGTTAGGATTTTTCCAAAGAAAATGTGAGCCAAAGCACGCTGACGAAAAGGTGTGCTACGTCGCCTTCTTGGTACATCAATGTGCGTCATGGACGAAAAGACATTCAGCCCTTGCTGAAGCATAACTACACACCAGTGCTATTCTGTGGATTCTGTATATCATAATTCGAGAAGCTTCTTCATAACCGGTAAAATGAACCATTAACTTTCAAGCAGTTTTCTCAATTATGTAACCTTTGTCGTAAAGATTGACAGTTCTACAGACAATCCTTATCTTCCTGACTCATCAACCAGCAAGAAGGTGAGAACCTACTAAGTGGATGGTGATGGTCTTTGACGCAAGCTAACACAGGGCTCTAGTGCATATGATAAACTGAGGGGACTAAAACTGGCAGGGCAGGATATGCCAAAGTGAAGAGCATACAGAAAACAGACGTAAAAATCTCCTGTAGATAGTGTCCCAGCAAAAATCTTTAAAAAACAATGATAACGTTGCGTTGTAGAAGAGAAATTTGCTGCTGCTATTGAATCTTTTACTTTGCGGCTTTAGAGAGAAATTCAGTACTAGAAAGGCTCTCTTGTCAGTGGCGTAGCGTCTATGTATGCTACGCTTGCGGCGCAAGCGTAAAAATTTATATACAAATTCTAAAATTCTTGCAACACTTTCAATGCATAACAATTTCCGCAATAAACGGCTTCTCTTTCTTGTCATGAGCAGCATGCAGTGAACTCTAGCGCCAACAGGCCAATTGGCCCCAATTGGCTAGTTTTCCAAGTAAACAGATCGCTAAAAATTATGAAATTCGAAAAATCTGAAAAACTGAAGCCCCTCCACATCACTCTTTTTGCCTGTCCAAAATAAGAGAAACATGCGATGCTCCAGTGCAGCTTCAGTGCAACTAGAGAGAAGCTTCTGAGAGAAGTGAGAATTTTCCGGACTGGAGCTTGCGGTCGTCCTGAGCGCAAGCCTTCCCAAATATTTGATAATCCACAACATTTTTCTACCTATAAGCTGCTTTTTGCGAATATTCTTTGCGTGATACATCATTTCAAATCCAATTATTTTCCTTTCTTAACTTTGTGACTGTTGAAAAGAGAAAAAGTTTCGTCCAAGTGGGGTCAGAGTCTATTTGTCATGATCCGCATTCCGTAATTCAAGTCAAAAGGCTTGCCAGTATAGTCAGAATTTACGGACCAGGGCATGCGGTAGACCTGAGCGCAAGCCTTGCCAAATACATGATGATTTGCCGGGACTAACTTTCTGAAACTTTACACATGGAAGCATCTTCAATTCTAACAACTCTCACAGCTCACTATTTTCATCTTCGTTAACTATGAGAGTAAAAAATGAGCAGAAACTCTTACTCCTGTTCGCTTAGGCATTAGGTGATGCCTTTTCTTGAGGAATATGAATAAGAATAAAATCTTTTGCGAAGCAGTTTTAGCACTAGGAATTATTCTGAAAATTCTTGCTAAACAATTGAGCTTTTTTCAAAAACTTTCGCATGGGTGATAATTTTTCCCTTGGCCCCTCTTCACTTTCCAACCTCTGTCGGAGCCTCTGATGCTAAGAATAGACACCTTGATTGATTAGAATTAGAGTACAAATGATTTGTTACTTTCAAAATCAAAATTTATTATCACGATTATCATTAATTACCGCTTGTATTTTTAAGAAGCTGAAATTACCATTACATTCATTCAACATAGCCGTATATTTTATGTTACCTCATGCCTAAGTTCTGCGCTCACGCTACGCCACTGTCTCTTGTGCTTTTTAGCAAGAAAAGAAAAAAAGAACGTCTGACAATAGAAACAGTGTTGGGGCTGTGGATCTTCTAGGCTTTGATTGATAAATCGCGATATTTTTATAGCTCAGCTAGAAGCATGTGGTCTAACAAGAAATGTTCTTAAATCATAGCTGGCTGCATAAAAGAAAGCAGCGAGTAAAATAAAATGCTTCATTTAGCTTTTGGAAAGAGAGTAGCCATAAGGTACCGCAAGGATCTGTACTGGAGACTCTATTGTTCATTATCTAATTAAACGACTTGTTTATGTTTGGAATGCCTGCCAAAAGTCTTGGTACTCTTTTTTCGGATTTCAAGGGCAAACTTAGCTATTCCCTTTTAACAATGCTGGTTTACTATAAAACGATGTAGGAGATTAAGAAATACGTTTTTCCTGTGACTTGTATGTCTAAACTATCACAATGTCTTGGGAGGATGGGGGTGCATGTTGAAAGATATAAAAGCACAACGCAAATTGCAAAGAAACGCCTTGTTTATGTTCGGACAGACCGTATGATATGCCAATATGTTGATGACACAACGATTAAATTAAGTGACCACGGACACGAAGATATAATTCGAAGGTTAGAAACTGATAGTTCTATAGTGATTCCCAAATAGCCTTATGAAAATGAATAAAGATAAATGCCAACTTATGATACAAATCAAACAAAAAATGACTTTTTAATCTAAAGTGACAACGAAAATCTTTTATGGGATACAATTTACAGAATAATTGATCAAATAGGATATAAGAGATAGATAGCATTTCAAGTTTCAAAAAAGCGTAACGAAAGTGCCAAGTTGAAGATTGTAATTGCAGGTTGTGTAAGAATTACGATCTGAAACAGATCTATTTTCTAGTATTCATTTTATCATACAAATATATATATACTTTGTTAAATCTACTTTTATGCAAGGCCCCAATGAGCTATGAATAAACTTTTTAGCACTCTATTGTGAACAGATAATTATCAAAATAACAATAATTATGCGACGGGGTGTGATGCGGCTCAGTGTGGTGTAGTGCGGTAGAATGAAGTGGTCTGGGGGTGTGGTTAAGAGTGATGTGGTGGTTCACAGTTCGGTAGAGGGCTCTGGGATGACATGTGTTGGTCTGCAGTGTCCTGGAGAGTAGTGGAGAGGGTTGGGATGGAATGCGTTGCAATGGAGGCCTATTTCTGTTCTACCGGTCGTGTCAAGGCTCTTCGAAAAACTTATGCATGATCAGTTATACCAGTACCTAAATAAGCACAAGAATCTAGTGTCTCACAAGTCGCTTGCTAAAAGGAACTAGTGATTGGTACATCGACATAGACGACGGGAGGTATGCTGCGATGATCTTTATAGATCTCAAGAAAGCATTCGACACGGTTGATCATCAAATTACCCTGGGTACTAGAGCCGCAAAAATTTAACGGCAGCAATTTTTTTTGCCCTTAAATTTCTGCGGCTCTGGTACCCAGAGTACCATCAAATACTCTTAAATAAAATCCAATTTCATGGAATTACTGGACATGCACATTTATGGTTCAGTTCTTATTTTGATAATCGGAAGAGAGTACTGTAGAGTCAATGGCACAACTTCTAGCATCGAAAATATTGATATCGGAGTGCCACAGGGATCGTGCCTAGGGCCTCTTCTTCTTCTTCTATACATAAATGACTTGCCATTTGCTCTAAAGAATGCTAAGGCTACAATGTATACCGACGACACAGCAATCTCGTATCCTTCTGATACAAGTGATGAACTGGACCAAATAATCAGAAATTTTGTGCCACATTTCATAGAGCCACATTTCAGCTACTGTTGCTCCGTCTTGGGCTCTTGTGGTGCTTCAAAGATAGACATGCTTTTTTGACATGCAAACATGCAAAGATAGACTGAGATTTTTTTTAACTTTTTCTACAGAGTTAATTATTGTAAGAACTTTTTAATCTATATTGTTGTAACATTTATATCGTAGGTTCATTAATTTCACAGGTCCTTGGTTGATAGCAGCAAACTCATTTTTGCTAAACAAGTTTACCTGTATAAATATGGTCTTATTATTATTATCATTATGTTCTATGGTTTACAAATCTCTTAACTCTCTTGCACCTAAATATCTCAGTGACCTCTTCGTGAGATTATCCGTGGTGCATCCAAGTGAGTTAAGGAACTCTAAAACAGACCTTGCAATACCCATGTTGAGAACTGGCAATGGCCAGAAATCCTTTGCATATCGTGGGGCCCGTCTCTGGAACAGTCTCGATTTGAACACAAAAATGGCTCCCTCAATCAATGCCTTCAGGTCCGAACTCAAAGAAAAATAATCCTTTTTTATATATTGAGGTGTATTGTTGTGAATTTATAAAACTTTGACTTAGCCATATTCCGCTCTTTTTATTGTAAATTTTATAGTATATAACTTTTTAACTTTGTAAGTAGTTTTTGCAGTTTTTGATGGAGTGCAGTGCGGCGGGATGGCGGTGACTACCTATACTTAAAATTTATTCTTCCAATGCCTTTTCTATCTACAGCGAATCATCATCATTGAATTTCAATCTTAACTTTTCAGATCTTCTTTCTTGACAATATCATACTAAATAGAAACACAAGAAAAATACACAATTAAAAATTCATTTTTACTATTTTGCGTTTAAAACACACTATAAAATATTAAAAAACATCTTAAAATTGACATTGAAACGAATCATGACGTTGGAGATTCGATGTTTATAGTCACTGGTCCATCATTTTGAATGCTTACTTGCATGTAAGCTGCAAATCGTCCATCTAAAATAAACAAAATATTGTCAAAGCAACTGCCTTTTCGTAATAAAACAATAAATATGTTTTCACATCTATTTAGAAAAATTAAATTCCATTGATATTTCAAAGGCATTTGCGTACGACAGAATACATTAGGGCCTTAAGAGTGTTGGTTTAGTAGAGTCGGAGCCGAAGGTGAAACAATTTGGTACGGAGTGGGGATGTGATTATTCCTTATAAGTCGATCCCTCAACACTTATATTTGTAAGAACTGTAGAGTTGGAAGGAAACTGGCTGTCAAAGAGGTTTAACTAACATCTTGGAAAGCTAAAGGACCCCGGTGTGGCCGCTGCTCTGTCATCATAAAAGGTTTTAACAAACAAAACTATCGGGACAGTTATCAGCAGCTCCAGCAAAGAAAAGACTGAAACTTTATCTCTTTTAGATGAGTCTCACATAACTTAATGTAACCCAAAGAGGGTCTATGGGTCTATATTCCGTTAGCCCGTCTAACACCCCCCACCCCTTATAATTTGATGCTTATCATTTACAACACTCCTGAATATTCAATCAATGTTCAGTCATTTAGAAGGGACGTCTAGGAGTAACATTTTTTAGTTAAGAATAGACAATTTTTACTCAAAGCTCAAACTTTTTACTTGGATTTTGAAATGCATTTGAGCTTCATTTGCGTTGGAAATTTGCATTTATATCGATCTAAAGTTTAGTGTACGTGATCAGAATGCATTCAAAAAATAACCTTTGATTTTATCTTCTGCGTAGTCTTTTCTTAACTTTCCCAGTATCTCTTCATACAGCAGTTTTGATCTTTCGGCCTCCATAGCTTTATGAAAGTCGGGTTTGTTTCCTTTTAAGACGCTATATAAGGTGAACTAAAATAAAAAAGGTATTTTAAGAAATGAAAAGACACTACAATTTTCATCCCAACATCATACCTTTTATAAAAAACCAAGTAAAGCCAAAAACTGACTCAAGATGGTGTGGCCTGGACATCAAATTAGATTTTGTGTTGCACTTATGCTTTGGATGTGAATGTGGTCACGTGACAATGAATTATTTGCAATGAAAAGAAAAAGTGTTGCAATTGTGCCACATCCTAGTTTCTCAGTTGCTTAACAATATACTTCTTTATCTCTTTACTGGGTGTCGAAACCGCAAGCTACTACAAAAATAGTCTTTCTGAAAATTCTTCTATCCCCGCTCCTATTAAAAAAACATAATTTTTTGGACCCCATTTAAATACGCAATTCTCTCTTGCTTCCAGTTTCTGGGAGAGAACTAGAGGGAATGTTCCCTGCCTGAGATGAATAGTTCTACAAGGAGAGTTCTAAAGATTTTTGTTTGACTTTCCCATAGTCACTTTCTATGGTTCATATCTATAGGCAAGATATATCATATATTTGCAGGAAAATCAGAGTTGCGAAGAGGGGATATGATTGCAAAAAAAAGAGCAACTTTTCACTTTTATTTTTTCTCTGCTGTAACCTTCACCAATCGCAACCCCGAAATCTCCTTGAAGTATGATGTTTTCTCACATATATTTAGCATAAAAATAGGATTTGGGAGGGTGTAAATTATTGTGGGAAACAATGTTTATTTCCTGACCCCTGGCCGGATTGAGATTCCCACTTTTCTTCATCAGCCAATTCAAAGTTCATCTAGACATAAAAACCAAACCAAAACTATAAAACGAAAGCAATTAGTAACAAATACCAAAACTACATTGTAATTAGCAATAATCAGAGATCTGTAATGTAAGTGTAATGTAAGACAAAAAATTATTCATAACATTAACATTACATTAACTAAACATTAACAAATCACTTTTCCCCCGGCCTGGGCAGCCTATTGTTTTCCAGCACTTTAAAGGGGGGCTTAAAAGAGAGGGGGGCTAAATTTAGAGAGGAGAATGAATAAATATTTTGTAATAAAAAACCATTTTCAATAGGCTAATTTTTGTTATTTGTGAAATAAAAAACATCAAATCAGGCTTCTTCAGCAATAATATTGTCATTGCTATGTCATGAATCATTAATTTTAAAATATCTTCTTGGGCCATGTTGTCTTCTGAAATCGTGCATCCGTCAAAATCCCATTATTTTAGTAAAAGTCTCTCACGTGGCACATTAAATCTTTGTCTTCAGATCCGTAGAGACTGGGAAAAACATGCCTTGAATTTTGATTTGATGAGAAACATTGAATGATCAATTAATAAAATGAAAATTTCTGTTTTTTGTCAAGATTTATTATTTTGGCATTTGAATTTCTATTTTTAAAGTGAAATTCAATTTTTTGGGGGGAGGGGCTTGATTAAACAGGGAGCTTATTAAACGTTTCCTTCTAATAAAAGGGGGGCTAATAAGAGAGGGGGCTTAATTGAGAGGGGGCTTAAAAAAGAATTTATAATAATTCCATAATCAAAAACCAGTTTTTGAAAGAAAAATGCAAGATTTTCTACCTGGCTAACACAAAGGACTTCAAGATCTTCATCCTTTACTGATTTGCGCCACCTTTTGTCTCCTTCATCAAATAATCTTAAGTTCAGGATTTTTCTCACACTGAAGAAGAAAGGATAAGACAAAATGATGGGCATTGCTACTTACATATGGTATATAGCAAACAAATTAAGCATATATAGTATATAGTAAAAAATTTTAAACTTATGTTAAACAAAGTCTCAGAAATCAATAATGCTATTATTAAGAAAGTATGCAATGCAGTGAATAGAATATCAGTATATAAAGGAACCAAACAAAAACCAATAAGAAATATATAATTTACATGTTCTTGCACATTGTTTTACTTGAACATTGAATTTCAGATCTTGTGATTTTTAGTCAATAAATGACAGGTTAAGCTGACTTATGCAGATTTATCAAATTATTAACTAAGCATATAAAAAATCTTTTGGCAAGGCCAAAAGCACCAGAAAATGTAATCGCCCACTCTTTTCCTAAAATGCAATTGGTTCTTCCTTATAAAGCAAAGCAGCAAACAAAAATTTGGACAAAAAGGTTTGTAAAAACTTACATGTAGTCAGCGTCTTTTGATGAATCATCACCAGATATACCAATTAAAACACAAAGACCCTTGCCAATTGAACTGACCAATTCCCCATCAACTATGGAGGACAACAATTATTATCAAAATGCCATAGAGTGAAAGCCAAGGAAGGCAAGCCTGTCAAGATTCACAACAGACCAATTGGCAGCTCAGGCCTGATGTGTCATCTTTTCTTAGACATGGTCAAATTACCCCTAAAATACTGAATAAGAAAATTTTGATTACAAATGTCAGACTGGAAACTTTGCTGCCAGACACACGAATTTTAACTTTTAGCTGTTAACTAGTTCTGTTAACATCAAGTACTAAGTTCTAGTAACTGTTAACATCAAGTAAGTAACTCAAATGTAACCTCGGATGTGAATAAAATAGGTTGGTAGCTACCAAAATAAAGTGTTTATGCAGAGGGCATACCTGAAACACTTGCCTTTGCTACACGTTGGATAACTGCACGCATCTTCTTCTCACTAGTATATTATCACTTTAAACCATTAAACTACTAAACATTCCCGAATTGTTTACGTTTTTTACACATGGTAGGTGAATTGGATTAGAAGTTGGCCTCGTTTTCCGATGCAAACAAGGAAGTGTTTGATGTTCTTGCTTTGAAAACGAACAAAGCCTCCCCCGGGGTTTGTGGAGGGCCTTTGAGAGAACTACCAAAAAAATGTGGCTTCAAATTTAAGTATTAATCCCGAGCTACTTGGATTAATTACTCGGCTTATTTTGGCCTTACCCCAGCAAAAACGTAACATTTTCAAAAAGGCACACTTTTCTCGTGACCAAAGGGTAATGGTAACTATATGTCATTGAAGGCAAAATTTTCTGTCGCCCCTTAGCGTATTATTTGCCTGATATACATAAAAGAAATTCCACATTTTAACGGAGGAAGGGTCAATGCTTCTATTGAGATTAGATACAAGTTTGTAAATGTATAATGCTGACTGTATGTTTTGGAAGCCAGTAAAGGGTACTGTTTTCTAAGCAAGGGGCTTTTATTCCGTAGAAAGAATAGAGCTAGCTACAGTGCCGAGAAAAGGGTGCGTTTTAATTTTCCATCTATGAGAGGCCTAAAAATGTTTCTTCATCTAGCAAAATATGTTCTCGAGGGAGAAGTCTGCAAATTTTTATTGGAGAAGATTTTCGCGCGAAGACTCTTTTTCGTGCAAAGTTCTTTGGCATCGATCTTTGCATAACGACTCAGTATGGAAAGAAATTAGTGTGAACAAAATAAAGATTTGCCCACGGGATTTTTCAGAAACTGGTTGGTACAGGATAATCATCTCTTGAAACTTGTCTATTTGGTGCGCAAAAATTTTCATCATTAGAAATCCGAGAACAACGTTTTAGAACCCTTCCGGGACTTTGACAGTCTAAAGAATTTGAGAGAATTTGCTGTTTATTGACAAAGAAAACGGCAAAGGGGTCTAGAGACAATGGCTTCAGGCAAAATTTGTCAAGATCAACCCACTTAGATTCTTTAGCTAGGCAACAATCTTTTAGTTGCTCGAGGGGAGGAGGTAACCAAGCCTAGTTTGGGACGGGGATGTGCCATTTTGGTTCAAAATTTTGAGCTATGATTCTGCAACTGTCTGAAAAAAATGACTTATTATTCCGCAAGGCAGAGAACACTTTTCAAGACACAACAAAGTCATCAACAAATTTTGTATGTCCTTTGCCCCAAAATCAATTTGGACATTCATTTCATCAATGCTAAATTCCACCCCACCCCACCCCCTAATAATTTTACAATATTTTATCCAATATTTCAGAAACTGATACTGACAATTCCGCACTTTTCAGAAAAAAGGTACCCATGACATCAAACCCTGTTGAATTACCCCCCCCCCCTCCCAGATGTATCCAATATGCAATTGACAAAGACAAATAAATGTGTCTCTTTAATTCTTCATAGCAGTTTAGTTGTCTTTCCATATAGTAGTTTGGGATCGACCTACGTACAAGCGAGAAAGCCTCTATTGTGTAGACAGAACGAGTTCGTTTTCCTCTTGTGCTCCAGTGGTAATTTGTCTAAAGGCATGCGGCACTGATTGGACAACTATAACATTCATGTGCTTGCAATTTTTCTTATCGGCCTATTTGGATCCACAACTGGGTATATATTATCCGACTTATTCTTTCGGACTCTACTTCTGACGTTTGCCAGACGAAAAAGCTTTTTGTATGTTGTAAAATGTTTGCTTTTTTCAAAGCCATTTTCAAATATGTTCTTTACAATGGCTCATGCTAAAAATAATCATTTAAAGTAAAATTAATCACAAATTACTGGGACACGATGTCATTGACATTATTGCATTGTTTGATTTGAATACAGAAGGACAGTAACAGTTAAGCACAATAATAGAGTCGTTTAGCTAAAGGGTGAGTTTTACAATGAATTTGAATCTCCAAATAACGGTTTGTAAGTTAAAGAGCTGATTTGGAGGGCTTTCTGGAGTATGACCTCTCGAGTAGTATCTTGCTAAAAGTTTATGAGCTTGCTCATTATTGTGATGCAACATTGCAACCAGGGATGCCGAAGAGGGGGGGGCGCGGGGGGTAAACTGCCCCTGTTACCTTTTGATATGAGGGGCAAGGGGGCCAAAATACTCTTTTCAAGAAAGTGCCATTTGTTTGTAATTATCAAAAGATTCTTATAAAATTCTGACTGTACTGGCTTATTCGTGACGACATGTCTTAAAACTTATAAAGAAGTTTCTTATGTGAAAAGTTAGCCAATTTTCAAGATACCTACTACCAAAGATCGAAACAAAGTGACAGTTACGAAAGAAATGTTGGTAGCTTGGAATTGTTTTTCGTTTTTCATTGCCATTTTACTCAAGCTTGCCACCCCCTTTGCCCCTTGGTCGTTCCGGCGTCCCTGATTGCAACTATGGAACTTAGAGGCATTCTTGGTATAGCATTCTCCAATCGTCGCTAGATGCTTTTTGAAAAGTCAGCTTGATGTTAGAATGTGCGAATGGACAGCTTTGAGAGAAATATTTCCTTATGCCAAAATGCTTGGAAGCATTCAACACAAGAAATGACTACTCTATCTAATCAGGATTTTTAAGAAAAGCAGTAAGATTTTTGGCAAAGCTGTACGAGATTTGTAATGATAATCTTTTTGAGACAATCCATTTGTAACAAGATTAACAATTTTTGTACATTTTGATGTATTTCATGATGTTCTTATAGATTATAAGGTCAAAACAAAAAAGTTTGAAAATAGATTGTTGTGAAGTCTACCTTATTAAATGAAAATAATGGAGAAACTATCCAAGGGAGGCGGCAGAAATTCATCCGAGTTGAAATTAACGCAATTAACACAGAAGTTTAATGCGGAAGCTTATACAAAAGGGAATCAATTGGGTTTTAATAAACTTGAATTTCTCAATATGCATTAATTAAAGTACAGCGTGAATTTGATGTAATAAGGTATATTTCATAGACCATGATTTCTGTCACCGATCTTTATACCCTGATTTCTCTCACTGATATTCTCTTTTAAATGTTCTTAATTTTTGGATAATTTGAAGCTCGAGTGCTCTAAATGTTGTTCTTACTTCAACATCGAGTTTTCTCTATAAATTTTTTCCCAAAGCATCAAATATGTTTAATGTATATGAAAGTTTTAGCAGTATGGTTGAATAATTGTCAAGTCTCCCCTTTCCTTAGCCTTTGCCCCCGTCCACATTAAACTTTGCGACGTGGGCCTTGTTATTGGGTTTACATGAGAGTAAATTTTAAAAACATTTTGCTTTTTCTTCCAGTATTTCAGCTGAGTCTGGACATGCTTTACGTTGTTATACACAGGGGCGGACGCAGAAAAAATCATGACCGTGGCACAAGAATAGTGTTAGGTGACCACGCCCTCTGGTCTTTCGGAAACGCCCAGTCTGAGCATACAGAGACGGGTATAGCTTTTATACCGAAAACATAGTTACATTTAGCGCAAAGCTGTCACCGCTCCTGTCGTTTTATCATTAAACAATACTGGCTCTATAATTTCAACTTGCAAACAAATAACGATGCAAACTGATATAGGCTAGTCACTGGACGCATTTAAATAATATACATTTAAAAATATATAAATAATGGCTAGTTCTTACAACTGACAGATAAAATTATCTTTATTTTTAGCCAGATCAAATTATTGACAAATTAAACTAGGCATACTTTTGCGAAGCTTCGACAGCTCGTCCACGAAAAGTTCCTTCAAAGCTGCATGGACCCGCGATTTAATAGATTTTTCAACTATTCTTTGAATATCCATTGCCAAAGCAAAGGTAATCTTTGCGATAAACTCAAATTCGAACTCAATAAAAATCTTGCGTGCAGAATCGTCAGTTTCCTGCAGACCGAACACGTTTTGTTTGTTTACCCAGCAATCACCAAAATCACCTAAGCAAGTTCATACTCGACAGCACATTTTTTAAATATTTGTGCCACGGTGCCACTTAATGAAAGAACATACGGAGTCTCGATGCAATTGATTTCAATACACATTTCTCGGGTCTCAACAGAAGCATACAGAGCCTCGACCGTGGCACAAGAACAAAAGCACAGCCATTTGGTCTCAAAACATATTGTTTAAAAATGTGCGCGCATATTTCTATTTATATCTAGTGTGGCACGATTGTTACTATCCATATTTGGTAGAGCCAATTTTTCTGTGGTTAACAAAAGGCAAACAATAAGCAAATCCAACATGGCGTACTACTAAATTAACAGCGGAGAGGGGGCGTGGTAAATAGACGCTGGAGCGAAGAGGAATTGTTAGACAGAAAGGACCATATCGGGATACTTAGAAAAGTCCATTATTTTCCAAAAATTCAAATTTGGAAATCTGACCGTGGCACGTGCCACCGGTGCCAGCGTCTGAATCCGCCCCTGATACATCCTTTTTTATAAGAACCAGTAAATTTAAATTCAGGCTGACTGTTCTCAATTTTTGCGAAAATCTGAGGCTGGGTTGTTCTTAATTTGTAATCTAATCAGGTGTAAGCAGTGCGAGTGCTAGATTTTTCGCTCTAGGATGGTGTTCAAGCCTCATTTGCCAACAAAATGAGTGAGACAGCCTTAATTTGCTGACAAATTTGAATATTCACCAAAAAGCACCCACTCATCGCTAAAAGTCCTCGATTTAGAGATAAAACGTTGTTGAAAATTGCATTTTGCAGAAAGAAGCTCAGCCTCAGCTTGTTCTTAATTTGATTTGAACTTTTGACCAATTTTGAGGCTCGTGTTCTTATTAAATTGTTGTTATAAAAAAAGAGTGTATCGCAAAAAGAAAATATTTCTATTTGATTTGCTGATAAGATTTGCTGTAATATGATTAAGGCACGTAATCCAATAACTTCATGTCAACACCTGTGCTCTAAGGGCAATCAAAAATTCAAAAAGTAAAGTTGCAGCTTGCGCAAGGTGTCAACCATATGTCTATTGTGTCAACGGATACCTCAAACTACAACCGCAACAACAAATTTGTGAGGTCACCAGGAAGTTTGACAAAATGGCTTCAAAGTTAAAAGTCACTTGTCATTCTGCTTTCAAATAAAAACATGGAGGCCGTCAGGGAGGCTGCAAAGAATATTGTAGCTGAAAACAAAGAACAAAAATCAACAGTTGATAAACTAGCAGATATCACTGCTGGGTCTTTTGCTGGTAGGTCAATTTTTGTTATATTGTTTAGGAGTGCCATACCGCGCGGCTGTATGCAGAATGATGTATATTTCAAGATGTTGTTTGTTGTGGGAATAATTTTCGATATTTTATTCCTTAGCGTATATATCGGGCAATATTTCATAAAGAAAAGCTTACAGTGCTAATTTGATTCCTTTAATGTGTAGTTGAAATCAGCGTTTATTTTGAAGTTGTTTTGGCCAGGGCAAGGCCGCGGCTTTCTAAATAAAAAAGCAAATTTTTAGCTGCACCTGTACCACATAATACTTTGTGGTTGTATACGCTTGAAGAAAATGAGCTTTTAAAAGAGCATACATCACTAACACAACATATGCTTTAATGGAAAGCTGGTAATTCACAGCACGAAATGTTGAGCGTTCAGGGGGTTACTTCTTCGGAATAATCGATGGACTACGCCCTTCTAATTTCCTGGACTTGACAGCCATTGTTATTTTGTTTGGTTTTCAAAAGGGATTTTTGGACAGCTTGCAATTTTGAAGCAAGGATCTTGTTGACAAAAACTGAGGTACAATTTTTTGTTTAAGGGGGGGGGGGCAAGGGGGGGTCAGTCCTGAGAAGTAAGTGTAACAGCAGCCATAATTTACAAAATAAGAATACTTTACTTATGCAACTTAAGTCAAGGCTTCCTTGCCCCCTCCCCCCAATACCTTGGCCCTTGCTTGCATTTTAAAAGCTAGCTAGGAAGTGGATGTCCTTGTTAGTCACACACCCAATACACCCCTTACCCTAGTTCTACTGAGTGTCAAATATATTCATGGAATCAATTCAGGTTTGCATTCAAAAAAATTGATTTTTCATATCAAATTAATTTTTTTTGACTTGGAGAAAAAATTTTATGCTTGTGATATGGTTGTCAAAAGGTAGAGTAGCTGTGAATACCTCTTTGTAGACTAGATTTAGGATTAAACAGAACATTCTTATTGTTCTGAGTTTTTATGGATTGGAAAATTCAAAATTAAAAGAGACAGAAATGGTGCCAACATAACTTTATTGTAACTTAAACTTGATTTCCTAATTTTTAATTGTTAGTGATATTGCTCTTTAAACCACAAAGTTAACTGATTTCCAAAATCATTCTAGGTGTTATTCTGGAAGATGAGCAAGATGTTGAGAAATTCAAGATTGTTCTAAAAAACAGTGATATCAAGCTTAAAGCTTCAGTAATTGAATGGATTGCAGAGCTTGCAAAGACAGGTACTAGGCATCTCATCAATTATCTGTGAATTTTGACTATTGAATATACGTGCTTGCTGCCACAGCCATCTTAACGAAATCAAAGAGAGTAGTGTTCTCAATAATTTTTTCCAATCATCATTGAAGTCAGCTGATTCATAGTTCTTTTAATCAATGAAGGCTCACAGTGGTGGCGCCAAGGGGTGGTATGGGGGGGTAATTACCTCCCCACTTTTCTGAAAATATGGTCTATATATTTCTTTTAAGAATGGATTAAAAAGTGCTGGGTAGGGGTAGATCAAATTTCCAAAGGAAAGGGATGAATCACTGGAACGAGGCAAAAGGGGCGTGGTCACACTGGCCACGCCCATTACCCTCCCACTCTGTAACAGCTGTTGCGCCACTGGTCTCACATACCATCACAGTCTATGCTCTCTGGACCAAATCCACATGAGGTAGCAATATAGGTAATATTCTATCACACAATAAAATGTGACACTTCAAACAAGAAAATGACCATTGAACAAATAAATCATAGTATCCCTCTACATGGTTAACTTTTATGTTAATTACAAACATTCATTGGCTAACACTCATCCCTTTTGCTTGTTTATGCCCTTTAATTATAGTTTGGAATCTGCTTACATGAAAGCAAACTTGTGTAGACTGGAAGATTTCCTTTTTTCTCTTGGACTCTTGAATTAAATGAGTGGTAAGCTGATTGATAAAAACAAAAGAACCAATCAAATTTTTTTTCATACCACATTACTTTTGATCCAGACCTGGATATAACTTTTTTAGTCATTATATGATGTTTATACACTGAAGAGTGTCAGACAATATAACTTCAGTATGCTATGATTTATTCTTTTATTTTATACAATCTCCAAATTTTAATTCAGTTAAGTCAAATTTCACCTTTTTTGCCTAAGACTGTAAAGGCTTTAAGTTTTCACCCTTTCTCAAACTTAGTATCTAAAATGAATTTTTCAGACTTAAATTTTGGTGACCCCAGATCCTAATTATGGATTTTATTTTTAGAACAAAACAGGAGTATCTTGACAAGAAGTGGTATTATTGGTATCTTGTTGCACGAGATTGAAGGCAGTGATAATGAAGTTATGTTGCAGTGCTTCAGGGCAGTTGGGAATATTTGCATCCACAATGGTTGGTAGCAGCTAGAAAACAGCAATTTACTTTGTGATATGAATTCCCATTCAATTTTGTTTATTATCATTAAGACAAATTCATAAAGTGCTCAAAGATGTAGGTTTGAGCTCAATTTGACCCATGATTTGAACACTTACCTCTTGTCCAGCCAGTGGCAAATGTTTTAGTTTCATCATTATCAAACAAATATACCTGAATAAATCTAAGAACTCAAATGCACCAACTTACTTCCAATAGAAATAAATAAGTAGCCAATATACCTGTGCTACACTACAGTACAAATACCCTTATACAGTTAGTGGGCAGCAAGCAATAAATATTGCCTGGTCCTACAGCTACCAGTAAGATACGAGATTGAACTTGTACCTTACAGCCACCTTTCAATTTCAATTTTAGATGAGGGAAGAAAAGATGTTTTGAATTCTGGATGCATTGGAAAAATTTTGGAAAAATTTAAGTTGATGGCAGATCTTTCTGATAAAGAGCTTGGAAATTTACCAAAAATGGCTTATGGATGTGTCAATAACATTTCAGATGAAAATGGTATGTTAAAGTTATTGCTCTGGGACTAGTGTAAAAGTCTTGTCCATCAGTGCCCATCTTTGCATGTCATGGAAATATTTCTCTACAACTTAAGAAAGCTCTTTTACTTTGTAAAAGACAGTATCATAATTGTATTGGAAGATTTCAATGTATAAAGATTCCATCCATCCATCCATCCATCCATCCATCCATCCATCCATCCATCCATCCATCCATCCATCCATCCATCCATCCATCCATCCATCCATCCATCCATCCATCCATCCATCCATCCAACCATCCATCCATCCATCCATCCATCCATCCATCCATCCATCCATCCATCCATCCATCCATCCATCCATCCATCCATCCATCCATCCATCCATCCATCCAATCAAATCCAATCCAATCCAATCCAATCCAATCCAATCCAATCCAATCCATAAATGTATCCATGATTTCACTAATCTATATTCCTGTTATAGTCATCTATAGCTTCTTGCTTTGGTATGTTATGGACCAAAGATTATTATCAGGCCAACAATGAAAAATGTATGGCCAGAAGAGGCATTGACACACTGAATGAATCCTTTCTGTCATCTAAATATATAAGCTAGGGATGTTATGGCCTTACCTGTATTTATTGCTGAAAAAACTAAAGATAGCAGACGCTGCAACTTTTTCTGAGCTTATTGCTCTCCCTAAATAGCTATAAGGTTTACGCTAGAAATTGATTACTTTAGACTGCATAAAAAGGGTGTTTATAGACTTTTTCACAAACAGTATAGACTTAAAAACCACAGTCTCCCTCTTTCAATGGTTATTAATTCGCAAAGCAATACAGAATCCTATAGGTACCGGTATTCTTCATACACAGCAACACAATATTATATTGATACTGGAGGTATTATATTTTTGCAACAGAATCATTGCAGCTGGAATTGATAAGTCATGGAGCTGTTCCTATATTCTTCAACTGCTTCAAGTCATTCACCAGAAAAGATAATGATATGGCACAGCTCGTCATGGAAGCTCTTTCAGGCCTAGCGGCATATGGTATGCTTAATTATCAGGCTAGTTTTACAAACATATCAAGCTCTTGTATACTCAATATGCTAACAGAGAGAAGTTTTGTTCTTTTGTTAAATCTGTCTTTTTGTAACCATGACTTACATCCTTATAAACCCAATCCTCATAACACAATTTCAATTTGTAAAGAAGGCTGGCTTGTTCTATTTTAAGTGATTTAATAGGAAGTAAAGGTGGATAATCAGAGATTTGAATAGATGAATAATCACTGCAAAAAAATCTTATCTCTTGCTTCATTGATAATATAAGAAAACATTGAATTTAAAAGTATTGCCTTTGAATCGGTGCTAGAACTGTTTGCTAAAAAAGCTTTTTCATGCATAAGGAGTCTAATTCAAAGTGACAGGGATTATTTGTTTACGAAATCTTTTTGTTGCAGACGAAGCGAAGGAGCAATTTATTGAGCTGCAGATTGTAGAGGAATCACTTTCAATGCTCCCAACATGCAGTGACAAAATTGCTATTGTAATTCTGGATTCGTTATGTGAACTCATTGAAGATGGTTTGTGACAGACTATCTCACATTAAATTTTCCTTTTCTTCAGCCTTTTAGTATATATGTTATGAGATGTCGAATAGAGAATGTTGACATGAAAATATGGAGCTTGGTAGTGTAAAAATATGAAATTAGAGAAATCAGAAATGTAAAATAGAAATGATCGCTTTTCAAAGGGAGCATTTTGGGCATGGATGCCTTATATTGTGCATCTCAGATTTGTAAGTTTCAAATGTCCATTTTTTGAGTGAAGATTAGGACTCCCCAGGTGCCGTCCTAAAAGTTAGGAAGGGGGGCTCTGCTGTAAGGAACCCCTAGAAGTCACACCCAAGACTACACATTCACATTGCCAAGTAAGAAATTGGCCCAACAAAATATACACTGGTTTGGTAAAGGGGGCTGAGCCCCCTAAACTTTATATTATGACTTTATATTAAGTTGATATTACCTTTTGGAGTTTATCTTTTGTGGTCAGTCAGCGTGTACAAGAAGAATTCGGCTTCGGTTTTCATGCAACATATGACTTTATATTAAGTTGATATTATGATATTCCGTTTAAATAATATTTGATTTGATCGCTTTAAAAAGGTTTTTTATGCTGAAGATGCTCCTACACTGGGGAAAAGTTTGTAGGGTTTCAGACAATCTGTGTTTGTTTCTCCCTGGTATTGCTTGCTCAGTCTCGCTACGTTGCATTGCTTGCATGTTTTTCCACCCCTTTAGATGAGCTGAGTAGAGTAATGTGCTCTGAAAAATGCTTAGTGACACTGATGAGTTCTGGTAAATCCAGAGATTCTTTCAATAAACAAGACGTTGCTGATGATGTTCTCAAAAAGATTTTCGACACAGTTGTTTTATTCACTTCAAATGGTGAGTAGCTTTTTGCCCATACTATGTGTACAGTTTCAGTTTGTCATTTTTCTTATTGCCGTTACTATTGTTTATGACCTTTGAAGTGGGAAATTTAATAGCTCAATGGAATTCAGAGATCGACAGCTATATCTCAAAATAGGTTATGCAAACCCTATACATTCATTACACATCCAGTTACAAGGGGATGTAATGCCCCAATCAGCAATGTATGTGGGCTTCGTAGTGATATTGGAGTGTTTACTGTTATGAGAATGTTTACTGGTATGAGAGTTTCCACTTTTCTAGCTTATTGGCACTGATGAGTCGTTCCAGAATATTTTTTCACATCGTAAACGGGGAAGGGTATTTGGATTTGTAGTGACCATTCTTTGAACTAGCTAAATGCACTGCTGGCAAAACTTTGTGCATTTTGTGTATTTCAAAGAAAGATAAACGCTCGATTTGCATTGTACTTCATATACCGCAATGATCGGTCAATAATGCGAAAATGATACTTGGCTGGGCGCCACATCACATCTGGACGACCATCTTAGGCGTAGACAAAGGAGCTGTGGTGGCTACAGCCCCCCCCCCTCCATAATCAGGCAAATTTCATAGCATTGAAAGGCTCCATTAGAGCAGTTTTATCTCAATGAAGCATTGATATTCGGGCAAAATCCATTCTAAGCCCCCTGCAACGTTTAGCATCTACCATGCTCACAACAACCATTATTGTGTTCCCCCCACTCAAACCATTACATGAGTTCGGGTGGTCTTCAGTTTGTCTTTTGATATCCGGGAACTCTTTCGGACAGTCCATATAAGGAGCTTGTAAAGTATACATGTAGGTATGGAAAGTAATGGGGATCTAGAAGGATGCATTTTAACTTTAAGACTATTTAATGACGACGTTTCTTGCTCACATTTTATTTTCATTTTTCTGAATCTTTTTTTAAATCAATTTCTAGAATCATTTCAAGTTGATTGTTCTGAGAAGAACCTTCTCAATTCGTTTTTGGAATTGTTAGAGTGCGAGAACAAATATGTCCAGGCCTCTGGTGCCCTTGCTCTTGGAAATTATGCAAGAAACGGTAATTTTTAAGAAATACTGCTACCTTTTTACTTTTGTATAAATCAAGTTTACAAATTCGTTTTTAAAAGAATCCAATGCTTATTAAGCGCACAAATGCTTATTAGTCTCCTTAGTATAAATCTTGGCAGATCGCATAACATGTTACAGGGTCTTTGCGGTAAGGACGCTACAACAGTGCAATCTAATTTTGAATTGGCTATTCCATAGATATGGTTTGCACAGACCTTGTTAAAGAAGGTGTACACGAAGCATTAATCAGTCTCTTGAAGACACTAGTGGATAAAGAGGTATTTCACTTCCATGTTTCGAATTTGTTTTACGTCTTGTGTTGCATAATTTCTCACCCTATATTCATCATATTTTGAAACCTTATTCCCAAGGCTGCAATATTATATTTTTAGACTGCTGGACATAATATTGAGAAATTTCCACCACAATAAACAAAGATAACGAAAAGAAAAATCCGGTCCATCAAATTGATGATTTAACATACGAATACAAACAAAAACCATGGCGATGACTAAGCAAAACTATCCCTATCTCTAAGTTCCTTATGCCCTTGGTTTTCGTAGCATGCTTTTTCATTGCAACTTTCTGTATTAACTTGACACAACAATACCTAAAATCCATATACACAGATCCTTCGCTGACTCAGAAATCGTGAAATATGCCTTAGAAAAATAGCTTCCATGCTTCAAGTTATGCATAAATTGTTTTGTTATTAGGACACAGCTGAACAAATGCAAGCTGCTTTGAGTGCCCTCAAGAACATCGCAATCCCAGGTTCAAACATTCTCGTTTATTACATCTGCAAGATTTTCGAATCACATACAGGAAATCATCAGTTGCGTTTTAGTCAGCATTTTAGCATTCGAGCATTTTTTATTTCAAAGTAAGCAGTTTGTATAAGCAATTTACAAGCATAAGTTACTTAAAAAATTAGGGGTGATTTGACCCAGCCATTAGACAATTTTTTTTGTCTATTAGCTCATGTATGTGCACTTTTAAGCTATTGGTTTTCGTAAAAAAGTCGATTGAAAATAGAAATTCAATATGATTTCGGTGTTTTCTATATCTAATTACTGTATCTCATTTTCTATATCTCATTTTTCTCATTACTGATAATTACTGTTTCTGTCATTAAGTGTGTAGTGCCATATAGGCAGAGCTGTACACGCTTTTGGTGTATAGAACAGGAAATTTCTAAGTTGTTGTTACGAGTTTCATATTTAATGCCATTATCAGACAACTCATCTGTATGAACTTCAATTCACCTCAACTGACTCTGTGTAAACTTGTTTATTTAGTCGCAAACAAATCAGTGTTAATCAGCTTGGACCTCCCGAACATTGCTGCCAGTGTTGTGAAAACGTCCTCTTCTGTTCTGCAGTTCAAAGCCTTGGCGATTCTGCGTTTGCTTGTTCAAGGGCAAGGTACTCATGTCAATATGGTGAAAAGATACTGTTAATGTGGTACTGATACTAACGTGGTGGAAAGATATTTAGTTTCACTAGCATGGAAAGATTTTGTTGGAGCAACTCTGATGAAGCAATTTAAGGAAATGAATCCACAGAATGAAATTAAAAACCTTTTTGCATGCGTTTCATCCCAAATTTTAAAGTGGGATTTGACATCTTTTTCAAAAATTTTTGTCTATTGATGATTTAAATGCACCTTTTTTGAAATCATTTTCCCCCCTTTCCCGAACCCCTCTCACCCAATAGTGTAGACAACAACATCTTACTCTACAAGCCATGCATAAAGTTTGTTAAAAGAAGAATAGAAGCTCCTTCTTCATTGAGTTTGGCATGCAAAAACGTGGATTCGTTTCTCTTAAATTGTCTCATAAAAACAAGAAATTCGATTAAGCAAATCAAGACAAGAATGGTAATGCTATTTTTGCCAAACAGAACTCTAGGCTTTTGGCTTTTAATTTGAATAGCAAAGCTTTCTGTTTTTTATGATGTCTTATTTTAACTATCGGTATTGTATTTCCCTTAGACTTAAAATACTTAGAATCGTGAAATACAGGGAGCTCGTTGTATTATAGATTTAGTGTTTCATGTTTCTCTTGTTTACATTTCTTTTTGACAAAAAATTTTGATGTTCTCCATACCACTATTGGTGGTCCTCTCATTTATGTACATACTTAATACATTACGTTCCTTTAGACATATAACAGCATTTTACTTCATTCTAGCTGACCTCACAGCTCATTTGTGCAAAGATAGTGTTTTGCTACAAGCAGTGGCTGAATGCGCTAAGAAAGATGTCATCACGGGACTATGCGCCGAAGCAAGAAGACTGACTGCTGCTTTGGTTAAAAATAGCCAGTGTTCAGGTAAGAGTGAGAGATAGGTTGAAAAATATTGCAAATGATAGACTTTAAAGTGCCGAAAATAATTTCAATGGGTTTCAAAGTTATGCCGTTTTGTAGAGTATTTAGCAATGCTCAACTTGTATTGCATCAAAGCTTTTTATCCTTTTCCTTTCATAATTATATCATAATTACTTTTAAATTTTCGTACAATCAAACAATATGGTCATATTCTCTACCTTTTATTTGCACGGCTTTTTTATTTTTTGTCATAACATCAATAAAGTTGATTTCCTTTTTTATAAATGAATGCCTAAACATTGATTACTTAAAAGTTGACCTAACATTTTATCAAAGTGATTTGCAGGCACCGCGGAGCATTGAGAAAAATAGGGGATTTAAAAAAAGAAGGGGGGCTAAAACCGAATAAAAAGAGGCTTTACGGGTGGCTCATTTCTTTCTCCCCGGTGCATGATGATTTGTCATTCTGATGATATTTCATCGATATGTGATTTACCCATCATAACAAGTTCAAAATGTATTGCCTTAACTTTTAACTCTCAAAGCCCCCAACGTAATACCTTTTAAAATACATATTCCCCTTGCTGTTAGTTCTGATTTTTAGTTGATTACATGATCTTCTATAGTGGATTAAAAAATCTTCAAATACATATTTTGAGGCATTACTTTCGACATCAACTTAGCAACTTTTGTGGCCAGACCCACTGCCTCTTCAATACCTGAATATACTCTATTGGCACAGAATGTCTGCTCATGATCCTAACAGCCTAGTGATTTTTTAATGCCAATTCTTGTTGTTTTGAGGACCTTAGCTTCTACATATTCTAAACTCGATTCTTTTCTGTATGAAGCATCTCTTTAAGCTTAAATTTTGTGTGTTTTTCTTGAGTAAAGTTGTAAGTCATATTTATCTACTTAAGAGAACTGTTCACATTCTTATGTAAATGATAATATTGATTACTTTCAGATTCTTTCAACGCAATGCTTGCTAACGATGCAATGCAGTCATTGATTGGTCTTCTGTCCAGTGACCATTTCATAATGCAGAATGAAGGTTTGGTGGCCATCATAACACTCTTGTCTGCTGGCAAAGGTATTTTTTAACTTTGGTAGTAGCAATCAACGCCCCCCTACTTTTTGTCGGTTTTCAACGAAAGCATGTGGACATATATCATTAGTTGACTTCTGCTGTGCTTTATCATAAAGTGTAGCCTAACGTTTTTGCTTGTGACCGAAGTTTCAAAGTGGACTCGTTAACAATTTAGGCCCTTCTAGTAAAAGATAAAGGCAATAAAATCTAGTAGAATGAGCTATGTTTTTGACTTTCATTTTTTCATGTCAAAATAACCTAGTCGCATCGAAACAACATTCTTTATTCTTAAATGCGATTTGATTTCTGAAATTCAAGTTATCTATCTAATTTCAAATGAATTCTGTTTATGTTTTTAGATGCAATTGAGAAGTTCATAAAAGCCGATGGGCTTGAGCAGTCTATCAAGCTCTTCCAGCAGTCGATTAGCAAGCCTCATTTGGTATACAACTTGATGACTCTGTTTAGTGCTGTTTGTCAACAAGGTATCTGGGCTGAGCATTTTGATTAAGCTTCTTTTGTTTCAATACAATATGTCTACCTTATTTACTACTTCGTGAAATAAAAAGTTTTTTCATATTGATCAACATCTCGCCATGGATTTTTGACGCACTGAAAATGATAGAAGCATAAACATAGGAACCAGGGGCACATTCCTCCACACTTTTCAGAAACGGAGGTAAGGTATCTATCTTGCCACTCACGAAGGTGTCCCTTTTTGGCTACGTGTGTTCCCTTTCTTTAAATGCGTCCTACGTCTATAGGTAGAAGTACATAGAGTTAAAAGTACTGTGAAATGTGGTGCATCCGAATTTCTTATGAAACTACCTTGTCAAATTTGGCTCATATCTGGTAGTGCCTCCTTCAAAAGAAGCTTTATATTTTTATAATTCCATAGGCATCTATGCCAAATAAGGCTGGGTCGACAGAGGCACTAGTTCCAAGAGGCTAACGTTCTAGCCTATCCAAAAAATCTAAAAATATCTGTTTTTCTTCTTCTCTGTATTTTACGGTAGCGTCCTAGCTAACTTAAAAAGAAGATGGTGATCAGATTTCTACTTGCCTGAATAGTGCAACTAGCAGAAGCGTTCTTTATACTCCCATTTTTGCCTAGCTTTCCCGAAGTAACAAATTTTCTGATATTGGTGTAGTTACGTGAATAAGGCGTCAATTATGGGTTCCTTTCCTGGAAGACATTAGAATCTACCTTAATCTCTTTGTTTTGCAGAGGAAGGAAAGAATATCTTGAGAGAGGAAGTGAAAAAAGATGTTGAAAAATTGGCTAATGGGCCCAACGAAATGGTGCAAAATCGTTGCATTGAACTTTTGAAACTCTTGAATAGTTAGTTTTGTAGATTTTCTGTAGTATAAAAAAATTGTATCATGAAATTTGTACTTCCGAAATTTTAGCAATAGCCATAAAATTCCTGTATTCAGATAATCGAGTTAGAGCTACAGTGATATTCGAAATTTCGTAATCAGCTTTCCACAGTCAATTTTAGTATTTGTGAAGATAGTCAACGATACCGGCAACTCTTTACCTCGATCGTTTGTGTATTTGAAAAGCCACGTTAGAGAAACACTTCACCTCTTGAATGTCTAAGGATCATCAGCGAATTTTCTCCTGTTCTTGAAGTTTCTCCCGTGCCTGAATTTTCTCCTGTGCCTGAATTTTTGTTGTTTACTGAAGAGATTGTTCAGACTGTGAACACTTTTCTAACAGTTATCCCAGTTTAAAATGATCTTTTGTATCTTTATTAACTAAATATCCCTAGAAAACCTTTTTCTAGTACGATGACTTAAGTAATTTAACGTTTCGTGTTATCATTTTTTAGCTGAAAATTGAAATTTTATGCAGTTTTGTATGATAATTATCTGTGTTGGGCGTTGCTTTGTTGAGTTTCTTACAGTTGAATTTCTCGATAGAATGATCGACGACTCAAGCAAAAATGTGTTTCTCTTAAGAACTTTTTGCAAATTGATTATTTGGCTTCTTAAACCTAATTCGGGTTATTGATTCCCCTGTTATAGCAAGCTTTGTCGTTAAGTGGTTGCTCTTATTAGTGAGGCATGCAGAAACATAAAATGATATTAGTTCATTAACGAGCTGTTAATTTTCGAGGATCTGCAGAAAAGGATTTGCAACATTTAAAGCAACACAACATTATAAAGCAATATTTCTGGTCCAAATTTAAAATAATTGATGTTCACTTGACACCTTAGCCGATGGCAAAGTTTGGCTGCTGGATTTTTTTTTCTCTTATAAAAACATAGAAGACATAGTGTTTCTCTTATTCGAGAGAGCGTTTTGCTCAAATTGATTGAGTTTTGTCATAAAAATCATCTAATCAACGCCTGGAATCTACAGTAGTCCTTGCTTTGAAAAGAGTTTTATATCCCCTTTTTATGTTATTCATTTTTAACTTTCTCATAGAAGAATAAGAAAACCAGTGAAAAGATTATTAATTCTTATTAATTGATTTAGGAAGTTTTAATTTAGCAAGTTTTGGAAAGGGGCTTTTTCGAGGGGGGGGGGGGGTTTAGACGGCGGGGCAGTCAGTAGATTTATGATAACTCGTAATTTAGAAAAATGCATCTATCTAAAAATTCCTTATTATTTAACTGATAACAAAGATGTGTATTTTGTATTTTCCGAATAAACCTTTATTAAGGTGATATTATTATTATTAAGGTATAAAAAAAGGTGATAAAAAGGACCCTGCTCGCTGCACGCAAAGTCGGCCTTCTTGAAGTGGTCTCGTTTTAATGTCCCTCGTGTTCTTCTTTCTACAAGAGAGGTTGTCAGGCCTTTGGCAACACGTGAAGTGATCAACTGGTATACGGCAAGTTAATCAATGTCCTCTAGCTCTTAATCATGCTTGTGTTGTTCGAAACTCCTGCTGGCTATGCCATCTTCAAGGTAAATATATCGATTCTCTTCTTCATTTTTTTATCGGATAGTCTATGAAAGTATATACACAAAATATTGGATGATACTGTCATCGTGCATAGCGGCGCCCCACCACCAAACAAACATTAAGCCCCGGCAAAACGACTGGACATTTGCACTGGTCACATGCTGGACATCGCTCACTTGTTCAGAGTATGGACATCAAGAAAATATTGGTTATGGCAAAACGACTGAACATTGTCCAGTGAACTTTTTCCCTGTTGAAGAATGCGGGTGGGAAAACTGGCAACAGGGCATCTCTTTGCCTTTAAAAATACACTTTTCATAGCCCTAACCGTGTTATCGTATGAATTAGAGTGTATTATTGAAAAGTGGCTAGGACTGCTAGGTTCATCAAAATCACCGTCCTAGTACTCTCTGACATCGCTTTCCTTATCGCAACTAAAGCTAATCTGATCAGAGGACTCGTCGTTACTAATGAAATGCCTTTTTCTGCTATTCGTCGAATTGAATTTTCACGTTGTTTCCATTTCGTTCGCGGTGTTTACTAGGAATGTTTGTTGAAGATTTGAATATGGGAAATAAACTGACGCCAAATCCAAACCATTAATCGATTGCGCGTGCGCGAACTGGACAATGTTCAGTAGAGTGGCAAAACGACTGAACAATTTCTGTACAACATCAGTGAACAAAAGAAATTTAATCCTGTCCACTGAACATTTTTGGCTGCCTTCAAAATTGACTGAACAACATTCAACATCGCTGAACAAGACTGCACAAGGTGGCAAAACGACGCAACATTTACGCTGGACATTTGTCCAGTGCATGTTCAGTGAAAATGTCCAGTCGTTTTGCCGGGGCTTTAGTGTTTTTGGCCTATTTTATTGGATATAAAATAGCTAAAATTACAGGTATAGAAACTTGACTAGAAAAGGTTTTGAGCCTTGAAATTTTGAGGATTCTTTAAGATGGTGATTAGTTTTTTATTTTTTATTATTAAATTTATCATTTAAAAGTAGCATTGTTATTCTAAAGATCGGCATTGATTGAAGACTAATGGACAATATAAAACTGCTTTATTTCGCTTCAGCCCTGCCTTTTCATGGATAGACATTCTCAATTCTTGAAAATTTCCTTAGTGACATATTTGCAAATCATGAGATGAATGAACGAACTTGTATCATTTTTAGACGAAATGCCGTCATTTGAGCCACCTGAGATTCCCACTTTTGGAACTAGATTGAAAAAGTGCAAAATACATGCTTCGCGGTTGTCTCTTTTACCCAATTTTGTCACTATTGACCAGTTTTTAACATCTCTTCTAGTTGCTTGATGAGAAGAAACTAGAGACTGCTGATGATTTATTTAAAGAATTTGAAAATGCTGACAAAGCAAACAAAATGTAAATATTCCTCTTTAATTTATTACTATGACATAGTCTATGTATAAAAATGTTTACTTATTGTTTACAGTGGTTAGAAGTTTAAGGACTAGAATAACTTTTAGATATCTTATTAGCCATTTGGAAAGGATTTCAAAAATACTTCAAATTATCAGGAGATATTAATAAGTTTTAGCCAAATTTATAGTAAATCATGAGGTTTTTAGTCATATTTTTAATGAGTTTTTAGATAAACCACAAAGTTGTCTTCTTCACAAAGTTTTTTAAGATTTTCTGTTTTAATTGATGCATGTTAATATCATTTGTCTAATATGAGGCAGGTTATTGATAAGGTGATAACAGAAACACTGCTTCCCCACCTTTTGTAAAATTCACTCTTATGGAGTTTTCTTGTAAAAAAGTGCTTGATATTCCTGACAATGGTGAGGCAATTGCTCAATTTCTTTTTTTATAACAGGGTAAAGCTCAAGCATTTCAAAAAGTTTGAAGATACAACAGAGGCACTGGCTGGTAAGTCTGATTCAAACTAAATTAGAAGCAGCAGGCCGACTTATGACAAATACAACTTTCGCTTGACAAACTGAGCACCATCAACTTTCTAGGTCTTCAACTGAGCATCATCAAACACCATCAATAACCAAATTTGGTTTTTCGTATTTAGTTTTTAAAAAGCATAATCACACTGGATGCTCAATCAATCAAGCTCCTAGAACTTGATCAAGCAAGAGCGCCTCTCCTTGCAAGGCCTAGCCCACTTATTTTTGGTGGCAGCAATAAATGCCAAATTGTGCCACAATTTTATATAGTCAGCAATAGAAATTTTGAAAAATATATTTGAATGAAAAATAATAAATAATTTTCAGCTGAATTTTGTTCTTATTTAAATTACTTAAATTAATTTTTGTTCTTATTTAAATTATCTAGTTTTGCTGTTGCTTTAATGCTACAAATGGTATTTATGAAACTGTTGTTTGATTTCCAAATAGCTGCCACTGCTGCAGTTGAGGGAAAACTTTCAAAGGGTCTTAAAAAGATGCTGAAAAAAGTTGCTTCAAAGGATATTCACGAGGAACTTGCAGTTGCAGATGCAAAACTTGGTGGAATGATCAAGGTATTACAAAGTATTGACACATCAATTTTGAACAAGCAGTTCATTTTGTTAGAGTTTAGCATAGTCAGAATTTTTAAATATTGCAGATTGAATTGATCAATATATAATTGATATATATGCTGCAGGCCTTGCTCTGAGCAAAATGAAGGTGCTCCATAAAAAGAGCCCCTTAGAAACTCTAGGCGCTCTATTTCGCACCTTTAAATATAATATCCTTGAGAGCATCCTTCAAGAGCTTTGGAAGATCGAGAGCTTCATATCGAAAGCTTTGGAAGAGTGTTAAACAAGAAATTCAATGGTGATACCAAAAAGAACCAGAGTATGAAATAACAAAACATGCAGCAAACACTATGTTAATACAAATATAGAAATTAAGGAAAACGCATGGCTTTAAGTCAAACATTAACTTTATTTCCCTTTTTATGCTATCCATTCTATAAGAGACACTAGAATATCTACTACTCGTGAAAGCAAATGAAAACTGAAAAGCAATGCGGTAATTTGAACGGAAATGTGATCTCTGATTTGCAAAGGTGATTCTAAATTATTAAGAAAAAACAGAAAATAATACTTCAACAGAAGATTAAGGCTTGCTCGAAAATCAAATAAATCTGCCGGAGAATACGCTTGATGACCTGTGTCCTTGGTGGTTATCAGAGGGTTATTAGATTAAAAATGGTATCCAAAACCCAACGTTGAATTTGCTGAATTTTTTTCTCAAGGGGTAATCTTAGGCAAATCATAATATTGCGGTCTATTGGGAAGATTGTTTATGCTGGATCAAGTTTATTAGACAAATGCCAAGAAATTATTTTGTTCTGTGGTAATATTGTTTTTACGTTTTGAGGGGCTCTATAAATCGCTCTCCAAGGCTTCTTTTGGGTGCGCTCTAGGCGCGCGCGCTCGATCGAGCGCCTTTCAGCTACAAGGCCTGATGTAGCTGAGCGTAATCTTTAGTTGCAATGCTGTGTTTCTATTTATGCCAAACACACTATGGTTTATCATAGAATAATAAAGATTTGTTTTTCTGTACATTTTTCTCTTGGATATGTTCAATTTTTTGAAGGAAATATTCAATATTCCCAGTAAATCCTTTTTCACTAAAATTTTACATATATATACTTTTTATTTAAGGACAAGCTTGATTTTAAGTGTGTGAGCTCATCTGCTATTAATGAATTGTTGCGTGGTATCCGCTCACAAATGAGCAACCTTATTACAGGTATGTTTATTAAATATTGTAGAGTTAATTAAATTTCTGATGGTGATAATATACGTTTTGGGCATTCTATTCTCTTGTGATCTTTGTATTTTGTATGATAATTTTGTTTTTTTATCAAATAGCTTTGTATTAAGTCAAAAGAGAGGACTTTTTGACCCTCTTACATTTATAGCACCTCTAAAGAGCTTCTTTGCGTTTTATGCTAAAAGTCTTATCCTAAAATGTACAAAGTATTTATCTGCCTGCTCTTCACCTCAATAGGGTTGTCTGAAAAAGAAATCAGTGCTATGGCCCTTGGATTGGCTCACAGGTAAATGATGGCTTCCTTTTTTTGAAGATATATTTTTATCAGCTAAATTTTTATCTCTGTGAAAGTAATAGAGTAATGCTATTACAATTTCAAATATAATTTAAGTATTTAAGTTGTTCTTAAGTTGTTCGTAAGTATTTAAGTATTTAATGGGGATGTTATTTAACCAGAAAAAATTACAGTATAATCCGGTTATGACATACTTTAAGGGACCAGTGTATTAAGTACATTATATCTGAAGTACGTTGTAACGAGGGTAAGTACAAATTGACTAAAACCAAGCACATCTTTTGCTGGGACCAAGCACACCAGTATGTTATATCCAAAAGTATGTAATAACCGAGTACGTTATAACGGGATTCTACTGTAATTACTTTCTTATATATGTCATGCAGCCTGCAAAATATGAGATTGCAAATTTGTTTTAAGCAAAATGGATTTGATATCATGTTGTATTTTCTGTTCAGTAATGATATCATGGGTAGTTCATCTTTGTATCAGAATGTCAACTTGTATCTGAATGAAAATTACTTTTTTGAGTACTTTGTATTGCAACTTAATAGAGAGAATGACCTGTTATGTTTCAACTTCAAACTAAAAAGAAGCTACCAGGAGGCAGGATAGATGTCAATTTCTTGCTTCTTTGTTGTTTGGGCTTTATATTTTGGCATAAGGTTCAGCCATATTTTGACCAAGTTAATTCCTTTTTTGCAAAAACTTTAGTCTGTCACGGTACAAGCTCAAGTTCAGTCCTGATAAAGTTGATACAATGATTGTCCAAGCCATCTCATTGCTGGATGATCTGGACAAAGAGCTCAACAACTATGCAATGAGATGTAGAGAGTGGTATGGTTGGCATTTTCCAGAAATGACAAAAATTGTTACAGATAATTTGGCATATGCCAAAACGGTGAAGACTTTGGGTAAATACCAATATTTACTTCAAATGGCGTGCTTAGTTAGCACTAGAATTTTTTGTTCAAATCTTTATAAAAAAGTCAAATGATGGTAACAGCTGATATCTTTTTAAAATTATATGCTGTGATTATATCCTGACAACTATTTAAAAACAATTTGAAAAGTGTAATGTCAAAGAAAAATCCTAACCTGTGGATTTTTGCATTTTTTTGAGTGTGAAGGCTTATGTAATATGATAGAACAAAGGCTTACTGTAAAATGGTCTGATAACTGCTTTAAATTTGTTTTGCTTTCTCTTGCTGGAAAAATAAATTTCAAATGGGATACTTGTGTAAAATTTTTATAAATTGTGTAGACATGACTTCATAACTTAATATTTTGTTATTATTTTCAGAATTGATGCATATTATGACAAATTTTGTTTTACAAACAGTATTGTAATATATCTTGTTACTTAGCCAAATTATAAAGACTGGCATATTTGTTTTCTTCTTTCTGCTTATCTGGTACATCAACAACATTATAATTATCAACTTTGCATATTTTAAAGGTCAAAAAGTAAATGCTGCAACTTCTGATTTGTCAAGCATCCTTACAGAAGAAGTTGAAGAGGAACTAAAGAAGGCTGCTGAAATATCGATGGGAACAGATGTAAACAACAATATTTCAGTCTTTTATTATTTTAGATGAAATTTACATGATATCGTATCATTACCAATATTGTATGAGATCATATAGTTGTGGACTTTGTTTACGTGGAGACATCAACTGCTATGGAATGAAACATGCCGAAAGTTTTGATATGGCACTAAAAGGGTATCATGTAAATGACTGAATCCAATAAAGATCTGGGCATGGATTGATAAGCATTTTGCAGCCAACTTTTACAAAGCAAAAATGTATCTATTGTCCTTTATGGCATTTAATTCACTATTGCTGGCATTGATCACTATAGACTTGCAGTTTAAGTTATGAAACTTGAATTATATAGCTTCATTTTATTAACAGATATCTGATGAAGATATGGAAAATATTTCATACCTTTGTGACCAGGTATGTATATTTGCTATCTGATAATCAGCTTAGGTGATAATCAGCTTTTAAGTTCAAAACTGATATTGAAATCCTCTAGATACAAAGTTTTATAGGCCAAGGTTCCTAAGCATTGCATGACAACCAAACAAGGATTCTCATCACCATTTTCCTGATGTTTAATATCTCTGTTTGCCAGCAGACCAAGTTTGTAACCAAATGCATAGTTTTCTCGTTTTAAGAAAATTCAGTTAATGTTTCTTATTAGAGTTGCTGGATTGATAAATTTTTCAAGAAAAGTAGTTGAACAACAGTCTAAAATTATTTATCTCTCGCGGGGTATATTCTCGTTTTCAGGTTATTTGAAATGCTGGATACAGGAACTTTCTGTAATTTCATTCAGATTTATTTTTATTATTATTGACATGGAATATTTTGAATTCAGGTTATACAAATCTCCGAGTACAGGGCCCAGTTGTATGACTATTTAAAGAACAGGATGCAGGCCATTGCTCCAAATCTTACTATTTTGGTTGGGGAACTTGTCGGTGCTCGTCTCATAGCACATGCAGGTGCGTTAACAATGAAGATTACTGTTCATCGATCTATTTTATAGGGCTTGATGATTTTAGAGCTGTACACTCTTCCAAAAGTAGGTTTTAGGATGCTTGAGAAACTGCGCTTATGGAACAGTGTCCTGGTCCTTCTTCTCCATGTGACCAATCCTCGTGATTTTGGTTCTAAGTTGCTGCTTTTTCTTTTCTGCTGTACACATCAAAGCTGGCGTGTTAATAATTATTGAAAAATGTTGAAAGCTAACGAATTTTTTTGTTGTTCTTCGTGTTCGTGAGGTTGTACTTCCTTTCTTTGCCATGTTGTCTCAATTAAAGAGACGAATATATCCTAAAACTTCATGTATTTAAAACTTCATGTAATAACCATGGATTTAGATCGTTTTTTGTAAGACGTAGCAACAATGATATCGTTCACTCTACTGAAAATGTTGCTAGTCACATTAATTAATCAATTAAACAGCAGATTGAATCATTTCCCCATCATTTCAGGCTCGCTACTGAATCTCGCCAAGCAGCCATCATCAACAGTCCAGATCCTTGGGGCTGAGAAGGCGCTTTTCAGGTGTGGATGAGAATTTTTTCCGTGAAATATTTATTTAACCTTAACTAAAATTTGTATCAGGTGATGGTGTAGACGAAGTGAAGTGGTCGATAGCGTGTTGGAGGAGCAGGTAACATTTTGTAGAATCGTAGCTGATACATAGAAAAATTTATAGAAAAATATAATGTGTGCATATCTATATTTTTAATGTTCTTTCTACGACAAGAAAGCTGTTATATCCTGACTATAGTATTGTACTGACTATAGTATAGTAGTAGTATTGTATGTACTTTATTTTTTTTTATCTGCCTCTTCTCTGAATCAGGCAATTTGTCTTCTTGTAGCACAATTCAAAAATCGTCATATAAATAAACTTACAACGTAAATACTTTCAATAGCTCCGCACCGAGTGTAATAAGAATAATTTTGAAAAAACTTTGTATCTAAAACGTCTCGACCGAAGTCTTAGTAAATATACATACTTATTACGTATATAATCACAACGTAGATAGCGTTATGTATATAACATCAAGCTATTGATTCTATGCTTATAGACTGTCCTTTCTAACTAAATGGTTGCTTTCTTCTAGAGCACTGAAAACAAAGCACGACACGCCAAAATACGGTCTGATTTATCATGCGTCTTTAGTAGGTGGTGCTAATCCAAAGAACAGGGGCAAGGTCAGTTTACAATGAATCATCAACGAAGCCTGCTTTCTACTCTCATCAGTTTCTCATCAGACTTCATCTTTCAGCATTCCATACCCGATTGAAATTTATCTTGATTGGTTATACCTACATGCGAGTTGGTCTGCGTGTTATTATCATCATCAGTTCCGATGCCTCTTTGTGCGTGTCTAAATCCCAGAAGTCAGTTCTCCTATGAAATATTCAAGCATGTCTCATTTTCTGAAGCCTTGAAAATTCCTTCATGTATGACAACAGCTGTACATTGTTTAACATCAAGATCTTTATTGTTGATGCAATCCCAAAATTGGGGTTTTCTCGTTCGTATAAGAGTTAGCCACTGTTACTTGAAGAATTAAGGCTCTTAATTGAATATTGTACTATTTTAGTTACTTTTGTTGACTCTGGAATTTCTAGCTTTATATTGCGACTTTTTCCTGTTGCTTTTCATTATATTCAAAGTTTCGTTACCATTTACCAGGTTTCTCGAATGTTGGCCTCGAAAACGGCCTTGGCTGCAAGATATGACGCACTTGGTGAAGATGGCAATACGGAAATGGGTGCAGAGAATCGTGCAAAATTAGAGATTCGAATAAGAAATCTCGAGGATGGGAAAGTAAGGGACCTGAAAGATTGATTACATTTCTGAATGAAAGCTTATTTTTTGCTTTACTTCATTATTATTATTGCCAATTTCTTTAAAAGTTGGCTAACAAAAATACGCTAGCTGTAACAAAAGCTAATTAAGGCCAACTAAAAAATTGCAATATACATGTAGTAAAAGTCATAAACATCTTTATTTAGAGATTGCATATGTCGCGATGAAATTCGATTAAAAGGATATTTGCCAACCTTATATACTGTAAGATGGCAAAAAATTATGTAATAAGGTTTATGTCCAATGAAGCAGTGGGTGCAATTTTAAGCCAAGAAGTGATTAAGATAGTTTAATTGTCATTGAGGTGCGAGTAGTAGCGAGGATGGCTCAGGGGTTAGGGTCACGAATTACAGATCTAAGGGTCTTGGGTTCGAGTCCCTGGCTTCACCAAACTTTCACTCAGAGTGGGGAGAGTTGCCAGCTATCTGTAATTCCAGACGTAGGAATCACGAGGTGTCGTCACATCGAGGGAAAGGACCAGGACACTGCTCGATAAGCATAAGCTACTCAGTGTCCTAAAAACTTCCTTCGGATGCTAGGTAGAAACAAATACAAATACAAAGAATACTTTTATTGTGGGTCCAAGAAGTCCAGCTCTGACGTTAATTATTCTACGATAACAGAGTGGAATATTTCATCGTAAAGCTTTACCCTGAACCTGTCTCTACTTATTTCGTGATATCTTCGTGAGTTTCCATTAGTAACAAACTTTTATTTCAATTTAGCTAAGGCGTGTCAGTGGTTCTGGTAAGAAGCCTGCCAAAACGGACAAGTACGAAAACAAAAGGTAGGGTCTCGTCGTGTCTTTTGTGCTTGATGAACAGAAATCTTTAGGTTATTTGTTGGGTCTTGATGATTGTCTGAATCAGCTCCAAAATAAAGCATCTACTGTATACTCAAAGATATGTTGCACCCTTTTCTTATTTCATACCTAAGTATTTACGCCAGAAACTACATTAAAGTATTTTGAGGCTTCGAAAATATTTTCCAAATGGCGCCTGAAAGATTGATTACATCATCAGAAAAAAAATTATCTTGTTTTTTTGGGCCTTTTTTTCTTGTAACGTATCCCATACAGTCAACTGCATCCTAAATTAAGACTAACCCATTAAATCTATGCATTCACAGCCCAAAACACAGACTTCATTCAGCGAATACTTGAAAAGAATTGTATACGGAGTGTCAATCTAACAGGCTAAAAATTTCAGTTTAACATTTTGCTACTCTCTCTATTTGCAGTGAAATTAAATCCTACAATCCAGTTACGGATTCAACGATCGGAGTTTCAAAGAAGCGAAAACATTCAGAATCGGAAGAAGAAGAAGAAGAAGAGGTGACTGTAAAGGAGGAGGGTGCGTTTCCCAACAGTTTTTGCACAATTTTGTTAAAGGGCATCTGCCGTGAACATGATTGGCTAATGCAATACAATTATCTCTTTTGTTTAGTACAAAGCATGGAATCGAGGGTGAATTTTTACGGCAGTAAAAATTAATTAGGAAGAAATAGAAGTCACCAAACAATGGAATTCCACTCCAAATGCTTTTGTTTTATTAGCCAACTGCTAATGCGACATATGCCCTTTAAAAGGGATTGTAACTACAGCAAAAAGGATCTACCATATTTATGTTTATCATTCGCAGAAGTCTGGTAACGACTAAAAACAGTTGTGCAATGCTCTGCAATGACCAATGGAACCTTTGATTTTTAACTTATTATGATACTGATATGGTCTTGTCTACGACGAACCATGTTAAGGGTTCTTGCTACACTGTATAAGAAATAGCCTGTATTCATTTCTTTGCATTTTCGATAATTTCCTGTGCTAATTCAATTTCATTAATCACATGGTGCTTTGTTGTTCTAAGGAAGGAGAAACATACTTCCAGAGAGCCATAAATCGCATTAATTGTACAAAAATTCACTTAGCAAGACTTAAGCCTGTCAATTCCTCAATTTAGTCATTTTTGTTCCACTGTTGTTCGTGGACTTTATTTGAAAGCTCCAGTAAAATGTCAAAAAGTTTCAATGTTTTGTTTTGATTTAGAATTACCAGCGAAAAAAAGCAAAAAGGACAAAAAGAAGAAGAAGGATGCCAAACAGGATGAAAATGGATCGGCTGAAGAGAAATCAATCATAAAAACAGTCAGTATTTATTGATTTTCAACAATGCCGTTTAATTAACAGAATTCAGCTAACTTTTTCCAATATTAGAATGCTTTACAAACTATATATCAATTAATAATTTTAAGCTGATTAACGAGTCAGTCAAATATGATGGTAATTCTGACAATGTTTTACCAAGTATAGCCGGGTACTATTATTTGTTATTGCAAAGATACTATTAAATCCTCAAACGAATAAATTTTATCAAAATCAACTTCCTAAATGGAATATTTCAGGACTGAAGCTCCTTTGGATAGTTTCAAGACTAGATAATAAATTTTTCGAATTTTCAATTTGTTTGTTTTTGCGTCTAAGAAGAGCTCAATTTTTCTATGAAGCGATTTTGTTTCATCCTTCGACAAAAGTGCGCCAATTGGCCTGCATGATGGGTTTGAAGTCCAATCAGGGACGCCTGCAAGCAGGGTTGGCGAAGGGGAGGGGGTGTTAGAGCGTAGAGAGAAAAGGCAAAGGAATAGCAGTCACCAGGCTCCTTGGTCCCAATCGACCAGTGTTTAGTTGTAAGGTTAGCTAATACTTTGATCTTAAACAAAACATGAGCCCTGGTACTGAATGACTGAGATAAAAACTAAGGAAGTGTCTTTTGTATCTCTAATGGTTTAACTATTTTCTCGTTTTAGGAGGATGAAGAAGGGGGAGAGAAAAAGAAAAAGAAGAAAAAGAAGAAGGACTCTAAACACGATGAGTAATTAATTTCGGGCAGTGAAGTGAAACTGGAGACTTCTTTTCTCATTTTACATATCCAATAAAAGCCATCAATTTTTTTATATTAACTTTTATCCACGAATCTTGAAAGCATTTTGATCCAAACTGTCGTCTACTTTCAGCCGTAATCAGCAGAGTTTGGATTTTTGTTTTTATTCCACTTTACAAATAAATAAATACTTTGTGTATGGTTTTCAATATCTGGGTTTTTACATCGGAAATAAACAAATTCTCTTCCTTGAAAACGGCTCTCGTCATTCTCTAAAATCTACCATCTCCTAAAATACCTTTAAGGCAGTCCTAGTTTTAATAATTTAAATCAATGTTAATATTATTGGTGATAAATTATAGGGTAATCAATCAAGTAAAAACTACCCCAAACAAGGAAAGTTGAGCAGCCAGATTTATTCTAAACGAATTTTATTACATTGCTTTTGTTTAAATCTGTTACGTGGCCGTGAATAATATACCCTCTTCCTTCTTCCCTAACTTTAGGATGTGGTTAAAAGTTGATCTGGGTCTATTTGGAGTTACTTGTGTCACCCTTCAAAAAAATGATATTTTATTAATGATATAACCGCATTATATCTTAGGTTAACCAGTCATTAGCGGAGTGTTTTTAATGAACAGGCAAGGAGACACCAACTGCTTTCTGAACTTGCTCAAAAAGCTTTGTTAAACTACATTGCGGTGGCGCAATTTAGTGTTTTCTTTTTTAATCAAGGAATGTTCGATGGATTATATCGAACTGGTATAAAGTCAGTTCCTTTTTCAGGGTAGCTCTAAATGTTTCAGTTTCTGTTGCCCTATGCGTTATACATCTAGCCAAGCATAATAGCTGAAATAACAAACCCATTGGGCCCTGATCGAATCATCAATTTATGGTTTCCCGGTACCACATCTGTTGCGACATATTTCAAGACCGTTCCTTCCAAGAATTTCTTGGCAGCGTCAATCTTCTGAATTGGTGAGTTATCAAATTTTACTTCCGCTTGACGGTCATCTGTGAATGACATAATCGCGAGTTTCTTGTATGGCACTGTGCTGCCACCTGGATGTGGTGGAACAGTTATTTCATATGTAATATACTGGTCGGATTTTTTCGTATCCATTCCAATTATCTTGTCTGACCGGACTTTGAATTCACGTAGAACTGTGTAATGGAAATCTCCATTGGTTTCCTCTTTCACCGACAACGTGTTGTTTGGGATTTTATTATCGACTAGCATGTACGTGTAGCACAAAGGCTTCCACGTGAATGTCTGCTGGTAGATTGGTTTTGGCACATAGACTGTTTCCGGAATTTTGAGTTTGCGTGCGGCGTCGCCGATTTCCAAAAACCTTTGCTTGACAAGGCTTTTCAGGAACTCTGTTCGGATGTAATCGATCACGACATAGGCCATTTGAGCATGTGCCTCTATGCTTGGATGGAACTGGTCCTCAGAAAACAGCTCATCTCGTGTAAACAGTGGCTCATTGCGCTGCATCAGTGAACAGACCATATCCCTCCAGCTAAGTGACGTAATTTTGTAATGCTTTGCAATGTCACTCTCACCTTCATCCTCGAAATTTCGGCAGTGTGTAGCAAGATCTTTGTCCCATGAAAAGAGTGCGAAGAAATTCAGGAAAATCAGTGCTGGTTTTGCTTTGTAACTAAGCACATCCTGAGTGAACTGCTCCAGCGATTGTTGCCTTGGTTTCAGGGTCTCGTCGTACCTGTGCATGTCGTTTGCGCTCAACTCCCACAATACAATGTTGGTCATTCGGTCATCAGGTAAATGCGTGCGCAGGCAATACGAATAATAGTCAGTGGCTATTCCTCCAATTGAAACATCCCGTATTATCATCGAAGAACCAGTGACAGGTCGAATTATTTTGTTCCACCAATCAGCTATTGCATAGAAATAGGTTTTCAAAGCGTAATCCACGCCTTTCTCGCTAAATGGGCCTCCTTTCGAAATCGAGCCTCCTACAATAACTAATCCGACGTCTTTGCCTCTTAAAGCCCTGTCAAGTGATCTCCGTAGATTTAGTCCCGAAAGAGAACCAAGGTTTGCGTACGTACTGTGAATTTTGTCATTGTCAAGTCCTAGAGATGCTGCGTTCGAATACTGTTCTTTGAACGACCAAACCTCTGTGATATCCTTCTCTAGATTCTCGATTAACGATTCGACCGGCTCACTTTCTGCTAAAACCGTATCCGGTTCTGGTGGCTCGTAATCAACAGGTCCGGATGGCATCTCGTGTTTTGCTTGGGGGTCAATGTAAGAGTTGGCCATTGGTGTTGCATCTTGGGTGCCAGCGTTGTAATTGTTGATCGGGCTTTGTGCAGGAGCCCCGTATTCAGCGGTTGCAGGTTGCTGGTTATTACTGCCCGTCATTCCAGCTTGAGCCCAGTCGTTACTAAATGCCTGTTGTTGAGTTTGTTGCTGCTGCTGCTGCTGTTGTTGTTGTTGGTTATTGTTATTGTTTTGGTTATTGTTGTTCGACTGCTGCCCTGCTCCAGAGATCTGAAGCTTCGTGTAGACCTCTCCAATTTTCTTGTTCAAGTTTTTCAAGAGCTCCTTAAACTTCTCAGCCTGGTGACCCGTTGGTAAATTGGCTGGCAGCAGAACGTGGGGTTTAGTCGGCGATGCATGGTGAGTGTTGATTGCCCCGGTTGCATTTTCCGAAGTCGAGCTATTTGAGTTCGTTGTTACTGCCAGTCTCTCTGCCTCGGCCTGTTGCTCTTTTAATGCTTTGAGCGCCTCCCTAGCGGCCTTAAATCTGCTCATTGTAGTTATGTGACCGCGACTTGATCCTGGTACTGTTGGTTTAAACTCTTTTATAAAATCCAATGAGTTCTTTAGTTCTTTCCCTTTCACTTGTTTTTCTCCTTTCTTTGTCTTCTTCTTTTTACTTTTTTTCTTTTTAGCCGACTTCAACTTTTGTTGAATCATTTTCCCGAGTTTCTGCAATCCGGATGGCAAATCACCCTGAGAACCTAATTTTCCCGACTTTATCAAATTCTTGAGTTCCTGCTTCAAAAGCCCCCTTATATTATCCAGCTGCTTGTCTTTTCCCTTCTTTTTGTTCTTTGTTCTATGCATTTCTTCTTTAAGCAGACTCTGAATTTTTACCAAAGGATCGTGGCTTTCCTTGCCAGCCTTTTTAATTGCTTCAGTCATTTTTTTCTTGGCTTCCTTTTCATCTTTCGAATCCTTTTCCTCTTTTTGTGTTTTCTCCTTTTCCTCTTTTTGTGTTTTCTCCTTTTTTGAATCATCTTTGGTTTCTGTTCCATTCTTTATTCCATTTGTCAGTTTTAACTCGATATCTTTGATGAATTTTAAATCCTTTTTCAATGTGTTTTTTGCATTCTTGAGTTCCTCCGACCCTACCAACTTCTTCTTGTACTGCTCTTGCAGTTTGTTTATCTTCCCGACCTCTGTAATTATCTGACTTTTAAATTTTTCAAGTTCGTTTACATCAACATCTTTCCCATCAATTGATTCGTGCAAATCAACTTTTTTTTCTTCTTCCGGCACAAAAGATTGAATTTTCGTCTCGTGCATGTTCTCCTCTGTTTTTGACGTATTTACCGCTTCGTCTTTGTTCTTCTGCACTGGCAACTCTGATGATGTTTCGTGGTCAACTTGAGGCTTTGCTGTTGACTTCTCATCTTTGGCGTTGGTCGTCAAATGTTCTTTCACCAGACTAACGATCTCGCTTTGATTTTTCTTTTTCTCGCTGTCATTTTTACTTTGCATTTTCTCTGTTTTCAGTGCTCCCTTCTCGGCCGTTTTACTTGGTTTGTTGCTGTTGCCTGAGTGCAAAAATGGGTTAGCTAATTTGGATATCAGATCTTTTTCTTCTTCACTCCATGATTTAAAAGTTTTCTCGTTGTCCTCGCCCGATCCTTCATCATTTTCAAGCACCTTTAGATACGGGTTAGACAGCTTCGCAATCATTTCTTTTTCCCACTCTTTAAATCTCTGACGCACCGATTTTAGTGACCCATACTTTTTCTTTTCAAAGTTCCCAGATCCTTCGGCTTCCTCGGCAATCGTTTTTCTTTCAACTGGTTTCGTTTTCGTCTTTTCGCCTTCTTTAGATGTTTGTTTTCTCTTATCAACTATCTTCTCGCCGGGTGGTGCAACTACCTCTGGTTTCACCGGTGTGATGTAATTACGTTTTGTTGTTGGTTTTGCTTCAACCTGCTCCTCGTCAGCTAGGCCCTGCTTTACATTTTTATGTGTCGTCTTTTTCTTTGATGTGTGCTGTTCAATGGCTTCTACTGGATTTTGCTTTGGTTTCTCGTTCTTCTTCTTTATGTCATCAATGACAATAGGCTCTGAAGATTGAATTTTTGCTCTATGCTCTTTTAATAATTTGATTTCTGCATCATGTACTTTGACAAAATGAACTTTTTCTCCACTTCCCTCAGTTGCCTTCAATGGTCTAGCAAAATCTGTACCCTCCTTCTGTAAGCTCCCAAACTTTTCGACTTTCTCCACTGGTTCATCTTTTAGATTTTTAGCACTGCCAAATTTTTCTGCTTTCTTCATGTCAGTGTGAGAAGTACTGTCTTCTGTAACCTTGGTTGCTTGCAGAGGTCTGTTCGAGGTCTCAACCACTTGGTTCGTTACCTGTATAGGGTTGTCTTTTGGCTTTGAGTATTTTGGCACAGCTGTTGACTTTTCATCTTTGCCACTATTTTGTTGGAATGTTTCCGTTTCTGAATAGGCGGGCTTTTTACGCTTATGTTTCCTCACTTTTCTTTGCTTTTTTGGCAAATCGATTTTCGTGGCTTTACTCTCATCTTCCTGCTCTTCTGATGTTTCGTCCTCAATGGATCCATGCTCCTCTTCGTCTTCGTCTAACTTTTCCTTTTCTTGCCCTTTGGGTTTCGTTTCCTCCTCGTGCTTCTCGGTAACAGTTTGCATAGACCCAGGCAGGTAGATCTGTGCATTGCGTTGCTTGCTCGGCACAGTCACCAACTTGGCAGGCTTAACTTTGACGTGTTTCTTTTTCTTTTTCTTCAGATCCTTCGCTCCTTCTTCCTGTATTCGTTGTTCCAAGAAATTGTATTCCTTTTCACCAGAAGAATCCTCTTCGTCGTCTTCTTCCGGTTTCGATGTTGCTACTGGTGTTTTGTAACTTTTTTCAGTTGGTCCTTCCGTTGTTGTTCTTGATGATGTCGTTACTGCTGCTGTTGTGCCTGCTGTTGATGCTTGTGCTGTTGATGCATATGCTGTTGATGCATGTAGAGTTGACGCTTTTGTTGTTGACGCCTTTGCTGTGGTTGTTGCTATATAATTGTTTGTATATTGATATGGATTAGGATTCTGATATCCATAATACGCATTATTTTGTTGACTAGAGCTTCCTGTTTGGGATGATCTAGCTGTCCACGCAGTTTGCGGGGATGCAGGTGCGCTATACTGATAGGTCGGTTGTGCGTAACTGTAAGCAGTCTGATTGGTATTGTTTTCTACTGCTGTTGCTGACGATGAATTGGTCAGTTGTTCAGTTGAGCCTTCGTCATCGTCTTCATCAGCCTCGTCGTCATCGTCGCCATCGCCGTCATCATAATAATCATCTTTCTCTTTCGATGTCTCATTTTCTTTATTAAGAATTCGCACAGTGTTCCTCGATTTTTGTTTCAATCGTTTTTTGCCTGCACGAGAGACTTTTGACCTCAATGACCGTTCATTTATATTAACATTGACAAGGACACTTATCTTTCCTTTTCTTTTGGTTGCTTTTATTTCCCCGCTGCTTTGGTCCTGATTTTCCTCTTCTTCATCCTTGTCTACTTCTTCTTTTGTGTCTACTAGTTGTTCGTCGTCTTCAACATTTTTGCTTTTGATTTTCTTTTCCTTCAGTGGATCATTTATGCCCGTTTCATATGCACCAGCTGTCTTCTGCACTGGAACTTCGTTATCATTCGCATGGCTTTCTTTGATTTGATCAACGTCGTCCTTTCCTTCTCCTTTTGTCGACTCTTCGTGTTTCTTTTCTTCTTTCAATTCTTCCTTGTTCTCTTTTAAGCTTTCTCCGCTTCCACTGCCTGCATTCTTATGCTCTTTACGTAATTTCCAATCGTACAATAATTTAATCAAACCTGCTGAAATTGCCTCCTTTTCCTTTTCACTTATTTTTTTGTGTCTCCTTGTTGTCTTTGGCTCATTTTCTTTGGCTATGGTTGAAAACTTCTTCCCTGTCTCTTCCACTAAATTTTCTGGCTTCAACCCTAAGTAAGAGCCATTTTCGTCAACATTTTCCGCTCCATACTCATTATCAACATTTTCAATTACAGGGTTTATGCTAGGCCCCTTTATCGAGTCTCTTTTCTCGTCGTTTCCTTCTTCTGGAACCAAACTGAATTTTTCGATGTCATATTGCGGATAAATATAAGATCTTTTCACGTTATAATATCGCGGTGAGAAATAAACTGGTCGAAATGCCTCAATTTTCTCATCTATATCGTCCGTAACAGGTTGTATATCTGCTGAATAACAATTTGAAACAATGACTGCTACCCAGACCAATAATTTGAGCTTTAAAGCCATCTTTTTCGCCTTTCATTTAACTATGAATAAGATAAGAGAGAAGCACTTATACTTCAGTTCATGTCAGATATTTTTTAAGCAGGTTAACATTTAATTGTTTTACTTGCTGCAACAAATTTAAGTCGGGGTTTTCTAGTCAAGAACACAATAATGTCCCAAAATCATTCATAAAATTAGCGCAAAATTGTTTTTTGAGTATAGCCATTTTTAATTTTCAGTTAATTTTCTAACTCGTGAATAAATACCAACATGAAGGGCAAAAAGCTCCCTCAGAAATCATGCCCTAGACATCAGAAAATCAGTCATGAGGCTACGTTCCCACATCATCAAGAGCGAGTTGGGCCGTTGGTGCATCGGTGCAAATCGCTAAACCTACCACTAATCTAAACAGGAAGTGGTTACTGAGGGATTTTCCATAATAACCCCCAAATTTAATTTATAAAGGGGAGGGAATGGACAAGAAAAGTCTCTTTTCCCTACTAACACCCGATGCACCAGTCCTACCTTAAAGCATCCAAGTAAATGCTAAAAAAATAAAAGAATGCCTAAAGGTACGAGAAATTTTATTAAAGGCATCAAGAGAAAAAATAGGGAGGGAGGGCCTGGAAAATAAACAGCACACTCTACTCTTCGCCTTTCACCAAGCAAAGTGAAACCAACACTATGCCAAAAACCTTAAATACCCCCAAGAATAACCTAGGGAATGAAAACCACCATGAGCTATAAGTCTTTCCCTAGCATTACTAAACAAATCCCCCGGAGGCCAAGACTACTTCGCAATACCAATAAACGAGTAACGCAAATGCAAGAGAACCACGAGAAGGCGTGGCACATGAGACCAAATGAATAACAGTCATTAATCAACTCAAGAGTAACAGCCAATGCAAAAGCTCCTCGTGAAATTGACTCTGATTAAATTTCATTAAATCATCATTTTAAAAAATCTTTAATGCTTCTCCTGATATTCCTCTTTCATAGAGAGGCACCGTTGTAGTACAGGGCTACAATCACTATATTAAAAGTTTTTTAAAGCCTTTTTTTCAAATATTTTGTTTGCTATGCCTGTCAAAGTCTCAAAGAGTTTCGGCTGAATTGATTCGAATGGAGTACTTTTGATAACAGTAACGCTCTGATACCACTATTGGAAAGTGACACTTTTAGTAATATAGTATTACAAATACTTTCAATGTGGGTCGCTGATATTCAGATGCTAGACCAGTCTTTTTGCAATTAACAAACATATCTGTATTTGCTATTTGCTTCATTCATTGCTGTTTGAAAGTAAATTGTGGTTCATTAAGTTGCAGATGCTCCTCAGATGAAAACAGGGACGGATCCAGAGCAAAGGAGGAGGGGCAGTTGGTAGTGGGGGCGCTGAAAAATTTTCAAAAATTGGTTACGAGAGTACGCTGTATACAACAATTTCAGATCCATTTTCGGAATAAACAACATAACTTTCAGGTAACAAATCCTTGAAGCAAAATAAGCTATCGGTCCAAGAACCTTTTTCATCTGATTCTCATTCTTCTAAAGGGGCGCACAATTTCCAAAAAAAGGGGCGCCAGACTTGCTTCAACTCGTTGAGGGAGGGGCAACTGCCCCTAGTTGCCCCACCCCTTAAATCCGCCACTGGATGAAATAAACAGTTTATTGTAAACTTTTAAATGACATTACCAAACACTGTATGTTTATTTAAGCTATAAACTGTTTCAAAGTATCACGATCGTAGCAAACGAATACTAAAGTCAAAACAGGCAGCATCATGCAAACAGCTCGTCGCAGAAAAATGGTTTGCCACGATTACAGCTGTCTGGCACTAAAAATGTTACTGGAAAACTAAGATATGGTTGAATCCTGCTTTTACAAACCCCGCTCATTACGAACATCTTAATATTATAAAATTAAATCTGATTCCTTGAAATATCACTGTTTAAAAAACCTTTGATTTGACGAACTCGCGCTATTACGTACTTCGTTTCCTGGTCCTACAGAATTTGTCACGGCGAGTTTTATACTTTTGTTTTAACACATCCAGCTGCTAATGGGGACACAAGTTAATTGCAGTAGAATTTTTCTGATGGCTCAACTGACATAATATCGAAATAATTATTTCTCTGTTGGTTCGATTATTATATAGATCTTGCTTTGGGTTGAGAAAAATACTTGCTTCTGCGATTGCTACGAAATGTATAGATTGGCATATAATTGCAGTATCACGTAGAACTTGCAATATTGTAAAAGTAGCTACTCTTCTTCCATGACATCCTTTTCCATAATTTCAACGACAAAATACTAAGAGGTATTTGCGAAATCCAAACAAATTTTCCAATGTAATTTGCAGTCGAACAAAGACTGAATCCGAGTTGTACGTACCTGTGAACATATGAGAAGTGATTTCCCAGCTAGTGAATAGAAGACAGCGCATATTCATGAATACATTTCGTTTAATGTAAACCTCGCTCAAAATAAAACAGCAATTCTTTTCAAAGTTAAAATGTAGCAAAAACTACCCACTACGATTTTGAATTAGGCAAATGCAGTATGTTGATTGTTACTTGGCCTTGAAAACACGTTATGTTTGTTTATGAGCATGTCCTTCCCAGAACCATTATTGATAACTGGTATTCGATTCAAAGTTCTTCATGCTTCCTGACTATTCAAATGCTGGCCTAATCAACAGGTTTTTACAACTATCAGCTTCATGCATGTCTCTTATCTTTAGATATGACTATAAGAATCTCCATGTCATATTGACAAATGCCGGGTTATGCAGGTAGAGAATTCAGTTTTCTGGATCAAATCCTGGTTGCTTTCTACCCACCAAAAACTCAATTATTTTGGTTTTTGTAACTAAGATCATTACTTCCTTGTTTACGATCACGTACAATAGTGTGCATAAAGTGTTAATGTCAAAGATATGTAGAACTCTTCTGCAAATCAATGTGAACTGCACATATGCTAGGATGTTGAGGATGTTTGATTCAAATATGTAGTCCTTTGAACAAACCAAGCTGTAACTTTTTCTTGCTATAGCAAACCTACCTACTACCAGAAACAAGTGCTGGACGTTGATAAAAATTAAGGAATTTCAATTCTATTTTACAGACCCCCTCTATTTTATTTCCAGATCTTTGATAGACTTCTGTTACAGACTTCTGGCCAAGTATTCTCCGGTAATGTGCCTGGTTTCACCATTAACCCAGGTCGGATGAACCTCTGTATACAATGGAATTACACTATCAGAAATTCTGACTCCACTATGCTATTCCATTTGAGTGTTGAACAATTATATATAGAACTATGTATTATTGTTTTCGTTATAGAAAACTCTCTTATAAAAGCATTTGTCACTACCTTGTATATAAGCTCTTTTGGTAGGAGAAGATTCGCTTGCAGATTCGTCCTTAAACGGATTAAATTATTACTTTTTCAATCATTATATCCGGAATGAGTTTGAGTTTGACGGGAAGGACCTCAGTGGTACTTCACCTCGACGTCAAAGATAAATTAGGATCTTTTGCTCGTCAACTTCTCCTTCCAAAATCTGTGTTTACAGCTAGAATAAATGAAAACGGTAAGACTGAATTGGGCTAAGAATCTGCAGTTGCCATCAATAACAGTTCCAACCTTTTTTGCTACAACCTCAATGCAGAAATAATTCCACAAAATACACAATTTCATCACAAATTCATCTCATTTTCAGAGCATTATTTCAGCAATACAGTAACAAACATTATTTTTGCCATTATTATGTTCCCGTTGAAAGCTCCCCAACCTTTTGCGCGCACTGTGTGACGTCATTCTCGTCTTCTTGTTTACTAGCCTCTTCTTGATCTTCGCTGTTCTCTTCTTCATCATCCTCTTCACTCTCGTCGCTGTCTTCGCTTTCTTCCTCAGATTCGCTGCCATCGTCATCATAGTCATCATCATCATTATAACTGCTTCCCTGACCATAACTGTAGGAAGCGTAATTCCCAAAAGACGAACTGTAGTCGCCGTCATAATCATCATCGTCAACAAAATTTCTTTGTCGCCCAAAATCAACATGCCTTGCTGTGAAAGGAATGAAAACATTTGTCCTTTACAATTTTTCAACAGAGGAAAAAAGGTTTTGCAAAGTTGAAAATACAAATGAATGCAACCCCGGTATCCATTATTACAGGGACGGTATCATCCCCTTTGCAAAAACGTTCTTACTTGGGAGGACGGGTGTAGTGGTCAGTGGTATCAAATGATAAAAGCACATGGAATGATAAACGAAACTTTGAAATTTCTAGCATTATCTCAAAAACAACAGTTCGTTAAAGAGATATTTGAAACTATGGCCGCCAATCAACAACGCCCGCTCGACCAACGGCAGTATCAAAATTGAAGTTTTTCGTGGAAGAAATAATACTCTTGTTCTCTCAAAAGATATCGAACCAAATAAACACGTTAGCCTGTCCGTGATTTTCAACTATAAAGCACGAATCTCCCTTTGAGGGGTTGAACTATTCCCTAAAGTTATTCCCTAGATGGTAAGAGACAATGTATCTCTCGAAGCATAAAGGGTTCAAGCAATATTCCGAAGTCCAAGGGGTCTTCGGGGAATGCATTCCATCTTCCAGTGACCATAAAAATAGGACGCATCGTTGAAAATGCCATGTCAGTCGACACGTGGCTGGAGAATAAAGCTTCGTCATAGGGTAAGTTTGAAATTAATTTGCGCAAAGCTAGCGCTGATTTTTTTACAAACATATCAATTTGTTGCAGGAACTTCTAGTTCAATAGTGGAATCAGTTGTAAACGAGCAACCATCGTTTTACTTTGCAATGTATACGCTTGCTAGGTAGGGGATACTTCGAAAGAACCACCTGCACGTGGCTAATCTTAGCAAAAGAGTTCTGGACAAGTGTTTCGATCGCGTCAACTTAAATATCCTCGTTGTTCATTTCTCGGTTTATGTACATATTGTAGTTTTCCTGTGATTTAAGTTAACATCATAGCACGTTTTAAGAATTTATGACTCCTTCAATTTAAAGCACCCCATTTGTAGCAATTACATTAAATGCTTCAACAAAAAATAGAAGCCAATTTTTTCAGGGTAACACATTAAAACAAACAGCCTCATGTCTATTAAAATGACACTCTCAAGCTTGATGCTGTGCATACTTTTATCCAGGATCTAAATTTTTTGCAACAAGGAATAATTTGATTACGGACACACTGCCACATTGTAGACAAATTTATGCCTTGAAGTAAATCTTATGGCAAAGGCTTTGTACCAGTTGTATCTTGTATTGTGTCCTGGGGGGTTACTCCCATTATGGCCTAAAAGGGGGGTCCAGTCAAGGTCAAAGAGGGCCAAAGCTAAAATGTTAAAAAGTTTCCTTCAAACAGTAGTCTTTTTGACAAGAACCCTCAAATGGTAGCAAAAGGACGGAAATTATGTCCTTGGTAGCATCCATTTCTTTCCCACTGACTGTTGTTGATTTGGAAAAGATGAAATCTTGTTCATTATCTATGATAAATCGCAACTAAACTAAAATGTTGTGTTATTATCGAAACTGGGCAATTTGATAGCCAGTTGGTAAGACCCTCAAATCGACTGGGCCCCCTGTCAGGCCTTTATGAGAGTACACCCTGGGTATTTTATTCACACCTGGGTATTTTAAGCCTGGCCTTTTGAGGAGAGCCATAGCTCTTGCTGCCCTCCAGGCCACCCTCAAATGCTTGAGGGAACTGCTGATTGCTGTCGTAAACAGTTAAAAAAAGCAAATTGCCCTCCTTTAAAACAACTTTCCCTTCTATGAAGCATTTGAATGGCACACCTGGTAATTACCAGAACAGTTGTTTACATCCCCACTGCTAAAAGTCTTATGGACAAGCCTGATTCACACCAGCATTTATCACACAAGAATATTCACTGGGTAAAAAAATGAGCACTTACTTGACATGCTAAGGTCCTTTGTTTCAAGTGTTGGATGACTGCACTTTGGGCATGGAAACGCTTGCCCTCTTATATATTTGATTCCTTTACGTCGAACATGTGTATCACAATAACAAGCCTAAAAGCAGAAATAAACACCAACCTCAATGACAAAGCATGGGAATATATAGGCAAAAACATCATAACATACAATTTAAGCTTGACTTTAAACAGCAAAATGGTTTGAACAACTTCTTTACTGATACAAAAACTGTTTAATGCTCTTATATCTACTTCTATCTGATCTATGCTTGCAAATAATGTCAACAATCTAAACAATAAACTTATATAATAAATCAATAAAACTACATTGATATATTACAGAAATAATCTAGATAGCTTATGACTTTTTTGAGCACCAAAGACATTTTTGACTTTAGCCTTGCATTCGACAGCTATACATTTCAAAGGAAATAAAATGAATTTACTTCTGTTAAACTCACCTTACAACGCAAGCATGAATATTGGCCTAATTTATTACAAGATGCACCTAAAAGGAAAACAAGAGTAACTTAGCAGAATTTGTTCTGACGGAAACATTTAATGCTTCAAAAAATTCCACTTACCATGATGTATTTGGTCAACAAATGCATTCCTGGAATAGATGTTTGGTCAAATCGATCACTAATAGAAGCTGAATGACTCTACGGAATACCCTGAAAAGCACCAATTACGAAGACTTCTGAGCAAATAAAGGAACTGAAAATTAGCAAAAAAAAAATATGTACTCACATTTATAATTTTCAGATTCTAAAATTTGGCAACTTGCTTGATGCTCAAACTGGTCATCTTCACAAAGGCAGTTTTGGCAAAAAGAGCATTTGAAAACACGTCCACCTGATAAAGTAAAATAATGTCTTAACAACCATACACTTACAATAAATAAATAAAGCTTTTAGAATTCTCCATAGTATTACATAAGAAGAATAACAAATGTTTGTATCCAGCTTTTCCTGGAACTTTGAGAAGCCAAAAATTTATAATCTTATAACTTAATACATGATTAATCAATGAACCACATCTACTGGAATAGCTTCAGAATCCAACCCTTTTCAGTTAATGAACATAGAAAATGATCATTTAATATAGAAGTTTAGCCAGACACTAATGTCTAACTTTATCATTTACCATGATCCCAAACTCCTCTTTTGCACTCAAAGCATTCTCCATCTTTAAGTGGACAGACACAAGCATGAGTGGTCAAACATTTCTTGCCATGACAAACCCAGGCTTCACAGAAATCACAAATGGCACCCTATAAGAATGAAAAATTTCATATTCACAAAGTAATACAGCATTATGCAGATCTGTATTCTTTGTATGGCTTTAGAATTTGTACATGAAAAACCTTTACGTAAATATCTTCTTAGTCATAATCAAGGATCGATTTCCAAAAATCAATTTCTTTTTTAATAACGTAGTCTGAAAAATTGCTTTATCAAACATGATTCAGGGCCTGTACAGCCGTTTCTTAACTAGTGAACAGAAATGGTGAGAAAATCCCATCATACCCCATCTAGCCCCTACAGTGGCAACATTTTTCTTATTGGTATTGATTCAATGTGTTTACTTTTATCTATAGGATTATATATGAAAATTTGGGCTAATTTAAGGCATGGTCCCCTGAAATCCCTTTGGTAGGGCCCAGTGACTAAGATGATTTGCAAACATCAAATTTTAAAACTGAATGTACACATAGAAAAAATATTAAAAATCTTAAAATTTCTTTTAAATGCTCACCACCATACCAAGACCTGTTGGATAATTCCCAGGGTGTTTTACAACACAATCACCAGATTTCATCATGCATTTTGTTTTTCCTAAAAAGACAGTCAACCAATGTACACACCAAACTTAAAAAAGCCAAAAGAATCCAAAAACATACACCATCATAAATACATAAACATCAGAGATGGTAACAAGCAAATCAATTGTTTTATTATTTCGGCAATAAATTTGCTAGATATAGCAGTCACATATGATTGGTTGAATAAAACAATACATTTTTCAAATTTATCAAATTGTAAGGCTTTTGTGAACTTTTAAATATCTGCTCTAAATGAATTATATATAGTCTATTATTATCAAATGATCCAGTTTCAAAAAAGTAAACCTACCACAGGCTCCACATTGAGTAATCTTCTGGACACTATTGCAGAAATAGCAAAATGCTCTGGTCTTTTGTGACCTACAATGTTACATTAAATTCAATGTGAGGCAAAAGAATTTGTATTTCATAGTTTTTGAGTGTGTATTAAAGCCTAAACTGAATTTGAAACAAGTCTCAACACTACAAAAATGATTCACATGTAGGGGTGTAGAGATAGGGATTAGAGCCCCTCGAAAATGCCAAAAGTAGCCTTATATTTTGTTTGCTAAGTGCTTTATGAGAAGCTTTTTGGAAGGGCCCTTTTGTGGTCACAAAGACTATATTTACATACACAGTGAACAACTAATGTTGATGCGCCAATGTACTCAAGCCATGATGTGTCAGGACTGCAGTTCTGCAGCAAAGGACTATACAACTGGACTATCTCTGGAGGCTTGCCAGTAAAAAAGAAATTCTACACCAAGAGTTTGAAAGACACAAAATAGAAATATGTAACCAGGTCACAGAAAGAAATAAAGGCTCTGTCTCACACCAATCCATAAGCCTGGAGGAAAATCTATCCGGTGTAACAGACAGTGATTTTCGTCCTAATTTTGCTATATGTAAAATATACCAAATAAATACGAGTGATTGTGTGCTTTGATTTATTCAAATGATGAAACTGAAAGGAATTTGATAAATCTAAGTTACTACTTACTATACAAGATGATCAATAAGTCAATAATAAAAATAGATACAAACCTGCAGCACTTGTCACATTCCTACGAAAAAAATATTTCTATAAGAAATGAACGCTTCAATAAAAAATGTAGGATTTGTTCCCTGAAAAAATTCTATCCCAAAAGAAATAGGCCTAGAGTAGCAAAATTTGGAGCGGCCGATTTGCATGAAAACGAAAGGCATAAAAAGGAAAGATATACCATTAAGAAGTTGCATGGTTGTTTCGTGATATCTCTTTCAGCAGCTCTAATATTCTTTTGTCTTTCCTTCTGTCTTTCTGCCTTTTTACGAGCTCCAGTTTTCTTTTTTGGCATCTTTCCTCAACTTTTGAAAATGCTACCATGAAATGAAAACGAGGTTTTCTAACGAGAGACCGCCTTTTGGTAAAAATTTGAAATTTTCCATTGCTCATTTAATTTTTTGTTTGCCTTTTCAATATTCCTAGATTTGGAAGTGAAGGCACTCCTATAAGGGGTACTCGGACAACACCTTAAACGATTACTCAACCTACTCTAGAAAGGAGGGGATTATAATAAAAAAATTATGGAGAGGATTATAATAAAAATGGCTATATGCAAAGGTTTATTTTAAATCACAACATAGTTGATTTATGTCCGATTGCCCTAACTTTTTCAGTGAAAACCGTCTGAAAATCAACAAAATTACCCTTGAGAATCTAGAGGCATCAGTTCTAGAAAAGTAATTCCCAGGTTGGAAAACATATATGATTTTGCGGACGCGTCAATGCGACCAACGGCACATTATCAGCTGCGACCTGCGAGCGGAAGCATTTGAGCTGTGAGCAACGATGCCCACATATACATTGCTATAGTATGGTATATGAATTTCTTGATATTTTGGGTCACTAGAGGTGCTAGGTGCGAGCACAAGAAATCTAGCGTCGCTGCGAACATATGCAAGTTTTCCAGCCTGGAGTAGTTCCAAAGAAACTTAGGAGTAGATATCTTCAACTCAATAATGTACACTACTGATGCTACTCATGCATTATCAGAAGCTAATAATTCTGCCAAAAATCTTTGATTCTGAACGTGTTCTTCGCGCAGAGACAAAAACTCATCTCATCTTGAAAAATCTTAGCTTGATCGAGGCATAACTAATTTACCCTGGATATTGGTTGAAGAATTTAAAATTCATAGAAGAAACCAGGGTTTCCAAATTCAATGTGGCAGGAAAAAGTTGTTGAGCGATGTAATTGTCATATTCACTGCATATTTGGTGATGTTACACTGTTTCATCTTTCCTACCCTTCCGTTGAATTGAATTCATTGTTTGGCTCCCAGGAGCCGAATCGAAAGCAGTAGATTCAGTACGCAGGCTACACCTATAAGGTTTTTCCTTTTCACACTCTTTTCCTCCTCTGTGTCTTTCTAGAGAAAAATGCGTACAATGATGGAAAAGAGGCTTACCAAAGACACTATTTTTGAGAAAACTTTACTTGTGACCATAATTCTTCCAACGATTTTTCTTTGGAAAAAACAATTGGAAAAACTACTTTATGTTTGAGCGGGCGGACTTTATATTTTCCTTTCTTAGCTTTATCAAACATTTTAAGCCTAAGGGGACAGACCATTTTAACCCTTCGTCGCACCAACACAATAGATTTGAGGGATTTTTCAGATTTAAAATACGTAGGATTTCCAACAAAGATGTACGAGATTGCTGTGAGTGATCACTATTAGTGATGCTAGTAGATACTATTGCAACTAGATGTTAACTATAAAAGTGCTCAGAACGCGGTGCAGAGACCCGTAATAAAGTGCTGCAATTTCAAACTATTCAGTGATAAAATACTAATTCAATACACGATTAATCATATAGATATGACCAACATTGTATTAAGTGTCAATAATTATTGGATGTCATGGCTCAGCTCTCATTATTTTTTAATTTTAATTTTTGCGGTAATTTTTGCGGCTCTGGTACCCAGGGTAATGGCATCCCTTCTCCCAAGCAGCACTTCTCTGTTTACATTCTAGGCAGTTGTAGCAAAATCGATCTGAAGCAAACCAATTCAATAAGACGATCATCGTATGATTTATTTGTCAAGCACATCGAATCGTAAACCACATTTGAATCCTGTTTCACATAACGCAGATTTTTAAAAATGGGCATAAAGAGAGTAGATTCGCTAACAGGTTTCATAAATATATCATTTTCTCGTAAAAGTCTATAACACACTATTGATTGTAAATCTTATTCTAAAATGGCTGATTATTTCTTGCGAAAATTGATAATAACTTCAAAGGGATATTCATTGACATTATCAGCTCCCTGTCTGAATAACTGCGCATGTTGCCAGGCAACATCGCCATTCCCGCCAGAAAGCTTTACAACCAGTCTGACTGTTGTACACCAACGAAAGTTTGTTGAGACATATTGGCAAGCTGAAAAATAATTAAAGGAAAGAATTAAATGAAATACCATTAATAAAAGATTTTATAGTTCATATCAATCCAGTTGATATCTAAATCTACACATTTACTTCGCCGATTACGGGGTAAATTCATGAAAATACTAAGAAGATCCTTTAACGTACAAAATTTTAAAATATACACAAGCTAATTACTGTATAAGCACGTGATTATAATACAATAATATTCTTAAAACTTTAAGTTAAAATAGGTAGATTACCTAAATTCCACAAGACCACCAAAATCATTTAGAATTACTGTGCTATGGTACACGTAATATTTCAAATCATTAAATGTCTTCTTGTGTACTTCTACTATATTCCAAATATTATCCTATCAAAATTTATCTTATTATGATTTAAATCAACCACTCTAGATCTTACTGTAGTCTGCAGTAACCATTCTAGCATTCATTTTTATGCAACTTTCAAAACAAAGAATTGCTAAATAAATTCATAGAAAACATCTTTTTATCATTATTTCTGTTTTTAAATTTTAAAAGACTTAACAGATAATTTGCTAAAAAATTGCATTTTATTCTATTTCAAAGGAGCTTGGTAAAAAGGTAGAACCAAAGATTGGTCATATGTCTAAGATAAGCAGATATGAAAAAGGAAGCACGTACCATCATGAGAAGGTATTTTTTCATTTCTTTCATCATTTTCAAGAATCATTTCAACAGATCCACTTTCAAAAGTTTTTGACGACAATTTCACTTCAATTTTGTCGAACACGTAAGAAGTGTGCTCAATCTTGAATTTCCATGCTATATGACCTTCAAGGGTGCCCTCCTCTCTTGCTAAATAAACCTAGAATAAAAAAAATTAAACGTCGAAAGAAAAATAATGCATAAAATATAAATCAAAATAAATCACAAACCAACAAAAACAAGCATTCAAAACAGAACACCGATAAAAGGCAATATAAAGAAATTAAGGAAACAATTTTTTGGTACAAAAACTAAAAATGGCTTTTAAAAAAGCAAAAACACTTAAGCTTATCGGCTGATAATCTTCAGAGTATCAAACATGAGAAGATAGATCGAAAACACTTAGCTAGAAAAAATATATATTTATATATACCCAGCTGTGGACCGATAGATTGTTGCATGATTTAACGATATAACAATATCCAAGAAAACTATCATCACCCTCTAATCATTTATACTTCACAGCATTTATCGTTATTGTCTAAGAGTTATTGTCTAAGAAATACGGGGGAAAATCGGACTGTCTTTTTGTACGTCACTGGTAGATTAAAGATGAAAAATTTAAGCTAGATGTCCTCACCATATTCCAGTCTTGTTCAACTTTTCGAAACATTCTATGGTATTCCGAGACTCCAGTTTTCCATCCTTGCAAAATGTTTGCATTGCTGTTATCGGCTTCCCCTCCTCTAATGTATTTGTCTGAAGCAGGACAATACCGTACCCTTAATCTTCCTTTTTCTAACTCCGAGACGGTTGGCACAAACACGTAATTGTTGGCAACAGGCTGGAAAACCAAGGATCACAGTCTTTATAAAATGAAAACGTATAGTTTGTATCTTAAACAAGGTGCATAACACACACGTTTAGCAATGGCTCATCCAATACAAATTCTCAAGGTCTGCATCAATGCGTTTACCACCGTACATTTATAACCCACTCTACCCAAAAAAGTTTAAGAAACAAGAGACACTCTACGAATTTCTCAGAATCTGAAAAGAAACCATTTGAGCTTCCACTATTTGCGTAATTTTTTTTGTGCACAACACACTGATCAATGCGAGGCAGCAACAGCAACAAAAGTTGCAAGACAAATACCTATTCGAATATACCTACATCTTTTTTTTCAAATTCTCTCACATTCCTCGTACAATTTCACATTTCGAGTTATATTGTTGCTATATATTGTATGACACCATGCAAACATATTCATTCCTATTCAAGTAGTTAATGTCAGAAACTCGAAAATAATGTAATAAAATTAGAGCTTACATCAACTGTCTTTCCGGTTTCTCCTCTTTCCAACCGCCATGCCATGCTTCCTGATTGTCTTCCAATATTTTCATCTACAGTCGTTTCCTTTCTAACTAAAAAGTCTATGAGTTCCTTTATTCTTCTTTCTTCTAATATATGATTTCTTTCCTTAGAATTACCAGACTGAAGCTGGGAAAACCGAAAAAAAATTACTTAAAGCAACGTTTTTGGTAACAAACTTAAATATTGAGATCAAATAAGTCAAAGCAGATGTTGTGTACTTGGAAAAAATAAATGAAAATGGCTTCGAAAAAAGCAAACATTTTACAACATACTAAAACAAATTGTTCAAAAGATAAATGATGATATAACGGTTAAACTAAGAGTAATGGTTAAATTAAGAGACATTGTAAACATTATTAACATTTTTAATCAGCATCATCGTCTAAATATTCCTTCTCGTAAATAAACGAAGAATATTGAAAGAAAATTTTTATTGGTGCAAGAGAGGGTTAATTAGGAAGACAGGGGATGAAATTTACAATGATGAAGACCAGTACTAGAAAAATATTATCAGCATTAAAACAATTCGCAGTTGTAAAATCATTCTTTAAAATATTAAAGATATAATTGACAAGTAAAAATATCAAGTTGATTTAAATCTTTAAAAACATTAAATTAATTCATAGAAATAGGCTGTGCATTTTTACGATACAGACCTTCTTTGACATGTTCATCCACAAGGATACAAGCCATGCTTCAGACACTTCGTTGCGTCGTTTCAATACTTCTTCGTGGTCTTTCGAATACCTCCAAGTCACATCTATCACCTTAAAAATTAAAACAGACTGTGAAACTAACATCTAACCCATTTAGCTGATATTACAGATTTGATGCTAGATCCAAATTCAAAATTATGTAAATAGATTGTGTTACGTCATCACTTTAGAACTATATTCGAAATCGCCAAATATAAATCTTTATGTACCTCGTCGGCCGAAAAGGCAATTACGTATGACAACTTTTTGCCCCATCCGGATTCGTATAAGAGCGGTTTGTCACAAACATTCTCGCACGGATCACAGTGCAGCCAACGCTTCTGGTGCTCGGAGTAAACTTCGGTCCACACGTGATCAGTCCAATCTAAAACATAACGTGCTTCGAATCCAACGGCTCGACAACATGCTGTAAAACAGTTGGCCCATTCACCACATCTGCCTTTCCTTGATTCTGTATGAAATAAAGAAAATTTGTATCAATTATATTTGTACCAATCGATCAAAATGAAAATACTGCTACTAGTTATTGGAAAAGTTTTAACTGTTACTTATTAAAACTAGGGCAATAAGAAGCTTGAAGATCTTCATCATTACGTGATGTTTAATCTAAATTCCCAAAAATTTTCTCTGCTTCATTTTCTATATCACTCGCACCATAAATCCATAAATTCATCAATAACAACAAGTTTAACGGTTAATTATAAGATAGAATGACCGCAGCTCTACGAATTTAATCTGAAAAGTCTTACTTAGTTTCAAAGTCAGACATTTTATCGACCATGGTCCTATCAACCACCTTGATAGGTCACGTGGGGCACCTTTTATCGACCACGTGGGGCATCTTTGGTAGAAATAATGGGGCTGATAAGTGACTGCTCACCCCAAACCAAATTCAGCAGGACTCAAAATTTTACATCCAAAATAGGATATTTTTGCATGGGAAAAGGTAAATAAGAGGCAAGCAAAAGAAGGAAAGCACAAAAATTAGCTTTACTTGTGCCCCCTCCCCCTTGAAAAGCTAAATCTAGGCCACTGTGCCAACCTGCCGATGTTTCTGCATAAATTAGACAACAGTTGACGTAAAATGTAGAAGCGTATCTAGGGTCAGCTATTACAGGTTCTGGCTAGCTAAAATAATAAAGATGAAGAAATAAAATAGGTCTCTCTTTTGTAAGACCCTTCTAGAACATGTCGAAACAAACCAAACTTGATTTTATGATTCGCGTTTGATTACCTGCGCAACGAAATTACTTAACTGAACGGACGGATTACTGATTTTGTTGAAACATGGAAATATTTTACACATTGTTTTTATGGACTTGCCATCAAACGTTTCTGAGATACTCCCAACTTTATAAGGCATCTCAAGGTGCTTAACCTAACTTATAATTTAATAAGCTGAAGATGACAACAAAGTACACGTACAATAAACAAGAAGTATGGATTCTACGCAATGCTTGATTGAATATTTATCTACTGGAAGCTAATTTCAAGGTAAATAGTTTTTAACTGAACGCATTTTAGGGAAACCTTTATGCTCTTTCAACTTAACAAGCTTAGGCCTTATCTTTATTAAATACAGTAGGAAACAAGCAGAGAACAAAGTCCCAAGGATAATACATCGTCTGCCGATAAGGTTATTATGACCTGGGTTGATTCGCTGTAAATTTGAAGCTAAAAAACAGCCAAAGAAAGGATATTGAGCATTCGCACGATCTAAGAAAATTATACTTCAATTCAAAATGTAATGTCGAATAAAAACAGTTTTTGCAAGCAGTGCCAAATGGCTTTTCAAAAATTTGTGAGCAAATTACGTAACATTTCTGCCGTTTTTATTTCAAGCATAGTCGATAAGCATCGGACAAAAGGTTAGTAAGTACAGTTACGAGGTTGCTTTGTAATGCAAAGAGCTCCATCCAGCTATACTGTTGCACAACCCAAGATTACGTGAGCAAAGGTATGTCGAATATTCTATTAAAAAAGAGTATACACGTATAATGCTGTAGGGTCCATTCGAATGTATGTATCCTACCTGTACGTATGATATAAAACCTGTAGTTAAATCGCCATTGTAAAGTAAAATAAAACATTGAAGTTACATACCTAGAAGTTTCTGGGGATGGTTATATCGTGGGAATCTATAGCGTCCCGAGCAATTTGAACACATATATTCTTCGACAACCCCTGCACCCCATTTCCGGTCATCTTCCGTTGGGGGAGCATGGCCAGTGCACTTCGTTGGGATGTCACAATTATGGCATTTTGGTTGGTCCATCCAAGAAAAGAACTCCGCTATGATGGACAAGAGAAATTACCATTAACATTTATTTTCAACAATGAATACCCCAGAGAAGACGAGTTATGGGTGGGGAAGGCGAAGGTTTATATAAATATACAACTTTAATTCTAATATAAGACTCGTTGACCCTAAAATGCCGTATGTATGGACACTTAAAACGCGACCCAAGAGCAATTAAACCCACCAAAAAGCAGGATCTTCTGTGCTGGGATTTACTGAATGCAGGAGCAGAAAAGAATTAAATACAGTTCTTCAGTCATTGATGTGGGTAGGCCTTTTAAAACTTCCAAAGGGTATCAAAATTTTAGCCACAAATACATCTGGGGTATAATCACGTACAGTAGAATGCACTATTAAAAAAACCTTCAAGAGATTAAGGTAGGGAATCAAATATTGGCTAAATTGGCGTTTGAGATTTTGTTGGCAGGGAAAGGAGTTACCCCCTTTCTTGTATCGAGTCACGTTCCTGTATCAACCAAAATACGGTTTAGGAGATCCCAGCGTAGTTAATGGCATAATGCAGATTAACTAGTAAAAATATAAATAAATGACTCACTCTTGAACCAGGCAAGCAAAAGCAACAGAAGTTCGTCTCTTTCATCGCCTTTCTCTGCTGACGCCTTGCTCTTGGCTTCTTCTTTCAACTTATCAATAGGAATTTTATAGCACGCGTATCTCTGCATCTCTGGACTTTCATAAATAAACACATGATCGATCGAAGATTTTAATTTTTCATAGAACAACTTTTCTTTGCCCTTAGAAAAAATGATCATATCAACATAAATCATGACAGAAATAACTAAACATTCTTCCGGATCAGACTGTACAGTTTCTTAAAAAATTAAGATTGAATAAAATGGTGGATTAGTTTCTTATAACAGGGCCCTGACAAAGGGGGGAGCGGGTCATTACCCCTACTTTTTGCCAAACAATAGAGCTTTTTTAAACTTATCTTGTTATGAGTGATGAATTTTCCCTTGGCCCCCTATATTCCAACCTGCGTCGGAGCCCATGTTTAAAAATGAGTTCCATAAGAGATGACAAAAATAGCAGGACAATCCATAAAGATATGACATTTTTACAGAAAGTAAATAGATTTTACAGTGCATTGTTTGTTATCTAATAAGTTGAAAACTAGTTTGTTTCTTGAATACTGCTTCTGACATTTATCTTATTTTAGAAAAATTTGTTCAAAATGAACAGTTACAAGAAACTGGTAAAAAATTAAGGGTCGACAGATTCGTATTTTTGGTAGATACCTTTAAAAAGTCAGCCTGCAGTTTCTTGTAAGTGAGTTTCTTATACGAGGGTTTTTTACTGTAGTAATATTCAAAAAGCTTAAATGTCCCTCCTACTACACCACCCTTAAATTTTGATCAGTACCACGTACTACATTTTTCAAATGTCTGTCTCATCTAGAGTAATCCCTCTCCTCGATTTCCTGCAAATACTTAATATTTTTCTATTTCGTACTCGACTTGCGATAGGACAATACTGTGGATTCTAAAAAAGGTAGCAAATCACAGACTTATATGCTAAGACCTTTTTAAGTAGAACATCACTTCTGCAGAGTAAATACACCAATGGACTTACATTGCTAGCTGCGGGTATTAGTGTTCTCAACGGATTTTCTTCAGACCGCACAGGAGGGAATGAGTCAACCGGCTTCTGCGCGTCCCGCATTCTCTCGCGCTCATCAGTCAGTGCACAGAGCAAAGCTCGCAAAGGATCAAGTGAAGATTCCATTGGCATAACCAATTTATCATCTTGCTGAAACGAGCAAGAGAAATCAGTTGCAAAACTAAAGAAAATAAAGTAGGATTTTCAGGCTGTATTTATTATAATATGTGACTCTGATGCTAAATTATCCACAAGCTACATTAAAACTCTGGAAGAAAACATGCTGGTTTCGATATTATGACATGCCTATACATATGCTCGCAGCTTTCTTTAGGGCACTTAATCTGGAACTCTTCTATCCTTTCTATTCAAAACCACGTACATATGCTATCAAAATAACACTGAAATATGTGATTTACTTAAACTTTATTGCAATAGAGAATGTTCCATATTTTCCCAAGTCTCTTTCTTGTGCATCTGGCTATTTTTACTTTTACTTGACGATTTGACATCTTTTTGACCATGTGGCAGCGATTTGACGAAGAACCTTGAGACATCTCCTATTTTTCTACATTCATAAGCGGGGTGGGGGACGCAAGATAACATATTTTCTGACAACATGGGTTTGGCATGCTTTCAGTAGAAAATGCCTTCGAACTAAATTATCCATGAAGAGGAAATTTCCAAAATTTGCCGATGATAACGAAGATAACAAAGATTGACGGACCTCTATTATTCAGCGGGATGACACAACGACGACTCTGGCTACAAGAAAACACATGGGCATAGCAATATGAAATGTGTTTACGATGATGTATAGGTGAAATTCAAACAAACCTCCTGAAACCCCATTTGAAACAAGCAGTCAACAGCACCCGGGAATGGCAGCAGTTTTTCCAGAAAAATTTTGTTTTCGAGACGGATGCTTCGATACCTTTCATTCCTTTCGTCTTTCAAGATGTTATTAGCAAACCGACACAGCAAATCTGAGACCACCTCGAATGCCTCTTTCGGATTTTTCAGAAGTTCTTTGAAACAGTCATATTTTCTTCCAAAAGCAGCTGAAATCTAAAAAAGACCATCCAAGCTTCAGAATACTATTATGCAAAAAGGTAGCAAATCCAACTGCAAAAGTTGTCGTGGATTTCTATGATTCATCTCAACAAATTTCAAAATAAGGGCTTGAAAAGGGATTTTTCTTCCTGGAAGCCAAATTAAAAAACCAACATTTCATGCATAACCTTCAAGGAATGTCTGCAACTAAAGTTTTTTGTCTGCTTAAAACTGTGTACTAAATATTAACTGCTGTACTACCAACAAATCAAATGTTAATCGATTTCTTAACATTTTATCACAGCTATGAATATCACATAGGCACCAATGAAAGTTGGAAATAAGGGGGCAAGGGGGAAAAATGTGAAGAGCACGATTCAAAGAACAAGATGGATTAAACTGGATAATAAGAATGACAGAAAACGAAGTGCTGATATTATCAAATTCTTATTTTGTTAATAGTACAGAACAAATACTATGTATAGAAAGTACAGTATATCTCAAATTTCACCTTATCATCCCTTTCAGATTATTTATTTCATGAATGTTGATGGCATTAAAAATATCACATGCTGCAAAATACTGAATGAAAGCAAAACAAAATGAAAGCAGCAAAGAACTGAATTTATTTTAGAAACATGCCTTCTCCTTTCCATTTTCAGTAACTTTTTTCCACTTATTGATAGAGGTCTCCAATCCTTCAGGATTTGCTCCCTTTAGTGTTTCAAGAACTTTTCCTTGGTAAATAAACAGAAATGTTGGCATTGATGTAACTCTGTATTTCAAAGTTGTCTCCTAAAATGAATATTGGACAGTTAAAGAAACAACAATTGAATGATGAGGGTTTCAAATTTAAACTTTAGAAATTTTAAAAAAGTATGATCTATCTGCCTTTTATCTAGATCAAAAGTTATCTGGCATCATGTAAATGCAGCCTTAAGTATGATCTGTAAGATGGAGGATATCACAGAGGATATTTATAAAGCACCTCTCAATATAAGGAAATTTCATAGGCTTTTTTCCTAATCAAAAGACTATTACAGTCCCTCTATTGAATTAAAATCCCTTGATTGTATGGCGAACCTCCTCTTTTCCTTTCATTTGGAAAAAAACCAAGCCTCGTCCTCATATCAAGGGATGAGTGCCTTGCTGTTTAATTGGGATACTTTTCAGGATGATGTGGCAATTGTAGAATATGCAATTACTTTGGGACACCATTGAAAAATCTTGTATGGGAATACTTTGACACCTTGTAAACCGATAGCACTGTCTTTAAATTTGGTGATTCTGCCTTCCTTCTGCTTTAGAAATCTTCCAAACATATTTTCAAACTTCAAAGTTTTTCCTCACAAATTTTTCGTTTGCATGTGTGATGTTCTGCATGCTTTAAACAATTTGGGTGTGTGTGAAGGCAGTGTGATCACACGTCCCATGTTACAAAGACTGTTATTCTAGAACAGATCCCTGTTATTGGTGTCAGTCGTATCTCTCCTGAATAAACTTTTAAGTGTTGATATGCTCAACTGAATGTGTAGAGACTTTTCCTAATTCCTAATATACATTGTTCATATGACTCTAACTTTCACAGACATCTCCTTTCAATAGGATATGACACATGCTTATAGCAGTCCACTGGGTTGTCACTTTGCATTTACACAAGACATCCTGTTTCAAATAACAAGGACATCTTAACAAAATTATTAAATTGTTGCAATTTGGTTCAACCAGCTACTCTTATAACCAGGTAAAAACTATGTTTGAGATTTTCTTTTTAGTCCACATTCAACTCTCATCTTCCTTTTAAGCAGAGGTTTTTTTCACTGTATTAGCAATCCGTTGGTAAAATACACATTCATCAAATAGGACCATTGTCAACTTCTACAGTCTAATGTCAAAATCTTTTAGGGTGAGAAAAAAAGACTAAAGTAGGAAAAGTATGATTCTGTTCTTTTTCATCCATTATGAACAAGAGGAAGCCAGTATCTTTAGAATACAAATATTTGAAAGCAATCTGAAAATCATTCTAAATACTTAGCAAAGCAAGATATCCTGGCTAAAAAGAATCGTATACACAGGGTTTTAAAATCAATGCTTGATGAACCAATCTTGATTTCTTGAGTGCTAATCCACAGTCTTGGATTGGCCTTTTCCTTTTTTCTTTTATAATAGTGCGTATTCTTAAACCCCTAATCTAAGGTAAAATATAACCCCCCTACCCATCTCTATCCTTATTCCTGGTTGCCACATTGTGTAACTTGATGTCAAATATTACAGTTATGTGCAATACATTACCTGGCAGTCATCAACATCGATCTTAATAAAAATCACATCTCTATACTTCTCACTGCATTGTTTAAAAAAGGGCGCTATGAACTTGCATGGTCCACACCTAAAATGGAAAAAAATCAATGACACATCTAATAAGGTTACAAGTATGAAAAAGGGTATTGTAGTTAATTTTCAAGCACATAGCACTGAACTGAAAAATAATGATAAGTGCATGACATAATGTAACTTTTGTGTGTCTTGTCTTCAATAATATCATTTTGAGCTTGCTTTAAAAGATAGGTAAAAACAATGAATATATAATAAACAACTCTTTTCACTTTTTACTGATTTAAGAGAGAGACTTTTACAGCATCCAAGTTAGGGATTGTAAATATCATAACTCCTGCAGTTTACACTAAATATCAAAGTGCTGCTAAAGTCTCAAGATTGGGCCAGGTGAATTCTGCAGACCTCAAAGATCTTGTGGATCCACAAAATCTGAGATCAAGGGGCAAAATAATTAGTGCAGATCTCATGGATTTTCTATTGAAACGTTTAGCCGTAATTTTAGAAGTGATTTCAACATGCTGCGATATTCCCATCCAGTTACCAATGAACGGTTTTAGCCACATATCAGTATGCTTCCCGACAGAAAAACAGGGAAACCCCCTCTTTCCCTAATTTTGAATTAGCTGCTCTTTCGTGATAATGGTATTCACAACAAATCATTCATAAGTGCCTTAACTTAGAACATTTGATAAAAAACAATAAATCTGAAATCCACGGAATTTATAAAGAATTCACTACACCTACGTTTACTCATCCACCGTATCCAAGAAAACCTTCACCAGACAAGTTTGAATTCTTAAACTTATCATAAGATGCTCAATCTTCAATCATAAATCGTTAACTCCTAAAGGCTATACAACCAATCTGGAGCATTTACTCAAGGAGCATTTACTCAAGGAGCATTAAAAAAAGGAAAATTAACTCAGGAGTAGGATTAATACCATTTCAACCCAGCGCTCCAGATTGTCAAAGAATTGCATTCAGCTCAAGTAATATTGTCAGAATCATATTTTTTTGTTTACTTACCACTTTGCAGTAAAATCCAGTACCAATAAAGTATTATCAAGTTTTTTTGTCTCTTCGACGAACGAATGATCATCGAAAATCTCTATGAAGTTCTCCCGACCTGCCGCCATTTTCTTCCTTGTTGTTAACCGGGGATTGGCAAACCAAAGCGAGGCACAAACATAGGGTGCCCCTTACTTCTTTGGTCCGGTCCTTATGGAATATGATAAAATTAATCACAAAAAAGCATTAAAAATAAGCGATAAAAGCGAAACATTTATCTTGAAAAAGAGAGTGAAACTAAGTTATTAAAAGTGAAAGTAAAGCTTTGTTGTGAAATACAAAAACATACAATGACTAACATTTGAGATTGTGATTTTTGTTTTAAACATCATATAATTTAAGGTAATTAAATTCAATCGTTTTAATTGGCAGCAAGTAAAGCATGATCATAAGGTGTTGACTGATACAGGCAGGGCCTATTTTAAGAAATTTTTAATACTGCACATTTATAACTACATTTTTTATAGGAAATTTTGTTGTTGCAATTTTTGGAAATTTCTAGTCATTTCGTTTTGTTTTAAGTTTTGATTAGAGAGTCTTTCCGATGGTCATACGAGATTTGCAATACATGACCTCTATATCGAACTGACGAGGAAAATTCACATTTTGTGAACAAAGCGAGAATCTGGGATAGCGGCAATTAGACATTTTCACAAATCCCAAAATTCAATACTGCACATTTTCGAAATCAATACTGCACATTTTTAAATTAATACTGCACAAAGTGTGTAATACACTAAAATAGGCCCTGGATACAGGGTCTTTGATCAGAAGAGCAGCAAGGACTGCAATACGAAGCGTGTAGTACATTAAAACGGTCTGTTACAGAATTAGGCACGAGGGCATATATCTTCCGAGGCCAGCTTGTTTACCCAATCTCTTCCTTCTGAAACAATCTTGAATATTTGCTCAGATTCTAGGAATCCATGTTCGATAGCTCTTACGATAATAAAAAACAAAAAACAAAGAGGAACCGTAATTGAAAGCTGCGCATCAGCAGCGGCCTAGCAGCCTGTCGCAATTAGGCTAAAATCCCCTTCTTCCAGGGTAATGAAATTGAAATACAGTAACCATGACCTGCCCTAAAAAAGGAAAAAAATAAAGAAGCAGCTTAGAGAATCCAAGCCATTCAAGCAAGAGTTTGGCGCTTTTACTTTCATTGACATTTATTTGGCACTTGTTTTTGCCAAGCCCATGTACACTGAATTGCATGACCTAATTTCGTCTATGCCTTGCTTTTTTCACTGCGAAACCCATACCCAATATGAAGATATAAGATATCCATAATTCCATACCCTGATTCGATGGGATGATCGGCTGCTTCAAACCAATGTTATTAGTACCGAGATCATTATCACTGACTTATAACAACGTCCAGGGGCGGATCCAGGGCAAATTTGAAGGAGAGGCAATTGGTTGTGGGGGCGCTGAAAAATTTTCAAAAATTGTTTACGAGAGTACGCTGTATACAACAATTTCAGATCCCTTTTTAGAATAAACAACATAATTTTGAGGTAATCCTTGAAGCAAATTAACCTATCGGTCCAAGAACCTTTTTCATCTGATTCACATTCTTCAAAAGGGGCGCACAATTTCCAAAAAAGGGGCGCCAGACTTGCTTCAACTCGTTGAGGGAGGGGCAACTGCCCCTAGCTGCCCTCTCCTTAAATTCGCCACTGACAACGTCACTGGCACAAGTAAAAGCTGCAGTAATATTTTTTTGATTTTACAAAAGAACACTTAACGCAAATTGAGTAAGAAAGTCAGACAAAAATGGGAGAAAACGTTCTACAAAATTTTGACAATATCAATATATCTAGGATTTAACAATTCTCTGCAAAAATATCAGGTCTAAAAAATCATATTCCATATAAATCTATACAATTTCAATCTCCTGTTTCTATAGAAAGAGATCTTTCGATGGTAATCGGTTAATAGAGATTAGTTCTAATACATACAAAACATACAAATCTGATAAGATTTCTATCTGAAAAATAGAAAGCTTTCCCTCTTGAGTCTTCTCGCATAGACGGCGAGCTTAAATTTTCCCGTAAGGAAGGAAATTAAAACGTTGTCGTAAAGAGGCTAAAAATTGGTAAAATTATAATGAAGAATTCCGAATCTGACAATAAAACTTCAAAATATCAAACAGTTCCTTTTGGTGAAAATTTTGACTACTAAAAGTACAGTTTTTAGCATGCCGTTCTTAAAAGGAGAAAGAATACTGCCTTTATTACAATTTTCCGAAAGGCTGTCGTTTATCAATAAGCTCAGTCTAGAGGAAGCAAAACCTGTCAAAAAATTCCAGAGGAAAGCTTTAGCCCTCGCGAAGTTGGAGTCTAGATAATCTCGCCTTTGCAAAACTAGTCATGAAGAAAATTCAGCTAAGAAATATCCCCTTGAAGTCTCCAGTTTCAAACTGTCAAACTGTTTTACACTATATATTGCCATTCCCAAACAAAGCATTTAAACTCAGTTTCGAGGTTATAGCCGTAGCTAAGTTGTACCATATTGCTTTGCAAAATATTTACTTTTACCGCCGGTTTTGGCGACCAATTCTATCTTCTCAATAGTGACATCGTGCGAAATCGACTTGCACATGTCATAAACAGTAAGTGCACTAACTGATACAGCCATAAGCGATTCCATCTCTACACCAGTCTGTCCAACACACAAAGCTGAGCCTGTTATGATAACAGAATATTTCTTGGGATTCATTTCAAAGTCCACTGATACCTTGCTCAAAGGGATATTGTGACAAAGAGGTATCAAAGATGACGTCTGCTTTGCCCCCATTATCCCTGCTATTCTGGCAATATCTAACACATTTCCCTTTTTAATTTCACTCTTCTGAACAGCTTCAAACACAGTCTTTCCAAGATACACTTCACATTTAGCAATTGCCGTACGCTTTGTCACAGCTTTGTCTGAAACATCAACCATATTTGCTTTGCCATCCTTCCGTAAATGTGTCAGTTCTTTTTCAGAGCTGCTCGAACAGAAATTCCTTGAAGACACAAACTTTGATTCCGGGAGACCTTTTAAAAGGTTTGGGAACTTTGAACTTGGATATCTACTTTGTAACCCTTTGTTATTAAAGAAATGCCTCGATCTGGCAAGGCCTCCGCATTCAGTACTCCCTGGTGTCATTTGGCCTTTTTCAACGCAGCGTAACCCAAACAGAATGTATTTGCTTTTGTCAGTCAATTCTTTCTTCCTCTGTATCAATCCATTACCATAAACTTCTTCTACAAAAGATGAGTAGAATATCAGTCCAAATTGAAGTACACTAGCCAAAACAAACATAACATAACAAACTCTTGAAGTAAAACATAAACCAATCTACTCAATAACAAACATTGGCGATGAAAAAGCAAGCATTGAAGCATATATACAACTACTGAAGCAAGTAGCAAACTTCCAAATCAACAACTTAAAAATCAACAGTTAAACGATTCAAATTGCATTTTTTCTAGCGGAAAATCATAAGCTGCGAACTAAGTTTTCTTAAATTCACCTAACAAAAACTATGATAACATTTGATGTTATCAGATACGTTGAAATTGCTATATCACAACCTCATATATACTTCAACCTTTTTAACAGTACAAATGCTTCTGTTTCCTATATTTGTAAAGGAATGTTGTGAGAATTTTTTCAAACTTGGTTATCTTGATAGAATCTGAAGAAAATACACATCATCACCAATCAAAACAGCTAGCATTCCTCCACTTTTAAACATTTGCAAATAAAAACGATTTACCGTAACATAAAAGCGTCTGTTATCAGAGACTCAAACCTTGATATGATGCATCAGATCTCAAAATAAACTGAATGTTTCATGTTCACTGAGGGGAGGGGTGCACTCAGCTATCTTTGTGTTAAGAGACTTGTAGATACGGCATTTTCAAGTCCTTTTATTGTCTGCAACCCTACTACTGAAAATTTCTATGGCCTATGCGGATTCGATATAGCTCTTCACCTGACTTTTAATTTGAAAGTTAACCCTATACTGTGGTGCGACACGGGTGCGCAAAAGCTCCTGAGTAGCCCCTCCCCTCCCCCTCTCCGGGCTCATTCCATATCAAAGATGCACTAAATTAAAGAAGACATGAAAAACTTCATTGAAAAAAAGCATACGTACTTTACCCACCAATAAGAATCATCGGCCTATTCTTTTGTTTTACAATGTTGAACATACCTAGGGATACAAAAACACTCAATGAAACTAAATACGAGATAGGCCGCATTCTAGTAAATTATCTTTAAACAAAAACACAGTATATACCTAAGACCAAATGTAAGGCATCATATACCTAAGAAGTTTGAAACTATTGTGAAATACAGAAACAGCCTCCAAATGATAGGTTCATTTCTTTGCAAAAGGCTACTCATACTGAGGGTTCGCTGCACTTTTCTATCTTACATAAGCTAGAAGTATCTGTCCTTACAACTTTTGATGTGAATATATCTTGGTGAAAGATTCCTACTCTTTTATTAAGACTATACCTAGGGACAGAAACATAATCAACACGCCTATTAAAACATGAAATAGAAGACATAAGATAAGAAAAAAGTACCAAAATGTTAAAAAAATGGCTTTTAATGACAAAAAAATATCTTAGACCAAATACATTTTTAATCACAATGAAATCGAGGAACAACCCAGAAAGGATAGGCTTTGTTACTCATCTCCTTGCGACAGTCTTGCCTGGTCAAACTGAGAGCTCCTTGTTCTTTGCTAGTACTAGACGGTCCTGCATCTATGTGTACATGTTATGCTCAGAACTTATCTTGGTGAGCAATTCATCCATTTTTTGTTTGTTAAGGCTATACCAGACTAGCAGCTTTTGTCTAGTTATACCGTGCTGGATGCTCATACCTGGTCATACAACGATTATTTGATGTACATACCTGCATGCTGCTTCTTCTTTCTTCCAACTGCTGCTCCAATTATTTCAAGAAGACTTTCATCGGACATTCCACTTCGGACAGCATCACGTAAGGATACCTCAGCATTACCAAACAGACACACCTAGAGATTAAATATCAACGAGAAGCTTAAGGTAAGATGTCTGGTTACCGGATTCAACAACAAGCTAAGGAAATTTTTTAGTGACAATTAACCATGGCACTTGAATAACTGCAACTCAGAACCGTCTGTTCTATACACCATTAGCGAGCACATCTCTGCTTTAGAAGGACCATTGTGGAAACATGGTTGTATTAACCTTTTTAATGCCATCCCTGCCATTTTTAACCTGGGGTGTTTTTAGATTACGTTTTTAGCTTTTACCTGTACATTTTATATGTCTGTAATTAGATCACTTTCCTTTTCAAAATTATAAGTTGCAATTTACTTTGATGGCAAAATTATACATATATTTTACAGCGTCAGGAACTTTATGACAAATTGGTAAAAAGTAATTTTCACAACTGCAAAGTTACATTAAAGAAACTGAGTAAAAAATCTTACGACAATAATGTATCACAGCATAAAGACCTTTGTACTGCAACAAAACTGATTTCAAAAATATTCTAATAAAAAGAAAATACAGGAACACTTGTCTAGTTAATAACAGCCTCGTAGAGTATTCTTGTAGTTTTCTGTAACTAATTATATAAAATAACTGTGCTAAAATACGAAATGATTTATTCAAGAGCTCGAAAAGACCTGTTAACCAAGCCTAACAAAACCAGCATGCAACAAAACAGTAACAACCAAGAGTCTGAAGATATTTCAGTATTAAAAATCCTCAAAAAATATGTTCCTCCAATTTCATCAGAACTCAAGCACTGCAAATCGATTTACAAACCTTTAAGTTTCCATCTGCTGTGATTCTGAGTCTGTTGCAAGATCCACAGAAATGCTCACTCATTGAAGTGATGAAACCAATGGTGCCAGCCATCCCTGGGACGTAGTAGGCCTAAGAAAATAATAACGAATACATAGCTAAGTAAGCATTTGGTACGGAAAAAATTGAAAATAACATAGGACAGCGGAAACGAAGCAAAATTAATCTTCTTCAAAACATACCGTGCTGAAAGTTTTAATATATTTATTAATATTTTCATTTAGTAATTTTCCTTTGTCAAGATACAGGAAAGTTCGTTTTCTCTCTTGGATTTTTCAACTATGTGCGAGGATGGCTCAGTGGTTAGGGTCGCTAACTACAGACCCAAGGGTCCGTGGTTCGAGTCCCTGGCATGACCAAACTTTCACCAAGAAGGAGGAAAGTCACCAGCTCTCTGTAATTCCAGACGTAGGAATAACGAGGTGTGGTCACACCGAGGGAAAGGACCAGGACACTGCTCGATAAGCATAAGCTTCTAAGTGTCCTAAAAACTACCTTTAGATGCTAGGTAGAAACAAATTCAAATTCAATTAGCGGCCGCTCATAAATCAAAAACAGGGAACCAATCATATGCGACATGTCCCTTTCCGGTTACTTTTGACCCGCATCTGTATCTGAATATAATTCATAACTACTTTTACTCATTATCTGACATTTATATATACTCTGAGGAGCATAGGACAAAAAGGACTTCCATATGCTATGCTTATGCTTTCCCTTCTATCTTCAACTAGCAATAACTACAAAGGTAATCAAACGAAACCGCGGAGGGTTCAAGTTTAGAGCTCTGGTTTTCATGTTTGATAGGAGAAGAGGTGTCCAAAAGAACACTCCTTTGCATGAATATTCAGATTAATGTTGCCTGGTCGCAGCACTTAGGGTGTTGAAGATGTTACACTGTATATAAAATTCTGTATTATCATTATGAACCAGTTGCGGCCCGGCCTGCATTCAGAATCAAGTTATAGCGATTGAAGTACCGTTATCCGATTCATGCCAATTTTTTGCCTGTATAAAACACCAGTTTCCCATCAGATAACGAATCAAAGACCGCCCTTTCCATTTTATAACGAATAGCGATTTTTCAGGTCGCCAACGGAAGCAAAAGATTCTTTCTTTCCTCACTTAACAACTGTGGCAAGGACTCTGGCCTTTTTTGAAAAGTCAATCGAACTTATGATTTATTTATTATTGTTGTGCTTGAATTGTGGTAATTCTGGCGCTTTGTGCTTGAATTTGGACTGAATTTGAGAAGGAAAACGTTTATACTGTTACGTTTAAACGAAAAGGTTATCTTAGTTGGTGATAAAGAAGCTCTAGGATTTCCTTGTATATCACACACGCACCTTTGATGTGTCATTTGGATGGTCGTTTAATCTTTTGATACTGGGAAATTCCACAGCAATCTGTTCCAGCATTTTCTGATAAGGCACAAACTTGCTGTAATTCCATTTATTACCTGAAAAAAACAAACTTCGTGAAAATATTAGCTTAATAAGGACACTTCAAGCACGACACGAAAAGTACAATGACAAGGGCCAAGTAGATAAAAGTTCAAAATAGATAAAATTCCAGTGGTTTACGAAAACCTGGAAACGTACCATCAAATGGCATATATTCAATGAAACGAACGTCGATATTCTGGGGAGATAAAAAATAGATTGTCAATTATCTAACAAGAAAAGTATATTTGAATGTGTCACTCTTTGGCTTACTAAAAAAGGCTAATAATAGTGTTCGATGAGGTTTGCTACTTCGTGAATATGTTAGTAGTTTTAGTCGCTTAACCTTAGTAAACTGTTACCTTCCCTGAGGTGTGAATGGTCAAGTAGGAAATATCTCTAAAAAGAGAAACTATTTCTCGGATGAGAAGGGGTATCCTTTGATTAAAGTGGTAAGGATGAACAGCTATGACAAAACCCATAATTACGATAAAGACAGCTTGGAGTCGTAACTCCAGACTGCTTTGCTACTGCTTTCGCGACGCCATGATGGAATTATATTGCTCTATAGCTAGTTCTAGTCCCTCAGATGGGGCAAATCCACTGGGCAAGCCCACTGGGCAAACCAAATCAATCAGCGATAATTGATGATGGCTGCTCTTCAATTTTTTTGGTCGTGAAACATCTTTAGAAAAGAGAAAAATATTTTAAGAATAAAAACCTGAATTTTGTTGATTAACAATTGATTTGTTAAAGCTGCAGAGGAATTTATAAAACTCGATGATAAAGGCCGCCATTGCATTTAATGCGGTTTTTGCCGAACTGGTGCCATGGCGTCGCGAACTCCGTGATGATGATTGTTAACATACGATTATGCCTGTAACATACGATTATGCCCATTCTTGCAAATTGCAAATCAATCATCATAATAAGCATTAAAAAGACCCCAAATGCATATGCATAACTAAGGGTATCTACCCCTTTGGTGCAAATGCATACCAATAACTTTTTATTTTCCAAAAAGAATAATCTTGAAAATAGCGCATTCACGCCATCATATACCTTTTAAGCTTTCCCTCGGATAGTTGCTCACAACTAAAAGAACTGGTAGACGGCCATTTGATTTGAAGCCTAATCAGTTGCTCAAGAGTTAGAATCCTAGTGACTGCTATTTTGATTTTCTACCAGCAGGAAAGGTTATGATCGATCTTCTTAGACAAGAGCATATATGTTTCTTTGATACGATTTAAAAGAGGCAGGCCTCGCAAAACAGACATATTTGCTACCATAGAAACTTAGCTTTCATCTATGTTAAAACCAGAGAAAAAATTTGCAACTTGATACTTCTTTTAGAGTTCAATTGCTTGACTTGGCCTAAATTGATATCTACTTACAAGTGCGTCTAATATTCATACTGAGGTATGAAATAACAATTTCAAGATACGTCAAAACAATAGAACTGTTCATTGTTAATGTTGTGAATTGGGGACACTGAGCAATGCCAGTTGCAGTGTATTTATGTAAACATAAGAAATATGAGAAATGAAATTACATAAACAGCAGCAATGTGTGAAAATTTAAGCAGAGGGATGCAAAAACAGAACATCAGCTGTGCATGCACAGGTCATCATGATCCACAGCTTCGCTTTTGTACAAGGAATTTTATCCCATTATCCCACGTAAGGATGTCTCCTGTTCAAGGGCATATTTAGGCCTTCATTCAGAGACTTTCTCATCAATTTTTTCAATAATTATAAGTTCAGTTATACAGGTAAAGTGAACCAGGCATTTTATCTTATAGCAGGAAGCCACTTCCAATCCCTCTTTATCACTCAGCCAAGTTGCATTTTGTCATTACCTCCTTTTCTCATTGCCAAAAGAGCCTTTTTCTAATTCTTCACAATTTTAAGGAAGAGGGGCAATGTTCCCTTAAGGGGTTAATGGATTCATTAAAATACACACAAAAATTGGAATGTTCCAGCTGATTTTAAACAAATATTTTGATAAGACAAACATGAAATATTCCACATGAAATGATTAAAAACACAGATAGATTAAAAATGCATTAATTTAGTTTCACCTTGTTTTCTGTGAGCCGAACAAAATTACAAACTTCATCTTCATTCAAGCCATTCATGACAACACAGTTTATCTGGCAAATTAATAAACATTGAATTAATTGAAATAAGAAAAAAGATAGAAAACAATTTCAATAATACTTATGTAGAACAAGACTAGTTCCTTGTTCCGTGAACTACATTTTGATAATTCTGAAAAGGTAGACAGAATACTTCAAAAGAGGTAATTTGATAAATACAAACTTGCACTTGTCCATTAGTATATATAAAAATTAAGAACTTTTTCTAAATACCCTCATCTCAAGCAAAATATTCAACAGCTTGCCAAAGGTTTATATGAAATAAAATCTCTTTTTTGCACTATTGGATATTTTCAAAAAATATTTTCAGATACCTTTACTGGATTGAAACCAAGTTCTAGAGCCTTTTCAATGCCTTCCATAACGCGATTCCACCCTGAAGAAAGAGGGAGAAACTTTAAAAGACCAAATAATTAAATTTATATTTCATACTTGGCGTATAGGTATTACCTCCTTAATGAGATCATCAGGCAATCATTGATGTTGAGGGAACAAACCATTACTACCAACATAGTAATGACGTTGAGGTTCACTTCAACAAAAACAAATGAACTATCAGAAAATGATTAAGAACTGTTAACAATACCTTTTCGTCTTGTAATAAACTCAAATTTTGCAGGAACTAAAGTATCAAGACTGACGTTTAAATGTGTCAAGCCTGCTTTCTTTAAAGCATCAAGTCCCTTTGAAAGAGTGATTCCATTTGTTGTCATTCCAAGAACTTCTAAGTTCTCCAGGGAAGACAGTTGCTCTAAAATAAAAGAGCAGTAAACAAAATAATGGTTAACAGCCTTGATCAAAGTCCTTTAGCAAGTATCTCAGGTTAATCCCTTGAAGAAAAAATTATTAGTTTGACATTTTTTATCCTTTTTCCTACATTTTATACTCTGAGGAATGTTTGATAGTAATGTCAAAGCTTAGTATGTCTAAAACTTTGCTTCTTTTAAAGCTATTATTCATGGAGATAGTAAAATCTACAAGTGATACTAACCACATATCTCTACAATATCTTTTCTGACCAGGGGTTCACCACCAGTTAATCTTATTTTGGTAACACCTTCTTTCACAAACAGTTCAGCAATTTTAATAATCTCATCAGTACTCAATATTTTTTCTGCTTCAGTGAGAGTGACACCTTCTACAGGCATGCAATATTGACCTTTAAAGAGAATTTTAGAAAAAGTCCATTCAAAGCTATGTTAGAAAGAAGAGATCCTGGATAAATGTCAGGTGCCTATGAATCTCAAAATGAGAACTTGATTGAAAAATGATACAAAGTAGCACAAAACAATGTAGATAATTCAGTGTAAATCAAATTCAACTTGAAAAAAAACTTGAACATAAGGTACACACAAGTTTAATTTATAGGTTATTCAAAGCAGGCAAGGTAAAATTGTTTCTCATAAGGATGAAATACTGGATTATATACAAATATGGACATGTATGATACTCATTACTTGGAGATCAATCTACATTTTATTCATTGCAACTCAAGCTTCAATAATTCAATAATTATCAAATAAAGACATAATTCTCAAAAGAATGCACTTAAGTTGAATAAACCCAAAAAATCAAAATTATTTCAGGAATTATTCTGTCTGTAAAATACAGAACAACATTTTACATCACTTACATCTCAAGTTACATCTTTCAGTTAGTGAGATTCTTAAATATGTATGTTTTCTACCAAATTTGTCGGTCAGAAACTCAGAAAATGGGCGAATATCTTTGCCTTCAAAGTATGATTTTGGCTTTGTTGGTAATTCCTAAAGTAAGAACAAAAAGATTATGAAGAAAAGTAGAAGTGATAGATCAAATCTTGGGGCTGGGCACTCAACTGACTTTGTATACAGGGATGTAATGCAGGAGAAAATGTTCTTATACCCTATCAAAGAGTGGTTAATTCTGCAAAAGATGAATATTCCAACCCATTAGTTTGTTTGCTTGAGTTCAAGATATTTGTGTCAGGAAATAAAGATTGGAAAATGGGGAAAGATACCAGCAAACACAAAAATTTTGTTGTGAGTATGTCTGCTCTTTTGTATAATTCATGCTGCAAACAAAACTCATTAACTGTCTATAACACACCAGAAAATTCATCACTGGTAGCAAAGGAGCTTTCACAGGTATTTTTAAGCCTTGGATACAGTTGTTTGGCACAACAAGCCCCTAAATCATGTTGTGTAGGATGCATGTATAGACCAATATCAACCTGCCCTGATCAAAGTTGGTGCAGATAAAAATCTTAACACTTTCTGTCCAGGACTGTAGATATTTAGAAAAGAACCAGATTGAAAGTTTGGTCTGCGAAAATATTTTTTTCCTTCATTCTGCCTGTGCAATATTAAGAATCTCTCATAGATTCTGCGCACAATATTTGTTTATCTGGTCATGTTTCTTGCCAATATTCCACCATTTTAACTTCTGACTTCTGATGGCAAGAAAAACAAAGAATGCAAGGTCGTTTTTAAAGTCTTTTGTTCATTTTCCGCACACAACTTCACAGGAAACATTCGTTATCTGCAAATTTTAAATTATTGTTTTGGACATTCTCCATGCAGAAAAAATACTTTCAGTCTGGGAAGAAAATTTTGGCAGAATAGAAACTTGATTCACTTCACTTAAAGGGTGGTTGCCAATAGAATAGAGGTATTAAGTCAGTACAGTTTGATGCAACATTTGCAATGACCACACCCATTCTGTAAGTGTGCGCACTGTATCCAATGTAAATTAAATTGAGTGTGAATACTGCAGATTGTGGGAAAACCCAACCCCACTTTCCAGAGAGCTTTATATGCGTCTTTGCCTTTGAACGAGGAAGCCCCAGTCCCCCAATAGAAACTTGATTCACTTCACTTAAGGGGCGGTTGCCAATAGAATAGAGGTATTAAGTCATTACAGTTTGATGCAACATTTGCAATGACCACACCCTTTTTATAAGTGTGCACGCTGTATCCAATGTAAATTAAATTGAGTGTGAATATTGCAGATTGTGGGAAAACCCAACCCCACTTTCCAGAGAGCTTTATATGTGTCTCTGCCTTTGAACGAGGAAGCCCTAGTCCCCCAGTCCTTAAAAACGTGTTTATTATCAGGCATTTTTTCAGATATCTTACAATATTTTCATTCTTTCTGATAACAGTATCTAGTTGCTCTTTGCGCCCTGATACATGGCACATCATTCTTCTGGCTCGTCTTCCATCTTTACTACATATTCTTTTGCAGCTGCTCTGACGGCATATCCCATTCAAAATCCTACAAAGATTTGCCCTTTTAAATTGTCCAACATTTCTTGATAGCAACATAGTTTCACTCTGCTACCTAAGCGGCAAGCTAAAACCACAGAATAGAAATGTTGTGGCTGAAACTGCTCCTCAGTTCGATGGCCTCTCTCTCACTGCGCAACAACCAATATTAAACCAGCCTCTTTTTCGTTGCCTTCGTACAAATTGCCACAGTGCCTTCCGCACGTCATGCCAACGCACAATAAAACAATTTAAACACTAAAACGTGAGTATTCTCATATTTCCATTTCAAGTATTAGATTTAAGTTCTACAAGTACTACTGCTGTTGGAAATGTTAACAGTCTCTCTTTGTAGGAACCCAACCCGGTACGCCGGAAGGTTTGAGTTTAAAAATTCCTTAGTTTGTTTGTTGGTTTTTTACTTTGCAGCTAATCCCTAAATTTGTTTACACCAGACAACTGTAAATTTGAAAATCTAGGAAGAGTAAAAATTAATAAATAATAAATAGAATTTGAAGAAATCCCCTTTTATGCCTGGCTGCATTACGAGGCAATCAGTCAAGAAGACAATAAATTTCTAAGTCAAAAATTATAAATTATTCAGTTGCTATGGAACGATTTTAAAACAAAGGGCGGTATATAGAATGGAATTTCTGAGACTCATGTCGTTTAGTGGCGATGTGGCACTAAAGCAGAATTTTATAGCAAGGTTTGTTCAGAAACCGCAGGTTTCAAAGTTAGATATCTAAGCTCTCATATAATCTATTTTATTGTTATATTTGCCTCAGACAGCTTACTTATTTTTATATGCATTTTATGCCACGAAACCGCTGAAGTTATCAAACTTTGAAATGCAACCCTACCAGCAGAATTAAAAATGATAAATAATAAAGTTTTGACTATGTCATTAGACAGGATTTTTCTATCATGGTATTACAATCAAATATTTTCACTGCTATTATATAGCTAAGTATTAAATTGTAATTAACTTTTTAATGCTGAGAAAAGGATTTATTTGAGGTAAATGTTGGATAGTATTTAGCATAACAAGAATTAGGCAGTGTTGTGTGTGATTATTTGATGCCGTTCGTTCACTAATAAAACCATCTATCAATTATGTGTCCTTTCCAACCATTGTTGTGTCCAACCATTATTTTACATGCAGAGAACACGAAGCCAGGAAATAACGATATGACTACTGCGTGTCTTGCTTCTAACTGAACTCTGAACTGAACTTACTTACAAGTTAACATACTTATTTACAGAAATGAATACTAAAATTAAACGAGTAAAGGTGATGAGTAAATTGAATATCGTGGCGGAGATTAAGTAAACAATACGGATTAGCAAATGCGTGATATGAGAGTGACATAGAGGATGCCTGTGCTGTGATGTGAGAATGTGGGAATGTGACGGAATGAATGAGAAGAAAAAATTAATGTAAACAGGCCTAAGTAGAGTCACTGCAAATATATTACTGCTTTATAAGTAATTACTAGATCAGCTCTACATCTTTCTGAAACTTATCAAACAACATCATGGTAGTTCCTTTTATAATATTGATATACTTATTCTTATCAGATTAAGCTCAAAATGGCTTTTTCAAAGTTACACAACTGTGCATCAGTGTTGATCACTTTTGCACCTGGACTAATGGCTGCCATATTTTATGGATTCACCTCTGGATCGATGTCATTTATTAACAAGGTTTTAACTTGCTTTTGTGTACCCATTTTATTTATGAATAACATTTTGTATAAATAGATTTGTTTATGAAGAGTATGAAGATGTTTTTCATAATGCATAGGCCATATTGTATAGAAAATTCTACAAAGGAATTACCTCCCCCTCCATTTGTTGGGTCTATGACAGGGGATCACTTTAATTAGACTATTTCACACTGGAGAAAATAACCATATAATTATGTAATTCAAAATTCCAATTTTTTCATGGAATACAATTTTAATATTTGCCAGCATTATGGGGGTATTGCCAGATGTGTACAGGCCTCAGCTGAGTTTTCTCTGAACATTCACAATCAAAACAAAAACTGTCTTCTATCTTGTTAGATGAATTATTTAACATAAAGTAACTTATAAGCCAGCTCCCCAAATAGGTTCAACAACCATTTTGGCAGTTCAATCAGGAACCCTTTAGGAGTTGAAAAAAGTGACTATTTTATTTTAAACCAGTATGGATGGTATTAAAAATTCCCATTTCTATCATGTAGTTATGCAAAAAGTGATGGAAATAAATTGTTTTTTTCTATGCAGTATGTTCTATCATCATTTGGTTATAAATATGTTGATGTGTTAATGCTGGCCCAATTAGTGATAACATCAACAGTGCTGGAAATATGTCGCTTGTGCAACTTCTGTGATATACCCGCTTGGAGCATGGAGAGGTGGGTTTTATAATTGTCTTTTTAGCAAAACACTATTTGAATAAGGATTTTTGGAATAGAACTGCCTTTTTGAAATAGAATGGCCTTTTCTGAAGCTTTAATTGCTTTATTTTTGAAGCATTAATTGTATAAATTAGTAAGTAAAGATTTAAATTTGTGCACACCATCACCTGTCAAAGCCATTATTCACTTAAGTACAAAAAATTTATAGCACATAATTAAAAAATGAGTTTGAAAAAATCTCAGGCTTTTTATCAGGCTGTCTTCTAAGTATGAAGCATAAAAATGAGGAAAACAAATGTTAAGCTAGAATATGTTTTTAACTCTCAATGTAGTCTTAAAACAAACCTTGTTATGTTATATGGAGATAGTTAGTTTCCATTTTCGATTTTTCAGGGGCAAAAGCTTTTTTGTGCCAAGCATTTGCTTTGCTGCCCACACAACACTTGCCTTAGCAGCTCTTGGAAATCTGTCAATTCCAGTGTGAGTTTTCATTTTTGTATTGTAGCAATTGTAGCAATATACAATGATTATAACTTTCATTTATGATGAGATAGCATCAATAGCTTTTACAACAGAACACTTTACATTTCCTGGATTGATACTTTGCTATTATTTGCTGTTCAAATATAGTGAGAGTTTCAGCTTGCCATATTTCCCTTATAATTTTTCATTTTATGAAAACAAATCTCTGTTTCCTGTTTAGCTTAAGTATCTTATTAAAAAATTTTATCTTTGAAACATCCTATCAGCCTTAAGCGGATATTTACACATTTGTCAGTTTGGATTGGAAACCGTAAATTAGAAGTATCGGACTTGTAGCATCTGTATTTCAACATTATCTGCATCATCACAAAATTCTCTGATGGCCCATTATCTCTATTATGAAACTATTATGAATGGACCTTTGCACATTTAGCTCTTAGACTGAAATTTTGCACCATCTTGTTACAAAGCACTTTGTAACACTTATTTCTCATAAAGCCAGGTCTGTTGGGTGCTATGTCAAATTTACAGTAAAGGATACTGTTTTGACTTTATTGTTTACCTGGTGTCATCCAGTGTGCAAAAGTTGAATTTATTATATTTTTTATCTTAACCTCCTGGGACCTGTTACCCCCTAGCTTAGAATTTGCCAAAAATGGATCATAGATATGGAATCTTTAAGTTGAAATTAGTCTGTGCTGAACATTTCATGTTGTTTGGGCCATCAGGCACTGAATTACCTCATTTTCAATAATTAGTTTTTCTTGTAGATATCAATGGAATTTATTGCTGTAGTGAAATGTTTTCACTACAGCAATAAATTCCGATCATATCTAGAAAAATATCTAAATATTAAAATTGAAGTAACTCATGACTGAACAGTTCAAACAACATGTAGTTTTCTAAATAACCTAGTATTTTCAAGATGACGGTTTCAAATCTGAAGTCAATTTTTGAGAAAGATCTGTAGATTATGAGTTGCAAAATTGATGACATCAACCTAGAATGTTATTGCTAACATGTCTTAGAATGATACTGGGTAATTTCATTTGTAATTGGAAACATGTTTGTGGCTGGTTTTGACATAATTTCAATTATCTCACCAGATACAATGTCCTTAGAAGAATGCTGCCACTAGCAAATCTGATGATGGCCCATTTTGTATTAAAAAAGACACCCTCTTGGCAAATTGTGATTTCTGTACTTTTCATAGTTACTGGATGTGTTTTAACAGGTACAATACTAGCATGATTAATGATGGAATAGCCTGGCAATGTTTTTAGTAATGTGGTAATTTCCTTCCAATTTTGATGTGATAGCATTTCCTTGATAAAACATTTGGTTACCTCTCTATTTAATTAAAATTCAGGATAAGCTGCCATGTAAAATCAACATGAAAGGCACTAATCAAGTATTTTATAAAAGAGGTTTGCAGAAGCAAATATCAGTACATCTGCAAGGCTAGCAGATCACTTTTTTGTTCATTTTTCTCCCTTAAAAAGGATATTTTTAGGCTTCTTTTTGCTATTTGCTTAGATCATCTCTTCTTCTCACCATAACATTTTTGTATTGCAGGTTTTGGGGATGTCAAATTTGATTTTTATGCATACATCTGTGCAGTTTCAAGTGTAGTAGCACAATCAATATATCTAACATATGTACAAAAAACTGGTATAGAGTCTGGAGTTTCAGCTCTTTCAGTTTTGCATTTGAACAGCATCAACTGTATACCATTCATGCTCGCATATGCAGTTTTAAGTGGGAACATAGTCAGGGCAATTCATTTTTCTGGAAACAAGGATTCTCAGTTTGTTGTGAGTATCATTTGGAGGGCTATTATTAAAATATCTAACTCTCTACCCAGTTACCTCATGCTCATCATACATCATCAGGTATAATATATCAAGGAATAAACCTGACAATAATTTACTGTAAATTCTGTGGTCTCCTCTCAAGTTTTTCATGATGACTGAACCAAGGATATATGTCAACCTGTATGTGAATACAAACTGATATCACCCAGAAAAACCCATGTTTCTAAATCTAACTTCAGACTTCAATGGCTGTTTGGTGAATAAGAACTATTAGCTAGAAAACTGAGAGCTTTGGGATCACTTTATCAAGGTATAAATCAATTTAACAAGACAAAAATGATGCTGTAGCCATAGAAGGAACAGCTCTCAGACAAAGAAAACTTGCAGATTATACAGTGAATGCTTGCTTCTTTCATGTGATTGATCACTTTCCATTCCAAACAGATTTTAAATCAGTCAGAAGAAAGTATAAAATTAAATGATAATGCATCAGGTGATAGCCATAGAACATAGAACATTACTAGCTGTCTGAGCAGGCAAGTAATGTTTACAAACAGGTAATGCCTGAAAACAGTGACAATATATATTTACATGTGATAACATTTCTTGAGTGTAAAGTCCATTTTTACTTTCAGGCTGCTTTTCTAATTGATGTCTCTTTTGGCTGTGTCCTCAACTACTCCCTATTTTTGTGTGCAACGATGAATTCTGCCTTAACTACAAGGTAATTTCTTTCATGATTACTCAGGGATACAAGGGCAGGGCAAGAGCTTCTAGCCTCAGTAGCATAATATTTTCATATGAATTTCTAATAACATATCAACCTCATTTAAAGGGCCTCATGGTGCTGTGCGATTGGTTGCTTGTAAAGTAACCTTCCTACAGACTACGGACGCAAAAAAGAAAGATAAGTAGAGAAGAGACATCTACTTATCATCTTCCTGCCCAGCTTCATAGAGAAAATACACATGCTTTTGTACAGCAGCAACAGAAACTTGAAGCTTGAATACCATGATTTTCTGAAAACCCAAAGACCAAAATTTTTAATTGATTAAATTATGGTGTCCTGGAAGATCTTTGTCAGTAAACCAAGTCATGATTTAACACATTTGCTCATTAGAATATCAATTATTTAAGCTAACACAATTGCTTCGCCAACCTCATTTACTTGTAGGGGAACCTGGGCTAAAATCTTCTAAAATCGAAGGTTTTTCTAATGTAATCATTTTTTTATTTACATTTTTCACACCTATGAAGCTATGTCTTTAAAATAAAATGCCTTTCATAGAAAATGCCTTTTCTGAATTGACTTTAATTTGACCCTAAGCCTTGCTGTGGGAAGTTTTTAGCCATTTTAAAAGTTGAGAACTTTACAGCAAGACAGTATGAGATGTTGTCAGCCTTTTTGCTTTCTCTGATATTGAAAAATTAAAAGTCTTCTTTCCAAAAAGCCTATAATCAAGGACAAAAAAGTTGAAACTTTTCATGAGAAGTTAATGTTTTCTCTTTCATTTCAAAAATTACTTTTCCCCGTTTCCCGATTTAATATTGAATGCATGTTTTTGAAGCACAGATGATAGAACTACTAATCCAATATTGATTCGGTGAGGAAAGAAGGATTCGAATTTACTGGGGCAACGTAAAATAGCAAATTGCACTAACTGGATTGTGTTTCAACAATTTTATCTAAGACTGTAGCTCGACAGGCTTAAGATGTAACGATGCGAGAATCTGACGTAAGATAGAAAATATTTTTGATTTCTTACGGATAGTAGGGGTGCTTTCCTAGGTCGTTAACAACACTTGGATATCATTGTGAAAAATTGATAGCGGGAGAAACCCTTTTTTGGGAAATTTAAGCCTTAAATTATTTCGATAAATACTATTTTTGTTATTCTTACCGATTATTCTTTGTTGTTTTCAGTTTGGTTGGCGTTGTAAAGAGCGTCTTGACAACTCTGATTGGATTCTTCACCTTTGGAGGCGTGCCTGTTTCATTCTTTACGATTATGGGCGTAGGTCTGAACACCTTTGGAGGAGCTCTGTATTCTTACGCTAAATACTTGGAAAAAAGATCAGTTCTGCGCTCAATCAGCAATTTATTTTTGCCAACCAATGCTTCGGATGTTGCAGAAAAAGGAAATGAAGTCAGCAATGAAAAAGGAACTCACGACTCTGTTTCTGTTACGATCGACGATCGAACTCGTGCCTAGTTTGAATACAGGGTTTGTTTCATCAACGTTTTTAGAATTTTATCACCTTCGAAATTCTTAGCTTCTATGAATGAATTGCTTTTTAGAATTTAGAAATAGTTTGCATATTTTGGTGGAGACGGAATGAACTAAAATAAGCAGGGAGAAAACATTTCCCATTTGTTAGTTCCCTTACCCAAAATATGATATCAGGAAATGTTAACTAAGACTAAGACGGGAAGAGTACTATTGACTAAACATAAAGGTATTTGCTATTTAGGAAGTGCCAAAAAATGTGCTATATTAGATAGAACGGTAGCGAAAGTACTAACCAGGAAGAGAGGGGAATAAAGTGCTATATTAGATAGAATGGTAGCGAAAGTACTAACCAGGAAGAGAGGGGAATATAGTGGGTTTTTAACCTCGATGAGCAGACTTCATTACGATTATTGCTGCCACTTAGCCTCCTCTATCGTTTGAACTCAACAATAAGCCTCCTTGTTAAACCTTACTTTTTTCACTATAGAAATTGTATTTAATCTGGATATTTTGCCGGCCAAAACAATATCTATCCATGGGCTTGCTTGTATTGAGTAACCTACTTTTCTAACTTAGTAGTGTTTATGCCCAAGCCTAGTTAAGAATTTTTAACATCAAGCTTATGTAATAGTCATCTTACATATTCCATTTTTCAAGCGTGGGGAGTAAGATTATATTATAACTCACAAACTTTGCAAGCGGGACTTTTGTATATGATGGAACCGTATGTTGGACAATATCATAAGTACATGTACAATATCATTAGTACAAGTATGTACAATATCATAAGTACAAGTACAATATTATTAGTGTATGTTGGAAAATATAAGCCTTGCAGACAATATATGTCTATGGCCATTAAATGGGAGTTTATTTAATAAGGGAACTTTGTAGTACGTGTATTTAGGTATTTAGGAGATGGGATCGTGTTTAACTTGTCCCTCTTAGAAACTAAAGTTTTGACAAGCTCGCAATTGTTTTGACAAGCACTTAGTTTCAAAAAAGCTGTGCTTTACAGTATTTTGAACAATTCAGTCTAGCGGAGGTGGTGTAGGGGTGCTGTGACACCCCTAAATCGCTATGAGTTGTTCAGTAAATCTTCAGTTGGTCTTAAAAATCTGGGCTTAAAAACAAATTCCAATTTTTCAGGTTTAGTGCCCAAAAATTGCTGATGATTTTTCACCTAATTAGCTCTCACAACATTTAGTGATAATTTTGACAGTGGGTCAGCAAGAGTGCCCTCCTAAAAATAGGTAAAAGGGGGCTTTGGAAGCCACACCTATAACCACACCCATAACCATACTTAGAATAGTAAATGATTGCCAACATTGAATTTGTCCTACCAAGCGCGCTAGCTCATCAAGGGGATGCTGAGCTTTCCACAATCTCTTATTTATAACAAGAAAAGCCGAACCCCCGAGCCCCCTTCCATGCCCCCCTGGGGTGGAAAACCTGTACCCGGCCTTCGTGCAGGTGACTATTTTATGAACTGAATTTTTTTTCGAATAACGTTGACAATGCTAGCAGTCTACTACAATTTGTATTCGCTGTTAGACGTACTTATGCATTGTTAGTTTTCAGATAATTATCGGGAGTGTTTTGTTTGAAATGTTATATAATTTTTTAGATAATAATAACCGACGAAGTTGCAAATAATAGTGAAATTATAATTTTGTTGTTAAGAATTATACATATTGATCCTGTTTTATTAAGTTAGGTTGGTTTTGTGAGCTTCATGCTCACAGTTAGTGTCTTACGAATAATTCATGACATATCCGCATGGTGTAATGAAGAAATAATTTTGTAAATTTGAAACTGGATATAATATTTTACTAAGTTTGTAATTGAATACATATTAGTTGGGATTGCATACATATGAAAGAAGATAAGAAGATAAAGCAGGCAACTTTTCTACATCACTTCGTTACTACCGAATACCAAAAAATGCTCTTTACTAAATCAAGGCAAAGTTTATGAAGAACACAAGAATATCAGGGTTGTCGTACCTATTATTTTCTTGAATAAATTACCAGTTTTTCCTGGCATCCGTTAAACAAGGAAATTGTGATTAAAGAAGAATTTCGTTTAGTTTTCGAGTTGTATCAATCTTTTACCTTCCCTGGCACCTCTCAACTTTCACCTTCAGGAAAACAAAATAATTTTTTTTTTAACTTGTTTGCCTAAATTTTAATCCTACCGTAAAATCAATAGATCTGAGACTTAAACTACTAGCACTTTTATCAGCAACTCGGAAATATGAAAATTTTCTCAGGTCTACAATAATGTCAATAACCTTGCATATTAACACAGGTTAATTTGTTTAGTAATTTATGTTACCGATATCAATCAAAGACCTGTACTTTACATGATAAAAGTTAAAAATTACAAGTATAGAATTTAAAAAGTTACAATAAAAGATATAGAATTTTACAAGAAAAAAATTATATTTGACACATGGTTAAAAATTCAGGTTTGCTTTAAATTTCAAGTCTTTGCCAAATCTATTGAATTTCTATGAAAAAAATAGTTGAGGCAGACAGCTAAGGGGATTAAAAAACTTTTCAAAACAAACTTTGTTTGACACTTGTATGTTAATAATCTACTAACAGAACAAAGTATTGTATAAACTTGTGATTAACATCGCAGAAACGCCTCAAGCACCTGGCGCTAACATGGAAATTTTATTTTGTCCACTGTTATACTCTTGATATTACGGTCTCTATCGTTTTCTTTATTTCTGTCTTGGTTTCCTGCAATCAGCTTCTGACAAATTTCTTATTTTTCAATGATCTTCTTCAATAATCAATCTACAACTACTTATTCCTCCTCTGCTTCGACACATCAGGGACTATCAGGGTTCCAGACAAAAAAGGGCCGGACGACAAAAGACAAAAGACGACCATGCAAGCTTTTGCGAGACAAAATAGCTTCTCGGTAGATTCTTTTTGTTTTGAATTTTCGAGTTCGTTTTTACGACGTCCCAAGGATCAATAAATACAAGGGAGCTAAGTGAAGATAGAAAAGATGCTCAATTCACAAAAAAGATGGGATTAAAGCCCAAGGGGATGCTCCCATTAAGGTCTGACAAATGGGGTCCAGTCGATTTGAAGGTCTTACCAAATGGCTACCAAATGGTCCAGTTTCGATAACAACACGACGACTTAGTTAAGCTTGCAATGCATTATAGACAATGAACAAGATTCTATCTTTCCTGAATCAACAGAAATCAATGGCGAATAAATTTGTGAAAAAAGGACCAGGCGCGCAAAAAGAAATGGATGCTACCAAGGAAATAATTTCCATCCTTGTGCTACCATTTGAGGGTAATTTTTTAATATTTTAGCTTTAGCTCTCTTTGACCCTGATTGGACCCCCTATTAGGCCATGATGTGAGTCCCCCGGGGATTAAAGAAGTTTTACTTCAAAGGGGAATGGAAAAATCATTATTTGTTAGGTGTTTGGCTTTTCAATTTTATCAAAGAAAGGAGTAGAGGGAGTAGCAACTCTGTTTTCTAATGAACTCCGATATATGCGGCATATAAGAATTATCATGCTAGTGAAGTTATTATCAAAAGCTATGCAAAGAACAAATAATTGTACAGGCTATATGAAAGCTGTTTGACCGGAACTTAGTCTAATCTAAACTTTTATTAAGAGAAGCTCTAAAGCAAGTTTCTTGCAAAAATAATCTTGACTTCATTTTTTTCCGTGAAGGAGATACGTAAACATTAAAAAGATCTTGAAGAGTGTTACAAAGACCAAACTAGTTTCGTCCCAGAAGTTTTCTTATCAGAAGTCCGTTTTTAACGGTTTAAGATAGTTAGTTGTTTGGCTTTTGGTCCAGTGTTCTTCTTTGAATTTCTTTTGCAAAGCAAATCATCAATTTTCCGAAATTTCAAATCTGTGAATATTCGCCACCTCCTAGTTATGACATAATCGGTTCTAGACCCCATTTTCGGCCATTGTACGCGACTTCCCGGCATTCATGCGGAGAATGCACGTTGTGTAGTCCTTTCGATCATAGAACAGTTTCCAAGATGGTGCACTCAGCTGTGTGGAATAGTCACCCCAAAAATTATGGACCAGGATCTAGAAAATGGTAATATATTGTAACCTTTACCAAGTTCCATAGTTGATTTATCATATTTTGCAGCTCTTGTCAGTAGATCTTCCCTCAAAATTTGTTTTTTAAACATCGGTTAGAGGGCCTAGTCAAACGGAGAGCGAGCTATGGAAGGCATGAAAATACGAACAGACGCATGAACAATTATATATTTTGTCTCTCTGTTTATTTTTTCCTTGTAGAACATCATGGTGGGATCGTTTAGAAATCAAATGGAAACTTTAAGTGACAAAGTTTGTCAGAAAATTAAGAGTCATAGCGCTACAAATATATTTTCAAGTTTTATAACGGGGTTTAAATAAACTTAAACCAGAATTCATTCAACAGTAATTTAACACAGCATACTAGATAACATAAGAAGTTCAGTTTCAGCTCAGTTTCAGTCCACTATTCGAAGTATATTAGTTCCTTTACTACAGTAAAACAAACATATACAACTTAAGTACAAATACAGTTATAAAGTAAAACTATGAAGCACCACCATAGTAGATATGGTAAAGATTTTGTGCCTGACTTTGATAGCATGATTTATCGGGAGCAATTATAGGCAACAAATTTACCTAAACAACAAATAATACATGCATCTTGAATATCAATTGGTAAAATTGTTTAATATAGAAAAGCAAATACTAGTTTAAAAAATGTTGACTTGGAGTTCACATCTATATTTTCCACATCTATAAGAAACACATTTAATTAAAGAAGTAGAAAACCACTATATTTGTAATCAACAGAAAATTGAGAGAGGCATATTTTAGCTCAGTGTTCTTTGTTATTATTGTCTAAATATTTTACTTATATTCTTTTAAGAATCATTGTGTGTTTCTGGAAAGGAATTTATTTGGTAATTGGCAAATTTTAAAGTGTCCTTTCTTCTTGATTTCAGTACCTGAAAATTTGTTTTTAGATATTTATTTCTCTATATACCAAATTCATGAGATCAAAGGCAGCTGGAAGCAAAAATAGACTGTTACCAGCACTCCGAATACATCTGACAGAGTATGGTCTGATTTTGGCACCAATTTGAAATCAGCTGTCTATTTATTAAGCAAAAACATGGGATTCTTAGAAGGGAGGAGGTCATTTTCGCAGCAAAAAGAGTACTAGTCACAATAGACGATGCCAATGCCAAAAAGTAATGTCTTAGTAGTGCCCTCTTTGGTTAAAAGTTAATTTATTACAGCTATTGCATAAATAATGCAATATAAAAGACTGCATGTCTTTCTCTTTAGCCGCGTGTGCTCCAACAGACATGGTCTTATCAGAAAGTATGGTTTGAACCTCTGCAGACAGTGCTTTAGAGAATATGCACCTGATATTGGTTTCAAGAAGGTAAGTTTGAAACTCGCTTTTTAGATTAACTTCATCACCATCAACTTGCAAGGCTTAAGCCTTGCTCAGACAAATGACATTATGTAAGAATGAAATGTTCCCACTGAATAACAAAATAACTCAGAACTTGTTAAATCAAGAGTAACTTTGGGAATGATTTAGAAGTTGCACCTGTTACTTTTGTTTAAGTTAAGAGATATTGAATATATATCTATCTCATTTTGTAAAGAACATCAAAAACAGATTTGAGCTCTGAAAGTTTACAATTTTGAATCCAGCACAGCTAGTCTGAAGTTCATTGCAAGAAAAGTGTCTCGTTCCTTGTTTTTCTTGTTTGACATATCTCATAAACAAATGTAGGTTCTCAGTTTTTTTTCTTGTTTTGCCCATTGATACTGTTTCACTTTAATTCTGATAATATTTCTGGAGAGGATGCATTTCAACTGCTTGAGATAAGAGTAGGTCAGTGAGAAGAATACATTACACCATCATTGATGAAAACATAAACATTGTGAAAAATTTTTGTTTATCTGGTGTTTTAATCTTCAATTAAATTTGCGACCTTTAATGTATTAAAATCAGCTATTACAGAAATTCAAATGTTTGGATAGGGGCATATTTTGAGGGCAGGGGATTCTGAAAGTTTTTTACTTCAGAGGATGGTCAACTTAGGGCTTGACAATATCATATTCTTACTGTTGTGAACCAGGCCTACCAGAAATTCTGCTATCGGCAACTAGCATTTTTATGTTGAAGAAAAGCAATTTTAATTAACATTTGATGGAAAAGACCACTAGCACAGAGCAGGCTTTGTTAACCCCAGGATTATTTCTGTGTGTTTATTAAATGTAGTTAGGGTTATTTCATAAATGTATGGGGATTTCTTTAATGCATGAAAGGTCTGTCCATGTTGATAGAATTTTGTTTCATTGGTAAGACATTTGTTTGAACTATGACCATTCTGACAAATGATCCATGTACAACATTGTTGTTTGTTCAGAAGTTCACATCCAAGCATCATTTTCATTTGATACTATTTTACATATAATAAATAAGTAATGTTTCTCAATTCAGCCAATAAAAATTGGATTGCTTAATATTTTCTAGATCAAGAACCCCCTACCATACCATTATATTGATAATGTATGATGGTTGAACAGTTTAAGATAAATTGCTTCTTCTATTTTGCCTTCTACCTCTGTATTTGCTGGCTTCTATCTCTTCTGACTTTACAAAGTTAATATTTATTCTGAAATATGCCCAAGCATGAAAAATTTAAAATTAGGTCCTTTTTCATATTATCCTGTCATGACACCTTTCTAAATATTGAAGTCTGTTTATAAGTCTTTTTCTATTAAACTAGAAAGTTTTCTTAATTGTCTTAATATTTCTTAAAACTTTTTTCCAGTTCAAGTAAAGCCACAAATCTAGAAGAAAATAACTTGAAGAAGTACCACTGACAGCCCCATCATAAAGACATTTTGTTAAGATGCACTGTCATGACATTTTTGATGAAAATGAAGCTTCTTAAAGTGCCATAGTATGTTGTTTTCTTTTTGATGTTCCTTTGAGTTTTAAACCAACACAATTGTTGAAATCTTGATAGGTTTCTTATCATCAAAATGTTCTGCTAAAGCAGGATTTTCAGTTAATGAAAAAAGGCAAGATAACGTTCTCTAGAAATGAAGCATATTTTGCAGCCTAATTTCACTTGGTTCTAACATCTGTCAAAGATATTCTTTACAAATAGGATGTACAATTATATCCTGGGCCGCCAAGAAGGGGGGAAGGAGGGCAAATTGCCCCAGGTCCTCAAGGTCTAGGGGGGCTTCATAAGTAATGACTTTCATTTTCATTTTATGGTATTAATCAAACACAACAAATGTATACCTTAAAAATAGTGAAACATTTGAAAAGATTGCAGGAAAATGACTGTGAGAAAAGTTTGGAATTGCATTTTTAGCTAATCTGAAATGCGTGGTCACAAATATTTTCTGCTCGCTCCACCTGTAAGAGCCTCGTCTTTCGGCTTTGTCCCAGGGCCTCTGAACTGACTTGGCAGCCCTGATTATATCTTTTTTCCCTAATCTCTACTCCTGTCCCAGTCCCTACACCTATGTTATCATTTCTGGTTAAACAAATTAGCTTTTTCCCATTTTATTTCTTTCAGAGGGCAAGGTAGCAAAAATAAAGTTATTTAAGCTTCACAATTGGGCGATGGTTTCTTAAAGCCAACTCTTTAACATGATAATTTATGTAGAAAGGGTAATTTTAAGTTGAAAGATAAATTCAGACTGGTAAAATGTAACAGGAACTTTGAAGCTAACTCAAATTGTTCCTTCTGCTTCGATGAAAAAGGTTCTGAGCTGCCATATTTTGAACCTTTTTTTCTTTGTTTGGAAGTTGTGCCTGAAATTTGTCATCTAGCTTTGGAAAAATCATTTGTAGAAGAATCTGGTCACTAAATATATTCTTTTTTATCGACAAACAAGTGACTTACCCTTTACTTTAAAAAATTTATTCTATTGTAATTTTTTCTATTGGACCTTTTGTCACTTGACCACACCTCGCTGAACTCAAAGCTACTTATAAAAGCTTAAAATCAGAACTCCAACGAGAGAATTTAAAGTGCCTCAGGGATCGATTCTTGATCCACTGCTTTTCCGGATTCAGGCGATTCAGAATGAACTAGTAAAGAAAGTAAATAGTTGCAAAGTTAAAATGTATGCTGATGACACTTATATATACAGTTCATCGAGATATCAAACTCATTGAAAACACTCTGTCAGCTAATGTCTTTCATAAAAGATTGCCTAGACAAAAACAGGTCGATCAAAAGAAAGGAAAAACAGAAAGTATGCTGTTCGGGCCCGCTGAGTGGCTCTGCTCCCATGGCGATTTGAAAGTATCGTTCAAGGCCACATGATAGACTGCATCTTAATAGAAATATCGTGTACTTTGGTCCTTCACTAAACATGAGTGACCCAGGTGCTTAATACGATCCTATACTGTCAAAATCCAGTCCTCAAGATATCATCATCATCATCAATTTATTTGCGGTTGGCAATGTCATAGTTCTTAAGAAAACTAATTTGCACCAACTAGACCTATTTACAAAGAAACTGAAGTTTGAAAAACTCCCGGAGAGAGCACAGAAAACTACAAGGCAAATGAAGGTAGAGAGAACAGTTTCCGTAGTATCCTAAACCAAAAATCGAAAGTTGCATGTCTAATTTTCAAATGTCGACAAGGAACAAGTATCCCAGCGTTGTCATCATGTGCAACGAAAATAAGTTGTAACACACTAAATATTAGTGCTGCCCTTCGATTACCACTGCTAAGAACTGAAGCTGCAATAAAATCGTTTTTGTTGATTTCCTGCACTTTTTGTGCTTGTTAGAACAACACCGAAGAAGTTCAACGATTTAGATGATTTTTTTCCTGTAGATAAAATTTTCCTTTGAAACAACTTTCCTTTAGGTGGCCTCAAGCAGTCCTGTATGGTATTAGAACTAATTTTTTATGACACTTATAATTCAAACAGGACCCTTGTTGATAACAGTACTTTCTTGTACTGTTAAGGTAATCACCCTGTGTAAACAGTTATGTTATTATGTTATCATTACTGAAATTTAGTTGTAGATGCACCAAGCACGCGCTTCAAATAAGAAATTTTGGTCACGTTTTTGCATGGATTGTCACAAAGATATCACATTTTTTACCGGTGATGTCTGTAACAGAACAAATAACGCTTTTGCCTAATCCTGGTGCTAAAATCTTCCTTTCTCGATGCGTCGATATGATACAAGCAGATCTTTGCCCTGGCGTGTCGCGTCAAAAGGCTTCATGCCTTCATAGTTATTGGAACAGCGTTATTATATAAGATCAGTTTCTATTATGAATAATCCATATCACTGGTTGGATATATCATCCACTTTTTGTATATGTCAAAAGTGTAACCAGGCTCTTTGTTCAACTTTCTCTCGGTATTGTCTTCTTAATCCTAGTAGGATTGAAATGTGCTTGCGAGTCTTGACGAGAATACCTGTCTTTCTGCCAGAATTTGCAATAGCTAAATCAAGAGACAACAGGAAATCAGCTATTGCGGCTATGGTTGGTCACCCAAAACTGAAATTTTTTAAGAGCAAGATGTTTCGATTATTAATAATTTACAGGGAATCGTCAAAGAAAAATGATTTCAATAATCCCTGGTTCCCAGCATCGTTTAATCGTTTCTCACATAATCACTTGTGTAGGACTTTATTTCATTCATACTGGAACAACAGTGCTATTAACATCGGTGCGATCTGGTTATTATGCTCTATTACTCAAGAGATGTTTTGTTAAAAGCTTTGCAAACAAGACTGCCACTTGCAGTTATTTTATTCATTGTTACGTCACTCGCTCCATTCTTCTGTTTCACACAACATGTGGTCGAGTCGGTCGCAAAAACAAATGGATGAGGAAGAGAACGAAGCATAGGGAAATCAACTTGACATATTTACTTGGTAGCTGACGCCTTATTATCGTGTGCAGCTTCGAGTGTGTTGCTACAACGAGAGGATGCTGAGGAAATTTCAATGAGATGCCGAACCAGATTTCTGCATTGTTTACCGAAATGAATCTATGGATTGAAGTAGCTAGCTTGAGAAGTGAATTGGTAAGATTTCTGTTTCTCTAAATATTACTTTTTTCTGTCATTCCTTTGTTATTTGACTCTCGCCTATTTATTTCGAAGAATCTTCCCAACCGAGATGAAATTCTTTAAATATTTTGCATTCAAATTGTTTGCTGTTTTGTTTTCAAGGTTTCTGTTGCATCTTCATTCGGATGCACGTGCACGCATTTGCGTACTTTTCATGTTATTGTTTTGTGTGGATTTGCTAAGTCTTCGCTGATCTGCATTGAACTTATTTTTTTCATGTAGTGAAAAACGTTGGATATTACATGCAGCCTTTTTTATTGATGCTGAGAGCTCCATCCCCTATTGATGTGCATAATCTATGTCCAACCGTGTCAATCAATGTAGAGAAGAAAGATCCTAATATTCTTGATTGTCGTAACGGTTAAATCAAGAACGAACTCCATTGCTGTGGTCTCCTTGTCAACAAATTTCTTTATGTTTGCAAAGACACCTGCGGCACAAACCCAAACGATATCTGATAGCGCCTCCACAAATATGACAATATTGCTTGATGTTTTATCGCATTGCCCAGCTTTCGACATATTGCAATGTCTACATTTTAAGATAATGTTAACTTTCTCGGCTGAAATTATAGCAAATAGATTGGAATAAGATTTTCAAAATTCGGCATTAGCTTACATATAATTGTTTAGTGCGATTGGCATTAAAGGGTCCCGAACCTCAAAACTGGAATCTTTTCCATTCAATGACTATCTCCGGAGAACTGTCACAAGAAAGAGTTCACACCCGATCATAGATGTAGGAAGCATTTAAAATGTAGGGCGGCACACATAGAGGAAAGGGTGCGCCTCCATAAGCTCCAAATAGGTACCTTGCCTCTGTTTCTGAAAAATGGGGGTCCACGTGCCCCTGTACCACATGCCCCCTGTAGCCAGAAATACGTACGGAAGCACACCTTGGAAAACAGGTCTATTTTGCGCACACACAATTGCTACGAATGAGGCCATCTACCTCCCTAAAAAAACCTCCATGGCACCATATACCTCCACAAAATTTCGCACTTTCCAGTCTGGCCTAAACAAACAAAGTTTTGTTCTACGGAGATTTTAAACGTTTATGAAAAGGCACGGTTACGTCTTGCTAAACTGCAGTACTCCATCAAGCAACTATTCCTGCTCATTAAAAAGAAGGTGCTTGCCACGACTGTGTCAGTATTCGCTGTAGTGGGTCTTACAGACAGAGCGCCCAAGGTACTTGAATGGGATGTTGGCATCTTTGGACCATGTAGAAGTTGAATTTTTTATAAAAATGTTTTAAACGAAAAGTGACTTAAACAATGAAGAAACAAGCAAGGGATTTCTATTAAATTTTTTCAGCAGTTTAACAGTAGTAAGGCTATGATATTTGAAGAGTTTTTGTTTCTCATGACATTCAGCATTTGTTCGGTTTTTAGCGAACATGGTTGCCAGGATCGAAAGGGCGTGTCTTGATATTCTCAGAGGCCGATCCTCATTTTTTCAAAACTTGGTTTACAGCTTCCCTGTCGGCTCTCAAACGATAATCTTCACGTAAACATTTAGGCCAGCCGAAGGAGCAGGGGCCACTTACTGGCTTCCCTTGCGACAACGTGGTCCGTTGTCGAAGAAAGAGTTGTCCGAATTGTCTTGAAGACTTGTCCAGAAAAATGTTAAGCATTCTTTCATGAAAAGACTTCTGTTATGCATTAAACAATCTTTTAAGGTACGCTTTGGACGTGGTGGTGAGATTCCATAATAGCGCCCAAACTCTGTATAAACTTCTGGTTTAATACCCTCTATCTAGACTGTGAATCCATGCCCCTGCGCGGCACTTCCATACCATTGTATCCCAGCCCTTTGCTCCTTGCGGCTATCTCTATTTTGTTCGCTTTTGTATCCGTGCTTAGATACTAAGCCCTGTCAGTGACCAAGTACTACGTCTAAATTTCGTCTGATGCAAAGAGTAACTGACGTACATTTACTGGAAAACTGCTATTTTAATGAAAGCATTCAATTTATCTAAACATCAAGCTCTGTGTGCTTTAATCTTTGTACGGATACAGTGTACGTTAATAACTCAATGTTCTAATCTAATTCACGATCTTGTGATCTTTCAACAAACTACAAGCTTAAATTCAACAAAATAATTATTCAATAGCATTTACCGTAAAGTCTTCCCATAATCCCACGCAATTTTCTATTAGATCAAAAACAGGTTTTATAAGCAGCAAATCTCTGTGCAACAATGGGTTTCAGAAGAAATTTCTTGATTTCCTGCGCTTGAGTTTAACATGGAATGCAAACAAGAACTTCTTTCAAATTTCAGGCTAATGTATTGAGATGTAGGGCGAGAAATTTCATTAGTTCTTGCAAGCGGTTGTCGTTCTTGCTCGATAAAGTTAGTTGTTTAAAGTATATTTACGATTTACGGGTACGGAAGAAATGGCAAGGCTCTACACTCGCACTAAGGTTTGTCTAGTTTTTTATATTAAGTACTCGGATTTATTCTAACGATATCGGATGAAAACGTAGTGGATTTATACGCAAATTGGCGACCGAAAATGTATAAACAAATTCTGCCATATAAAAACGGCGTGTTGTAATCAAAACCCTAAGGTCCTGGGGCCAAATGTGACGTCATTTTGTCAGTCTCTGTTGCATTTTATCAGCCACAAGAATAACAGAAATTTCTACAGGATGAAAGATATGACTGTCAGTTTTTGTCACTTTAAGTTAATTCGTCCTATTTTTCGTTATGATTTGCGAAAGCCGTACACAGGCAAAACACTCCAATTGGCAGTCTTGCAATGCCATTTGTCAATGGTTAGCGCTCTCTTATGCTTGCTTGTGAAACGCATTTCAATCCTTTTGGAAAGCTCTTATCATGGTGACCGGTTTCCAAAAGGCTTTTTGCGAAATGGGAACCTTGACAGTAAAGTCAAACCAAAAAGGATACTTACTTACTCCTCCTGAAGGGGAATTGGCAGAAACATAAGGGAGGGAGTGCAGTGCCTATCCTGCCCGCAGTTCTTACGTCTCTGATACCCCCCCCTCCCTTTGATATCATATCGCAAGGAAGTTTTCTGTGAAAAATCTCTGAAGGCTTTTCACCTTCAGATCTGACCTAGAGCTATTTAAAGTCTTATACACTACCGTCTGTTAACTTGTGAAGCATTAAAAACTAATTGCATTTTCAATCAACGGAAGGAGACAGCATTCATAACCGGATAACTTTAATCGGTTACAAATTATTGAAGAAATAATTCTTCTGTTAAGGTTATTTGCAATTTTATTTGTTCACCCCACAAGAAAATATTTTCATTTTGTGCCCCCGACTTTGACTCTTTCTTTCTGGTTATTAATCGATTTAGCTAAAGATAACAAGGCTTTGCATCCAACTGATATTTATAATAAAGTTAACAAATAACCTGAAAAGAAAGATTTATTCAAATCCCAGGTTTTGATGTGGGAGTTTCGTAGCCCTCATCTGTTAGAATTGTCATATGTCCTTATTTCTGCAGATAAACGTCAAAATCTTGTGCACAGTTACCACGTTGTGAAAAGCCACAGATAAACCTCTTCTTTGTTCAGCTGTCACCGACGTTGTATGAGTGAAGCATTTTCACATGAAGTTAAGTTACGGATTTTCCCAAAGATATAAATAGAAAAAGGTAAAGCCACTGACACCCTTTCAAAGGTTCTAGCATATGTTATGGTTTTGCTGTCTTTTCCAAAGACCCAACATCCTTTTCTTTGTTGAAAAGGCGTTACTGAAGCTTCATCGTGCCTATTCGGTTCACAACATGAAACAATGTACTCCTGTTTTAAGTATAAAACCAGAGGCTCGGCGAAACTACAAAAGGTATGCCTTTAATGATTACGTTTGTGTTATAAGATGAGACACCTTAGACAGGTTTGTTATTGTACACAAATAGTAAGTGTAGAAAGCCTGTTTGGTGAAAATACTGGTCAATACAATTTACTCCGCCTAGATTTGTACCAGTGCCACCAAAGTTGACAAAATATGGTGGATTTGGCTCAATGTATGTTTGATAAAATGACTCATAAGTCACGAATATAAAGCCATACTGTCAGCTTCAGTTATAAACACTCCGCGAAAAGTCACATGGCCAGTCATAGCCACTAACACAACCTGGCCAAACAATGTCAAACAACGAAACAAGGCTTTACTTGCAGTCACACTCCACTTCTATAATGTTAGAAACAGATCAAAAGTAGTGGATAGGGTGGCACAAAAGGGGGAAAGGGCGTGCCCTGTTTAAAATCAATGTACCCGAAATAAGAGAAATAATAAAATTGTAGATTTAGTGCGTAGATTTGTCAACGCTTCTTCCTTCGATCTATGGTTGCGCCTTTAAAGCGGTTAGGAACATTGGTAAGATTAGGTTCCTTAGAGACCAGGGCTTGCAGTAAGTTTGCTGTATCTGTTTAAGTAACAATGTCACCGCTACACTGCACGTGCTTTATTTACGAAATGGCATATACTGGAAGAAGTTTCGTTGAACTGGAAGTTGGACTGAAATCTTGATTCCAGTATATTTACATGGGCGTAGCACTGAACTCCATTGGGTAAAAGGAGTTACGTCTATTTCTTACGTGGTATTCAATTGACAGAAAGGCGAAACAATAAATATGTCGACCAGTGCTAAATTCTTTTGCTAATAAGCCGCTACCTTTATTTTAATAAAACAGACAAATTTTGAGAGAAATTTACGCAAGAACAGTATCAAAACAGTAGCTCTTCAGTTATCCATAAAACCTTTTGTGGAAATGCTTCGTGTACGAAGTTTTTATGGGGGACAGGGGGGGGGGACTTGTCCACGTCGATTACAATAACACCATTCACATACACATAGAAACATTCTCCACAGTTGTTTGCATTACAGAAAGCTAATCTTGGATTTCGAAGCTTTCATTTTTGCTAGCACTTATTTGTCCGATACCGTAATTAATACAACCACTGATTTCTACCGCATATGACATTTTCAGTTCATTGAGTTCCGGAGCCAAGCTTTAGTAAATCTGATACAATATGATTTAATAAGCCATTCCTGTTCTTTTTTATTTTTGTCGTTCTTTCAAAGGCAAGATTGTCAATTTTCTAGGCCTTCGCCTGGAATAAGTTTTGAAACCATGGAGACAACTTTGAAATGCCGCTACCTGGTGTCAAACAAAGAGACCGAATAAGTATTGGTAAGGGCAGAATGACCGGTCGGAACATTTCGGTCAAAGACCAGTGTGGCCGCTGAATGCCCGACAAGCTAAAGGCTGACCGCTCCTTTGCAGAATCACCTGATCCGGACGGTTCTAGAACACCCAATCCCTTTCGGCCAGTGGTGTAGTGCTATCAAAATAACAAGAGGGACTTTTGCACAAAATGTTGCGAAAAGCAATAATAAAAGTAAAAAATTGCCAATTTTTGGCACCAACAAGGAGGACTTAGCCCCCTGAGTCCCCTCAGCTCTACACCTCTGCTTCAGCCCCCACCATAAATAGCCCCTGAAAATCTAAAACGATCTTCTGAATTACATTCGCCCTTTCGCTCGTAGCATTTGAAGGTTTTAGTAATCTCCTTCCCCCTCTTCCTAATTTGCTAAGATGTGCTCTGCGGCCCGTGGCTTTAGCGGCACCCCTAAGAAATTCAGACGAACGGCGGTCCCATTGGGCGAAACCGCCCCACATTAAAGACATTTCCCCGGTGACAGTCCCTAATCAAAGATCCCCCCAACCGACAGGCTACAAATAGATTTTGCCTATCCGGAATAGAGAAATATTCAGAATCCATTTTAGTGAAACCATTGCCAAGTGAAGGCGCTGTTTAGCGTAGGGAATAGGATAAATGTTTTGGAAATTGCCTGCATCGATGACATACAGACGACTACACGATGAAGACGTAAGTAGTTCAGTTTTGATGCGTGTAGTACATGTTCGTGGACCCATCGGTGGTATGTGTTCGTAGGCCCATACGTTCCTTTCTTATACACAAGATAAAATTCATAGCACTATCTTGTTATGGACTTGATAACAAAAAGGACTTGTTATCACGTTGTCTTGAATCCTTCACGCAAAATACAAATAAGACTCTGAATAATCTTATATGGGCAAGATGCCCAAAAAAAATTTATCAGGGTAAGAAAGTTTTAGAGTTGTGCACTGCAAGTGCAATCACACACTTAAATGATGGTGTATCCTCTGTGGCCAGAGTTCTTGAACGTTTACAAATCTGCCCAGGAAAGAACACTACGATGGCCATCAACAAATGCGATAAGATGCGTATAAATTTGGCAAATAAAAAGTCATCAGAAAAGCTTAAAAAAAGGAGGAAACAACTAAGAGCTATTAAAAAAGGACTTTGGGATACAGAAAAGGGAAAAAAGGCAACATGTACGAGGCTGGAGGCCACTAACACTTTCCTCAGAAACATTGTATATATAATCAGCTTTTTCTCAATTTGCGTAAAATGACGACCGTGGTAGTTTTGTGACAATGATTTTCCAACATGCTTCATCTGAAAAAGCTGAACATTTCAATGTGTACTCTCTACATGTTACTCTAGTGCTTGAAGTATTTTGGTTGCCTTCTGTATGCTAGCTCAAGGTTAATTAGGGAATGAAAGTAACAGGTAACATACCAATTTGATCGATGTTCAGCTTTTCTCGAATATTTTCAAAATTACAAATAGGAGCTAAGTCAAACTTTCTCATTCACTAGATGTAGCCTCTTGCTATAAATATACCAATTTTCAGGCCCTTGCAGTGTTCCTGTATCAAAAATTGTTGTCACAGGCAGCATCAACTTTTTTACCATTGTTATTGCCGCCATTTTAAGTAATTTGCATATTTAATTGAAATGTTTACATTTTTCACTTTTTAAGCATATGATTCTTACATACTCTTAATTTCATCAAGAAATTCCTTAAAATAAAAAAGTTTTTAACCAGAGGGGAAATCACCCTCCTGTTATCAATGATAGTCATAGAAAAACTGATTGAGTAAATGTGCAACAGATTACTATTTCCAGTGAAATGTCAGTTTTTACGTTAGAAATCTATATGGCTTTCTCAATTTTTAGTATGCTTTCTTCATATGGCTTTATATGCCACTGGAGCTGCATTGTCTTTTGGCGCCGTTTTTCCGTCGACATAGCTCTTTTCAGTGGAGCAACCCAACAGTTTATAAATTTTCTTAAACATGACGTCAAAGAAGTTTTATACTCTGCGTTATTTTGATTTCACTCGCATTTCTTTCTTTAGTTTCAAAAAGCATGTTAATTGTTCACTAGGATGAGCCTCAGAGCTTAATAACTTCCACTCTCAGTTTCATGTTTATGTCCAGTACTGCAGGAGAATTAGCTATGCGGTGAATGTTCCAAGCCAATAATCTTTGTTGCCCTGAAAAAATGAATAATATGCATCTAAAAACCATATACTTCTCAAATTTTAAATGCCTAGCCATCTTTCATCAACATTGAAAGTTCCGATCATCAACATTGGAGCCTCTGTCAACTTTAAGCAAGGTTCCGAGTATGGAAACTTGGGGGACGTCACATTTCCATTCCATTCCCAAGCCATCAAGCAAGGAGCTTGTGGAACGTCATAAAAGTGGTTTGGTTTTTGAATATATGATTTAAATCGATAAATATCTCTTAATATTTGCTATAAATTTCAGTTTTCAAATTCAATCCTATTTCGGGTGAAAATGTAAAAAGAGCCATATTCTTTACACTGAGACCCCAATCCTCTCTACATCGTAAAAGACAATAGTTCTAGGGTGATGGTTCAAGCTAAGCAAATTTAAGCCTAGCTAAGGAAACTACAATCATTTCCATCCATAAAATAAGAACGGAAATTGTTATTCAAAATTTCTTGTACGATTTTGTAAGGAAATTTGTTTTTGCAGAGTTGTTTGTCAAATGCGATTCTTCGTTTGGGAATGATAACGTAAAACTACCTGTGTTTTGGCAGGATATTCATCATATCTTCTTGGAGCGATCGATCACAATTCGAATTTGTCAGCTGTTTTTAAGCAACAAGAATTCATCAACGATCTTATGGTTTCTGATGAGCAAAAGTATGATAAGACATTATTTCATGATTTAATTACCAATAACAGGAGGTATTCAAGAAATATAAATTGGGCGGCGAGACTGACTTAGTTTCAACGTGCATGCAATTAAAATGCAATTCGAATTGAAACCATATGAATCGGCGAATCAAATAGACTCGAACTTGTAGATGGTAAACTTTGCCGCCGCTAGACACCGCGTTGTATGGACAATAGAAAACCTGTCCTAGGTTTCCAAGAGGGTATAAAGGTGTTTCTGTTATGTGTTTGTTCGTTTGGTGTGTGGTTTGCTAAGAAAATTGTGCAGGGAAGGCGGCGAGTTTTAGTTGTTTAAGACTGTGGTTGTTAACGGTTTCGCATACAGAAATCAACTTCGGATTAACCTTTGTTGTTGTGGTATTCTGACGTATTACATTATTTCCTTATATCAGGAGCGGATGGAAGAAGAGCGACAGCAGTTCAGTCAGAAGATGAGAGACGCTCGCAAAAGATTCGAACATTTCCTTCTGAACATCGAGAAGAGTAATCCATTTTTACTTCGAAGAACATCTCGGGGATCGATACAGAAGACTACTTTAGGAGATACTCGTGAGGAAAACAAGATTGGATACAAAAGGCTATCCTGCAACTTTGAGAATCCTGGAGATGCCTTCAACTCGATCAATGCCAGAAAAGCCAGATCGTTTAGCAAGCGGAGCAGGCCAATGATAAGGAAAAATAGGTTTCGACATTCTGTAATTGGGACTGGCAAAGAATTTAGCGACCTTGAGGAACTGATTGATGCTTCAAAAAATTGTGGTGATTACGATAGTGATGTGAAACTTTCGCCTGAAGATGCGTTCAAGAAGTATTTTAACGAACTATATACAGAAAACACAAACGGAGATAATGCAAAATCGTGTTCTAGGTTGATGGAAAATGAAATAGTGATAGGTAATTTATTGCAGTTAACGGAGGATGAAGGACTGAGTAATCAGAAACACTGTGTTGGTAAAAAGACAATTAGTAGTTGGTCAAACGACTTCGATAAGGTGAAAACGCACAACTACCACAAAGAAAGTTTGCTTCCATTTCTACTGAGATCAAAGCTTGCTGGATCATCGCAAGAGGACAGAGGAGAAAACGAAGGCGTCGTATTCAGTAAAGAACAAAAGAGACGGTTGAAGAAGAAGATGAAACAAGCATTAAGGACACCTGAAAATTGCTTTTATATGGGTAACTTATAGTCCTGCATGCTGTGATAATGAATGGATAGTTTTCTTAAACGTCGATAGATTGCTGAGATTATTGAATGAACACGAGACTGGCACTGTAGAGTACCTGTTCGGTACACCGAACTCCTCATGGGTGTAGGAATGCCATTCAGTATGTATTTCAAAACTGCCGCTCTGGCGCGTGACTGATATTGAGCAATCCGTATACAAAACACCCCATGTCAGAGCAAGGTGCTCCATTACCATCCCTATAGGACTGAACTAGGGCAACATGGGCGGCTGATTTGCTGGGCTCTTTGCTTTTTTGCATCAGTAATGTAAAGACACATTTTTATGTAAGTTGCAATCTTATACTTAGGCACTGCTGATCATGCCCCGTCCCCCAACTCCCCCCCCCCCATTCAAGTCCATATCCTACGTTTCTGTTTCTTAATGGGGTTTTGCTCGTATACATATTCGTCACATTATTCTAAAATAGATACAGTATTTTTGCAGTTTGATTCTTATAGAGTCGTCTTGATCAACACAAATTTTGTTTTGTTAATTTGCAAATTTCTATGGAAATTATGAAACAGAGACCGATAGAATGCTTTTTGTTGTTGTGAATTTAGCTACCGCTCAGTTTTTGCAGGCTTTAATATCCTAGAATATTATCAAGGATGTTTAGCCGGTTTTTTAGTTCTGCAAACAACTCAGGTCGTTCTTAGCAACCATATTTCGGCAATAAGCCTTCTAAAAAAACTTCACTTCTTTCTTTGAAACGAATCCTTCCCGTCATTTTGTGAAATCCAAATGTTTGCTTATTTGATTCCATTCTTTCTTTTGAGATAACCCAGTGAATTTATAGAATTCAAACGATCCAACAAAAGGCAGCTAGCTTTTATTCGCAGGTCGGCTTTTATTTATGTTTACCAATCATTTTGACAGTTACTGGCCTCAAGAAGTCAACAGACCTTAAATTACAGCCCCTGTTTAAATTATGTGGGATAGGCATTTATATGTACCCTGGTTTCCATTGTATAAGCTCTTCCCTACCTGATCACCAGCCCATTATTCTAAAGAAGTAAGTGGTCTGTTTAATGCCGCTCAAAAGCCTGTTTGGTGATCTCGGTTCCATGCAAAAAATCCAGAGAAATGCTGGAAATTTATGCGCATAATTATGACATCCAAATTGCATGTTGTTCTCCCATTTAATGGTTGCCTATTGCGTGAAGTAGACTTGATGGGCTTAGGATGTCAGTACCCATTTGTGTTTTCTGTTTTGCATCATTTCAATTTAGTTGACAGTAAAGCAGATTTTGAAGTTTTATCAGAATTTGATAATTTATTTAAATATCGTTGTTCGCCATGAAGCATCTCGCTACATTTGTCGTAAATGTCAAGGTCTTTTCAAGAAAAAAAACTCGTTGAAAACAAAATTGAAAGAGTTGGATGAGGCTCTGGAAATAAGTTATTGCAGATCTTGTGCTAATAGAGGATTCCTTTAGAATAATGGGCTGGTTATCAGGCTTATAGCTCCACAGTGCTCTATTTGCTGCTGAATCCTGAACTGGGTTTTTTTATATAAACTTTAATAAGGTAATTATTTCGAGGTGCACTGGTAGTGTGTAATACACCTAACTCTTGAAATCAAGCTCGGTAAGGGGCCAGGGATCCTGGTGCAAAATTAGGTCCCTGTTGGAAATTTCATAATCCAACATTCCGCTCGTTTCACTAACTAACAGGCATTCATAACGAAAAGAAGTCACTTGTAATTCCAATGTTCATCTTATATCAACTCAAAGAATATATAACTAAAGATGCTTCAACTAACATACAAAACAAGATAATTGTGGTATAATCTAGAACTCCGCGCTATGACAACATTAGTAAAATACCTTTAGTAACATTAATAAAATAAAAAAAACTAAATCAAAGATGGCTGTGACCTGTCAATTAGTTGCTGCCGCCTCCTGTCTCGCAGTCCTTGTCAAGAGAAACATTGATGTTCTCTATCTGTCTGTTATTAGAACTAAGCATCTCTAGCATTGCTTTTATAGTCCTATTTATCCAAAAATTGATTAACACTATTTATGATCTTGATATAGCTCAATTATATGGGGCATATCTTACCCACACTGGTCACCAGTGTTTATTGAAAGAAGTGCCTCGCTTTTCACGCCTTCCCCAACTGGAATCTACAAGAATGGGTGAATTCGTAGATACAAATAATTTTCAAGGTGGGCGTGACACTTGCACCACTTTGCAACTGCTATTTATATCAACTATATCGTTCATTGGTTTAACAAAGCCATATAAAACTATTTGCTGTAAGACTATGTTCCCAATGTTTTTGCTTTTTTCAGTGGCTGTAGCCTTTTCCAACCATGAAATAGGGCAAAAATGAGCTTAAAGTCTCAAAATGTTTAATTTTCCTTGAATGTTTTAGAGAAAATTATTTTAAAGCAAACAGGAGAAGCAAGCTTTGGTGCCTAGGAACTGATCTCAAAGTCCTGAAGAGTTGGTCCAGTGCCTTTTGTAGCATGACCAGTTTTTAGAGAACTTCGGCTAGAGGGTTAAGCCTCTCTTTTTAAGAAAGAGACAAAGGAGATATTGTCAAAATTAAAGACATATCACAAATGCTGTAGGGTGAACTTTTCTGCTGGTTAGCAGATCAAAAGACACTTGTTTTATCGAATCGTGTTAAATCTAAAAAGATCCTTGTAAACATCATATGGTGAAGATTGTACTCTGCAACTTTAGAAATTGACTTTATCATATTGGTTTACATTTGATTCAACTAATGAAAATTTGATTTAGATTTCAACAGACTTCCAACAGGTTAACAGAAACATTTATATATATTCATTGTTGTAGGGTGCAAAGGCTTTGGCAATGAAAACGTGTTTCCAAAAATACCAGCCCCAATTAGTAATATTTTCTACTCCACGCAATTTCCTATACCAGATTTCTTTGCGTAAGAGATAATAAATCTGGCTTTTTTATATTTCCTTTGACTTCATGTTGTGGGTTTATAGTTATAATAGTTGAAATATACCAACCGCTAAAAATAGTTGTCTTTGGAATTTCTTTCTTCCTTTGAATAAGAAGGATAAGGTGAATCGAAGTTGGTTTCATCTTCAAGTTTCCCACGACGATAATCAAGACGATAGTATCTTATTGAATAAGCTTTCAAAAGAAACGAGGAACCACGTCATACGACGCCTTTAAAAACCTATTGTTACATGCAGAATTAAGCTAAAACATTAATTGATGACTATGATGAATTATTTTTGAGCACATATTTTGATAAAAATTATCCTTAGATTTTTAACAGTTAAGATAACCCAAGGGTACGCGGACCGTGTAGCCAAAACATTCCTCTCATAATTCTCAAGCTTTAATTGTCAAAACAAAATTTTACACCCTTTCCTTACAGGTCCTGCCTTGCTTTCCCTTGTAGTAGTGAAGTAACACTGAAACAAGTCACTTTCGGGTGCAAGGAAAGACACTTCCAAAATGCCGTTCGATGAAGACACTTCAAAAATCGTTATTCTACCACATCTTCATGCTGAAGCTTTAAGAAGTCTTGCAGGATTAAAATGATTTCATCCGTGCTTAGAATTTTTAATTTTTAAGGACTCTCCTTGCAATCCTCAAGCTTTGCAGCACCAAAAATACTTTCCAGAAATGTTTTTTTCTGCAAACAATGCTGATAATCTCCACTTTGATGGGTTTCAGATCCTTGAGGATAATTTGGCGAAAGACTGATGTCTGTAACTCAAGGCAAGATTTTGCAAATTACTATCACTTTTGTTTTGAAATGGATCTACGCAATAATGCTTTTGGGTAGAAAGTTCTTCAAAAGTTGCCTGGATAATTCACTTAGCTGCGCCCACTGCTACGTACTAGAGCAGGGGTCGGCAACCTTTATAAAACAGGGGGCCAAATTTGATTTTTGAAATGCATACGAGGGCCGCAACTCAAAATACAGTATAATTTTAATATATACCAATTCTACCTAACTACTAATCTAATCAATAAAAATGTATTTATCGGAAAATGTACTGTAACGTGGAAGCTGTACGTAAATAAAAACATAGATGTAAAGTACATGTTCACTGTTCAGTGTATTACAAGAAGGTAATGGGCAACTTGGTGCTGCACGTCCTTGGCCAACTTCTCAATATTTGGCAGAATTGTTTATGTTGGCAGCCGAATGTTTATGTTGATAGTCATTCGAGATCGCAGTCGATTCTTCGCTTACTTCATCTTTGAGAAGAGACTTTCGCAAAGATTAGTACTTTCAAACATGCAACGCATCTTCTTGGCATGCTGCACCAGACCTTGATATGAACCATCATCCACCATGGAGATGCTCCATATAAAACTGAATTATATGAGTTTCCTTGTATTTCTGTTTCAATTCACTGGTACCCTGCAGCTCGATCAACTCCATTTGAAGATGGAAAGTGAACCAAGTTCCATTGATTAAGCTGAGTTTTCCAAAGATGTAGCATAAGCAGGAACATGACATGTTCATACATGACATTCACAAATTGACAATGGCCTTGAAGCTTCTTGTTCAGCTTGTTCGAGTGACTAGTAATGTTAACGAGGAATGCTAATCTAGGCAAGAATCTAAAATCACTGAATCAATATCGAGCCGACACTCGTGCATTTACAGGTTAACAGGGGCCTTCCGGGCCACACAAAAGTACCTTTCGGGCCGCGGGTTGCCGACCCCTGTACTAGAGTGTCTCTAATACAAGGGGGTGCTCATTCCGACAAATTTTCAATAGAAGGGGGGTTGCTAATAGAAGGGGGGTTGTTCATGTCGACCAGTTTCCAATAGAAGGGGGTGCTAATAGAAGGGTGTGTTCATGTCAGCAATCCTTCTTTGAAATCGAAGTACTTTTTAGAATATATGTCAAAATTTGGTTTCAGTTTCTTGCATAGTTTTAGAGAAAATTGCAATCATACAAAGGTAAACCAAATTTAAAGCTTTTAACTTCCAAGTCAAAAATCATCGGTCTCCTTTGTACGGTTGAGATTTTACAAAAAATTATGGAAAACAAAGAATAATGGAAATAAAATGACTTGATTTGTAAAATTTAATAAAAGGGGGTGCTAATAAGCAACAGGGGGGGGGGGGCAATTTCTTTTGAAGTTAATATACCGTCTAATAGAGACACTAGAGTAACTTCAAAGTTTCTTAATTTGTACAGAATGTCAAGAAAATGAACAGGTAAATATCAATAAAGCCAAAACCACAGTTTGGAACTATCGTGCAAAGAAAGGATGCTATGCTAATACTTCCTTTTGTGTCTTTCTTTCATATATACCTGTTGGCATAGCTTTGTCACTGTTTATCTAAAATCCACTGACTAATATGTACCATGATAGAGAAACAAATGACAAAATAATTAAGAACCACCAAAATGCATTGTGAATTGCACAAAAGGATTTTAATTTCAACTATGAATATTTGCTGGCGAATGAACTCATATCACCACGTTACCATTCATCATAAGAACTAACAGTTCCTTATGATTGATATTTCTAAGACAAAAACCAATCTAAACTTTTTTTTTATGAAAATTTTTTTTAGGGAAAATTCATACAAATACACACTTAGGTCAATATATACCTTGAAATTTCAAAATGTGATAAGTGTAACACGTGAAAGAGACACTGTTAAATATACGTGTAAGAAAGCATGGAACAAATGGCCAAACACGGAAAACTGATCCCGTTAAGGAGATCAAAAAATTGGATATGCCAAGATTGCAACTAAAGGTTATGAAACATCTTCATGCAACATGTGGGATATTTGTAGCTTCAAACTTATATATCACGTTGCAGAATAATTTTATTAACTTTTTACATACCAATGTATTTTAATGTTGTATATGTTATGAATATAAACATTACAAATATTATGTATTTCATGAATAAAATTTAAAGTAATTATATATCACAGAAATTTTCATTTGTAAATTGCTGAATCAATCAGTCCAAGCACATCGAACAATGAAAAAGTGAAGGATGGTCCTTTGCAGGTTAAACTTTGGCCAGTAATGTCAGATGTAATTTGAGCTAACCAATTAGATATTAGTTCACATTCTTTTACAAGGGTTGTTTTTTGATGTCCCTATTTTTTATTTCTTGGTTTTCAGCGTGTTCATCAATGCTACAAATGTTTTCATAGAAATAAAATTTTCGACTTTAATGTATGGAGATTTTCTCTTGAATTTCATTTTCATTTCATTTTTTCTCAGTTTCATTTGTCAACACTGATAAGAATATTGCCTATTCAAGTAATTCGAAATAGTTGACCAATATGTTTTTGAAGCCCCCCCCCCCCTATCCTTTCCCCAAAGACCAGTGTCAAGGTGGGGTTGTTTTCCCTGTGGTTACATAGTATAAAGTGGTTGCCCTGTAATGAATTCGGCGCGAAACTCGTGGTCTTCCTTTTACTTTGCGCATTGTGCAGCCAAGGGAGGGAGAAACTGTACTTCAAAGCTTGTCGCAATTGACACGAAGAAGTTCACAAGGCTGATGAGAAAGAGCCCTGATTCAGTCTTTCGCTATTGAACAGTCTATTCAAGTTCGCTAAGATGGATTTAGAGATAATAACAAAGGCTTTAGAAGCAACTGTATCCCAAGGTAATTTATTGGCCTAGCCATCCTTTTTTCTTGCACGCCTGTTTTCCGCCAAGTCAACCTTGGAAAATTGCCTCCACATCAGATCATTGTAATTAAGACAGTCTTCATTTTGAGTAAAAAATACATGCCTGCAACAGATTTAGACAGCAAGTAAACTAAGTAATTTGTTAAGACAAAAATTACTGGCAATGCAATGTCTAGCAAATTCTTGGATAAATGATGACTCATTTTTTACTTTTAATGTCATCTTGTGCCTAGGTTCAGATGCATTTTCTTTCTCTCTGTGACTTGTTTCAATATTGCAGCTAACCATGGTATTTTGATTGCTAGCAGTGAGTCACTCTCGGTTATTAAGAACATTTCGATACCCGAGGCGCGTATCAAGTAGGCACAGCAAAATGTTGCATTTCATCTTTCAATTCCCATATTGTTTGAATTCTTTGATAATACTAGCAGAAGAACTATAATATGTCTCTTTTGACACAGTATCTTTTATTTACTCTTGGTGGTGATATGTTAAGAACAATAATTTATGAAATGCAACTTATATAACTTTGAAGAACCACAAATAATACATTGATTTATGCACAAACGAGAATAGATAAGCCTGAATTAAAAAATAACTGTGGGATGCAAAATAAGGTGTAGCACACATCACTAATCATGGAACTAAATCTCAAAATGCCATCAATGTTTAATAGTTTCTAAAAAATCCAATTTATAAATTAAAAATTTCAGAAATGAGGTTTCAAGTGTTTACTAGAAAATAAGATTTACAATTTTTTATTCAAGATATCTTATTATTCACTAATGACTGAGTCAAAATTTTTGAATTTGAGTTGGAAGAAGTGTTTTTCCTGATAACAGTTTGCTTCTAAAGAAGTTAGTCTTTTTATAATTACAGAGTTTTTTGACAAAAACTTGATGTGCCTGGTCTTCCACATTCCAATCTAGATGAAGTTTTTATTTATTGCACAAAGTAATTAGACAGTCTGCAAGAACTGATACATAATTTCCATTCACATTTGATAAACAGAAACTCACATTTATATATAAAATCCTGTTGTACTCCTTTTCTTCTAACAGACAAAAATGAGCTGGAGGCAGCACAGAAATATTTGGAGCAGTGTGCTCAAGGAACAGGCTTTGTAAGTTCCTAATTGCAATTTTTCTACATTGATTGCATAAATATGGTCTGTATCTAAGTTAGGGCTCTAGTATTAATTGCTGATGCCAGATTGCATGTATTTTTTCTATTGCTGTTTGGTTTTAGAAGTTTTTTGGCAAGGGGGAGGGTGTGTGGCAAAGAAAATTTAAAAATAAATTTTTTGCTACTCCCTTTATATGGATGGATCAATGTTTAATGATATTTCAATAATTATTTAGAAATAGGTAAGCACTAACCTGTCTAAATCTAAGCACTTACCCATCAAGTCTAATGATAGAATGTAAAGTTTCATTCTAACAACGAACGGTATATTAGATGCCCATGGAGCTTCTTCAGTTAGGATGTCCGCTAGAGCTTTTTCGAGGGGGCTATAAACCTTTGACCCTGTGTGCTTTTGACATATTTCAGCAATTCAGTTTTGCGAATACTGTACAAGATCTTCACTAGCAAAATGATTTCCAAGGATTGTCTGGTAAAACAATAGGAATTTCCACCAAAGGTATACAAGATTTCCATTGGAGAGTTTGCCCCACATGTGTCCAGCCTTTTGTACCTGCAGAGGCTGCATCCTCTTAGCAAAGCTTATAAATTTGGGAACATTTTCAAGCTTTTTTGTCACAAATTGTGGATCACTATGAAATCTTCATCAATTGTTTTTTGTTGCCTGGTAAAGGTTATCTTCATTTTGAGTTTGAAAGTTTGGTTTCATGCAATGCAATTCTTCTTCACAATATGCTTGTTATGATTGCCAAATTTTAGAATGAAAGTGATGTGAATATAAAAGCTACATTATTTCATAATATTAAAGGGCACATGTCGCATTAGCAGTTGGCGAATAAAACAAAAGCATTTGGAGTGGAATCCCGTTGTCGTGACTTTTCATTTCTTCTTTATTGATTTCTACTGCCGTAAAATTCACCCTCAATTCCATGCTTTCTAATAAACAAAAGAGATAATTGTATTGCATTAGCCAATCATGTTCACAACACATGCCCTTTAAGGTAGGAGTGCCAAATCATAACGCAATTTCCTTTTATCTGTCTTTGAGGGAAGATGTATATTATTTGTGGCTTAATGTTTCTTTTGGGGTTATTTTCCTTTTATTCTTTAGTGGTCTATTGACAGACAGAAATGACTATAAAAATAACTAAAGTATTCATAACTTTAATCTTGAGAAGAACTAATTCTTTATTTCTTTGCTTGGCAAAGTATATGTAATCTTATAACTTCCCCATATGAGTTCTGCCTCTTTTGTCTTATTTTCCATTGGGTCTTTTTGGGTTGTTAAAAGCACTGTATTAAACTTTCATTATAACCGAATGTGTTTTTATGTTATTAAATCCAAAATGTAGCTGAGGAAGCTATCTGTTTAAATTGCTGTGAGAATTTGAGAAGGAAAGAACAAGGTTCAAAGTTTTTTCATGCAAAATGCAAAGGTTATCTATATTTTCTGTTTTCACAATTTTCTGTTCTGTTTCAGCCCCATTTCTTGTTTATTCTGTCAACCATTTTGTCAGACAGAGCAAAATCACCAGTTGCCCGCATGGCTGCTGGCCTCCAACTGAAGAACTGTCTGACTTCGAAGGATCCTAATGTAAAGCAACAACATCAACAAAGGTGGTTTTCTATTGATGAGAATGCTAGGTCACAAATTAAAGTTCTGGTAAGTAGGGATACTTGAAACTGAATTCAAAATGTAGATCACAAAATTTGTCTGTGTTACAGAAAAATGTTTTTAGTGAGAGACAATTTTTTGGCTTTAAATACTATGCTATAGTTTTAGCCCCAACTTCCACAAAGAAAGTTACCCCTGGCCTTGGGCCTGTGTATCCACCTTGAATTGCACATTGAGCCGATCCCTCCAGCATCCAGCCAGCACCTTGTCATTTCATCCGTCTTTCCAAAACTTATATAGAATCTAACACAAAATAATAGGTCTGCCAATCTTATTTCTTATTTAGCCTGGTAAGTATGAGGCCATTAATTTCATTATGAGCAGCTTTTCTAATACAAGGTATGTAAAAGTTGAAAACTCAGCGGCCCCCAAAAAAATTCTACATGCTCATCTTGCCCAACCATCAAAATTTTTAAGAACCCCTGCTTTAGACCCTATTCGTTTCAAACCATATCTCTTGCCCCTAATATGTTGTTGAATATACAATGTTGTACACATAATTTGTTTTAGGATTGTCCATTCAGGCCCCATACCCCTACATATCTACCCAATAAAATGGATAAATTTTTATATACATCTGCTTTTAATAAAAAGTAAATCTCCTGATATCTACCCTTCTTTTCTAAACTTTGACTTTTATTTCGACTTTGATTGCCAGTGTTTATCATTTCCAACCCTTGCCCATACTTTTACTCAAGGTTCTGAGAGCACTTGGCACAGAGACAGATTTCTTTTCTGCAGCTCAGGTATGTATTTTAAATCTATAAATCTATATTCAGGTATGTATTTTAAATCTATATAGATATACATATTTCTGTCTTTGTTGTATCAGTAGAGCAGGACAGCTCTGTTGCTTCTTTCACTTTTGCACTTAATATGATCATAACGTCTTTAAATGCACCATGTAGTTGCAATTAATTTTTGAATATACCCCACAGTTGCAACAATGTTAAAGCAATGAGATTCAATTTTTTATTCTTCAATGGAAGGTGACCATCTGACAAAACAAAACAAGACTTTAGGTTGCTCCAGAGACTTAAGCTGGTGTTAATTCACCAAAGAACATGAATCTCCCACCTTTTCCCCTGAATCATGTAAATCAGTGTCAGACAACAAGAAACCAATCTCCCAACAAACCAGTGTCATATTTTATTGGTGAAATTTTTCCTTTTTGCAAGTGTGTGGCAAGCATAGCAGCTGCAGAACTGCCACAAAATGGATGGATTGATTTGTTACCAACTCTGCTTGCAAATGTTGAAAATGCCGAGAGCACATACCAGTTGAAAGAGGCATCATTAGAAGCTATTGGTTACATGTGTCAAGATATTGTAAGTATAGGCTTTTGATCTTGCTCCAGCATACAATCAGGAATATATTAAAAAAACCATGTTTCTGTATTTTGCATGCCTGGCATTTTAGAATTAATATTAATGCATCTATTTTTGTATGTTATTGAAGAATTAATGCAAACCTGAATCTGTGTTTATGTAGTTTTGATATTTGTCCATTTTTCGTTCAATTGAAAAAGTTGATAAGCATTGGGCTAACTTTACTGCAAAGCTGTTAATACAGCCATGTTATTGTTTGTATTGTTTTAACTTAGAAATAATTCCTGATAATTGTAGGAATCACCAAACTTATAAGAACATTTGCTTAATGATAAATTGTTACTCCAAAATGTACAACTTTTTCTCAAGAGAATGAGCAATATTTTTCATTGTAGTTTTTCTGAAACTGCACACAGTTGCCTATGTTCCTTGCATTTAAGAAAAGTTTGAGAATTGGGTGGAAAAGCAGAAAAAAATTAATTGAAACAGTGAAAAAATTTCCTTGTTTTCACTGGCTGATTTAGACCCTTGCCTGGCTATAACATTGGTTATGCTCTGGTCGCTTTCTTAGATTTAATTCTTTGTCACCTAGTGGGTTTCAGTCAAAACGTTTCAGTCTCTATTGTAATTATTTCTGCTTTTCATGACATCCTGCCAATAAAGGCTCTGCTCTTAAATAACCCAAATATATCTTATTCGGTAGTGTTGTCATTATTGTTATGTCAAAAGTGTTATGGCTTTTGTGATGATAAAATATAGCCTTACGTTTTCTCAATTAATATCATTTCAAGGATGCTCAATACCTAGAAAAGTTCTCTGGAAACATTTTGCAAGCAATTGCCCATGGAATGAAGGATGAATCGCCAAAGTAAGTCAAGTTAACCGTGTTTCATTTAGTGATTTTTGCAAAACTGATTTTTGACCAGCTGAAATCCAAAAAACAGCTATTGATAAATGGTAATTTTGCTTAAAGAATATTAAAAGTATTTATGAAACAGATATGAATTACAGCCCAACTGTTACATCATTCATCATTTATCAAAAACACAACTAACCACATTCGATCTCTTATGGGAAAGAGAAATATGGCTACAGGGTGTAAGGACTTCTCTCCTTTCAAACAGTTGTTATAGTCTTACCATCTATTCAAATACAAAAAATCTTTAACTGTCTCCTAGTTGGTAATCAGAATTAACTGGCAAAAATGTCTATCTTTTCAAATAATATTTTTGTTAATTTGAGTACCGATACGTTTACTAGCTATCATTTGGTACAATCTGTTACGAGCTGAACACTTTCTTTGTTTTTCAGCACGAATGTGAAATTCCATGCAAGCAATTCATTGCTGAATTCATTAGAGTTTATTAGAGCAAATTTTGAGAAAAAGGTAATTATTTTTTATACTTACATTAACTCATTCTTAGTGATAAGTGTTGTATTTTTAATGCAATGAGTTGTTTTGTTCTTGACTTGTGATAATTCTTTCTAGGACCAACGAGATTTTATCATGGAAGTTGTTTGCAATGCTACGCAATCTGCACAAAATAAGGTAGGTTTCAATTGATAATTTGCAATCAACGCTTAAAGTATTATATATAAGATTAGAGCTTAAAGGTTATTTTGTATTAAATTGTTTACTCATATTTTACTTACCAACGGTAGCATTGCAAGAATCTTCATTCCACTTGCAAACAAATGCATCACAACATCTATAAGATACTTGCAAAAATTTATATCACCAGATGAAACCTGGGAAGCATTGAATGAATTTCTTACCTTTCAGTCTAGCAGCTTTGCACTTAGTGTAGATTATAATGTAATGAAAATCAATGTGTTTCATTCTGTTGTAAAGTACTTGATCCCATAAGCAGAGCTGTACACCACTAAAGTTGATACTCTGAGTTTCACGCTTGATACAATCATCAAGCAATTGCTATAGACATTATGTATACAAACATGTTTTTCCAAGAAAAGTAATGAAGCTTCTAAAATGTTTGCAAGCAAGAACCCACAGTTCTGGTCACAGGGTTGACTAATTTTTTATGGAAACAGATTCGAAAAATTTGAGCCTTCGCTCATGTAAAGCATCTGTTCTCTTTGGTCAAGTTCATTTAATTATCACTTATTTGGCAAAATAATTTTTTGATTTAACTAGGAAATCACAATACTTAATACTGAGTAGAAAAAATGTATTTAACTTACTTTAATCGAATCTGTCTCCAGTTTGATATTGTGGTTTCATACAACAAATTGTAGAATCTTTTGTTTAAGATTTTACAGTTAGATCTGACAATAAAAAAGGTTATTGAAACATTCATTGTCGTACCGTATGTGGAATATTGTGAATACAAAACAACATGAATACATATAATATTGAACTGGTCATCATTCAGTTTATCGATGGAAAGCTAAGGCTGAATTTTCAATCTTGTTTATCAAAACTGGGTCGAAATATGCGTTTTAGCATGAAAATTTTCTTGTAGCAAGTCATTTTAGGTTCTTGACTGTAGAAATTAGCTCTAGGTGCTTTTTATGGTGTTGAGAGAGGAATGATAGTTCTCACAGCCTTATGACTGATTTTGGAGCTGAGAAATAGTCGGGGCTGATTATTCCAGCTGCCGATATGCAGCAATTATTAAAATTTGCCAAATCCTAAGTTTTACCAAAGAAATATTTTGTTATTAAAAGTCAGTATAATACGGCAGCCCTGCAAAAGAGTAGTATTCATCATTTGATATGTTCATATATTAGAGATAAATTTTATTGAACCTTTTTGCTCCTGGCAAAAAATACCCCTCTTTACTTGCTATCAAAGTTTGCATTACGTCACGAGACCGTTTTTTCCTTTTTAGGTTAAAGTTGTAGCACTCCAATGTCTTGTGAAAATCGTTTCTTTGTATTACGATTTCATGGAGGCGTACATGGGACCTGCTTTATTTAGAGTAAGTAAAGTGTTTGGATGTTCTGAAATGCATCTACGGGCATTCTATGATAATATGAATTTTCGTATTGATGCACAATATCCGAAAGTAAAGGAAAGAAGTTCCATGGAATTTGAGCTGACATCCCAATACGGTGTGGAGAAGACCAAAGCCTATCCTTCGCTGTTTCACCAGACATTTCCCAGCATATCTGCATTTTTACGGCCGAGTTTTTTACATTTTTCTTAAATTTCTTTCATATCAATCACTGTACAGATGACAGACTGCCTGAATACCTTAGAGTGCAATTCTCGAAATTATTTCAGAAGTTTTGGCTCGAATTGTTCAATTCAAATACTAGGTGTGAATTGACGATTTATGGGCATTTTTGTTTGCAGATTACAGTGGACGCCATGCGCTCAGAGGAGGATGAAATTTCTCTACAAGGCATTGAGTTTTGGTCATCATTGTGTGATGAAGAAATCGACCTCTCCATTGAAGCAGCAGAGGTATGCAATATGCTGGCATTCTTTTCTGATACCTACGACGTCTGCGAGTAATTCATTGAGCTAGATGTAACTGAATTAATAGTAAAGAAAGTTTATGGTTTCTTGTAAAATTACGCGCAAAGGAACGAAAGTGAATCTTCTAAATCATTCATTGAAATAATATAGCTCTTAAAATTGATAATCTATAATCTGATATAAATTTATTTAATAAAGTAAAACCATAGTTGAGTATCAGTAGAGAAATTTTGGTAGCATTCTTTTAAGTTTTGATACATTTTTTATAATAACGATGTATGGTGTTGGCTGACATTTATATTTTATCTGTTCTCTGCCTTGTTTCAATTTTAGGCAGCAGAAACGAACACTCCACCTGAGAGATTCAGTCATTTCTACGCTAAAGGTGCTCTTGCCCATCTAGTGCCAATTTTGTTCAACTGCCTCACAAAGCAGGTTTGACAGTTGTTTTCCTATTTAAAAATACATTCACCTGTTCTTATGCAAGGTTTTTTACAGACTTTTTGACGTAAATAGTTTTGTCTATTTTCATGTCAACTAAGTCCTTTTTGTTTCACTGATGATCAACATATAAATGTTTCTATTTGTTGCAACCTATCACCTGGTAGTAGTTTTTAGGACACTGAAGAGCTTTGTTTATTGAACAGTGTCCTGGCCTTTCCCCTCGGTGGGACCATACCTCAGAATTCCCCAGCATCGGATTGCAGAGAGCTCTCATCACTCTAAGGAAAGTTTGGTCATGTATGGACTTGAACCTCTGATACTTGCGTGTGTAGCCCGTGACCCTAAGCAATAAGCAATCCTCACACCAAAGAAACATGAAATGGGTTACCAATTAAACTTACGCCCACTTGCTTCAAATTTCTGCTATTTATTCTATCACGTATATAAATGACGCCATCTCTGTTTTCTTTAGACTGATATTCCATTTGTCTTTTGCAGGAAGAATTCGACGATGAAGACGACTGGAACCCATCGAAAGCTGCCGGAGTTTGTTTGATGCTGCTGGCAACGTGCACTACAAATGACATTGTCAATCACGTCCTGCCGTTTATACATAACTCTATTACCAGCAGCAACTGGAAGCAGCGAGATGCCGCCGTCATGGCATTCGGTATGAATTACATCATTATCAATGCGGGAAAGCGTTTTCAACCACCTCTCGTTAGTGAATTTCTGTAAATAGGTTCAAAGGATGTGATTGAGAGGCAGCAGTTATCTTAAGAAAGTGGTAGATAATCCTGCCGCTAGAGATTCTTTAAAATAGGAATTTTTCGTCACGTTCTTACTTGAAAGATTGTATGGTGCAATTTGTTACCGAAATTGTTGTTTGGATTAAAACTGCAATGCATTCAACGGGGATTTCTCTTAATCTGTAAAGCTGGTCAGACGAACTACTTTGCCATCCAACCGATTTTTTCTTGAGCTTTGTTATCGTACATTGTTATATTTAATTTTACACAATACGTAGTCTTAAATCTGTTTTCAAAACATTTCATGATCAATCCTATTTGAAAAATGGTCATTGTAAGCCGGGTATTTATTTAATCAGAGCTTAATCGAATATTTTGTATCTTCAAGTCAGAGCTTTAGTTTATTATAAATAATCGTCTTCTATACTATACTATATACTATATTAAATACTATATACTATACTATATACTATATACTATATTAAATACTATATTATATACTATACTATATACTATATTAAATACTATACTATATACTATACTATATACTATATACTATACACTATATACTATACACTATACTATATACTATACTTTATACTATATTCTATATACTATATTAAATACTATATTGTATACTATACTATATACTATATTAAATACTATACTATATACTTTACTATATACTATACTATATACTATACTATATACTATACTATATACTATACTATATACTGTACTATATACTATATACTATACTTTATACTATATACTTACTATATTACTATTACTATTACTTACTATATACTATACTATATACTATATTAAATATATATTGGATACTATACTATATTTACTATATTTAATACTATACTATATACTTTACTATATACTATACTATATACTATACTATATACTATACTATATACTATACTATATACTATATACTATACTATATACTATATACTATATATTAAATACTATATTATATACTATACTATATACTATACTAAATACTATACTATATAACTATATTAACATACTAGCTATATACTTTTTACTTATACTATACTATATACTATACTATATACTATACTCATATACTATACTATTACTGTTAACTATATTACTATATTACTATACTTTAACTATATACTATATATAAAAACTATATTATATACTATTTTACTATTATACTAATAAAATACTATATTATATAGTATCTATATACTATACTAAATACATACTATATTACTATACAAATACTATTACTATATACTTATTTAAAAACCCTATTACTATTACTATATACTATATATTACTATACTATAAACTTGTCTATATACTAATATACTATACTATTACTATATTACTTATCTATAAACTGTACTATATACTATACTATTATACTATATACTATACTAAATACTATATATATATACTATATATTAAATACTATATTATATACTATACTATATACTATATTAAATACTATACTATATACTATACTATATACTATATACTATATACTATATATTATATACTATACTATATACTATATTAAATACTATACTATATACTATATATTATGTACTATACTATACTAGTATAATTGAAACCTCGGTATACAAGTAGGTAGATAACGAGGGGTGTTTTAAGAATTTTCCTTTACATTTAAATTGCCTGGTTGCATCCATTCTAAATTCCCGACTCTTATAAATTGTGAATACATTGTAAGGGTATTCCTTTTGTATCTTTAGGTTGCATTCTGGAAGGCCCAGAGGCAGAAGCCCTGAAACCAGTAGTCTTGCAGGTAATATTTAAGATTTTATCTGCTGATTAATCACTTTACTAATTGTATAGAACTAATTGTTTACAAGAAGCCTCGATCATTCTACAAAACGATCAAGAGGAAATCAAAATTTTCCTATATACGTTTATAATTGTTTCTTCTCCTCTTTTTTTTCTTCCTCAATTACATCCCTACTAGCTCTTTCCTACAGGTTAATGATTTGACGTTTTCCTATCGATGCTTTATTTGTCATATTCTCAGACTGTTTATTGTGTAGCCATAGCCGTTGTCATAGGCAGGAGAAGACACTATACTGTACGATGCATTTATAATGATATGGTTTATTTTAGGTCATGTCTGAAACGAAAAACAATATATTTATCCTAACGAACCACATCTTTATGAAAGCACGATGCCAAAAGGGCTCTTTTTAACCTTGTATCATTGGCATACTTTGATGCTCAGAGCTTCGCGCCAAATCTCAGATTTTTTCACTGCAGAAGCCCTGTTCACATTGATTTCTTTAAAAGTTGAATATCTTCCTGTAAATGCTTATGTTTTTTTCTAGCTAAGCTGTATTTGCAAGTGTTTTTTGTTTGTTTTTGAAGTTTTTTTCGTCTAATTTTTTCTTAGGCCATGCCTGTGCTGTTAGGACTTATGAAGGACCCTAGTGTTGTAGTTCGTGATTCAGTTGCTTGGACACTGAGCCGAGTTTGTGAGCAAGTCCCCGAGGCAGCGTTGGATGGTACTAATTTGGATAACCTGCTCAACGCACTAATGGAAAATCTTGATAGCGAGCCAAGGGTTTCAACCAATGTTTGCTGGGTAAGAGTCTTGTCTTATTAATGTCTTGGAAAAATTAATACCACAAGAAACACAAAATCAAATCTTTTCCCCCTTCGTACATTGGCAAAGGGAACTTAATAGAGTCAACTAGCTTGTTATGTTTTGCTTGGCTTGTTTTTAATTGAAATTTCAGATCGTTAATATTCAATTCATTTTTTCACCTTTACTCCTTTCTTCTCGTCTTTCTGTTTTTCTTTGCACTTTTTTAATTTTCCCTAGCTATTATTTTCGTCTCTTCTACTTTTCCCACATTTGTTGCTAAACTGCTTACGATTTCTTCTACTTCTTGCCATGTTTCCTTCTCTTTTCGTTTATCTAATATTTCCTTTTAACCCCCCTTTTTTATTTATTTATTTATTCATTTGTTTTATTCTGCTGTGCTTGTTCCAATATTAACTTTATTTGCTTTCTAGCTCTTTGAAATTCCCTTGTCAAACCACTTTTCATTTCTTCTCTAGCACTATGCCTAATCGTGCTTAGAAACTTACTAAGTCACCTTTTTGCTGTAGTAATCAAAGCAATCCTTGAGAGTTTGTCAATTTTTACATGGAAAACTTTTCTATCGGATTGTATGTATATTTCCCTAAGCTGGATTGTATTGGATTTGCATTGAATAAGCTCACTAAAACTTGGCTGTCTTTTCACATTTAAATCAGGACCTAAAAATGTTCAAAACAACTCTGTGATACAATTTTGAATTCTTGCCTGTATTCATGCTGAAATTTCTGGACAAAATCCTTCAATGTTGAAAAGTAGCTGTAACGACGAGATTTTCTTTTTCAAGTTGCGAAAAAAAATTCGCGAGATAGAATTGAGCTACCTATCAAAAATTAATGTAGTTTGCCAAAATACTTAATGCTAAGAAGTTTTTGTTCAAGAGCAAGCTAAATCAAGAATCTCCTTGAAATCGTATTGCCTTTGATTTTAAATTCCTTTATTTACCCTATTTTTGTTGTCATAAGAACACGAAAAACTTTTATTTGTGTCAAGAAGCTGAATGTGATCAATAGGGATATCTTTGGCGATTTCAACGTATAAAGCTTCAAATAGGGCCTGTTTTTCCATGATAATTGTAACAAGAATTGTGCAGATACACCTGCTTAAGTGGACGACGGCTTTTGTCACGACGAATTGTCGCTCCTGACCTTTCCAATGTGTAAGTGCGATTTATTGGGCTTATTTGCAACACGAATGCGCAAAGTCCATAATGTATTGCCGGTCCCGATTTATTCCACATAGACGAGTTGCAAACTATTATTGTCACAAATCATTGTCATAAAATTAGGCAGTATTTCAAATTAGGCAAATAATTGTAGCTTGTGGAATTTTTAATTTTTAAAAGGTTCATGATTTCGATCCCGTAGGCCTTTTCATCTTTGGCTGAAGCTGCATATGACAGTACTCAAACTGCAGAAGAAGACGAGCCACAAACCTATATTTTATCTGGAAAATTCAAATTTATTGTTCAAAAGCTTATTGACACGGCTGAAAGGTCTGTTTGTTCTATCTTCTCCAAAATGTGTGCCTATTCTCCTATCGTTTTTAGCTGCTCTTTTGTTGATACTTCAGATTATAAAACAGTTTATGTGGTTGAAAACGGAGTCACAAGAGATTGACCCAAGCAACTCAAAATAACGCGATTCACAGAATGACCGTCCTTTTTCAACCTGATAAATTATATGATAACAAGGTCCCTTAGAAACCCACTTTGTTTTTTCCTGCCTTGCACTAAAATAAGTTTTGTCCAATAAACATGTTTCTCTTCTAAGTCGTTGACTTGCTTATCCCTCTAATTCACTTTAGTTTTTCGTCATTCTAATTCATTCGTTGATCATTCTGCTTTTTTCACATCCCTCTAATCGACCTGCTGTAGAATAGCACTGCAGCGTGCAACCTCGTCCTAGTCAAAACTCTCAACTGCAGATTCCCTACTGCCTGCTTTATACATAATACCACATAGACCGAACAGCTTTGCGTAGAAGCGTTAAACAAAAGCTGCCTGTAAATCATATTGGAAAAAATTCAAAGCTCGCCAAACCAGGGTGAGGTGGCCTAGACAAATCCTGGCGGGAAGGTACAGTGAATTACAAAGGGACGAAATTCGTAATAGAATGCTAGTTGAGTGTTGTCAGGATCCCTGAAAGAAGGTGATTGGCTAAGGGATACAATTTCATGTTTAGCTGTCAAATATGTAGAACTTAGATTTTACTGGAAACAAGATGTCGTAATAAGTTTTCTGGTAGATTCGGGACCCTCTTTCAAGTAAAAAAGCAATAATTAACTCCTTGGTAGATGTATTAAGAAGTATAAGGTATCCTTTGAAGGCACATTTTGAATTCTTTTCCGTTGAAACTGTTTTTAAACACGTTTTCTGTAAAAAACTCAAAACATTGGATAAAATGTGATTTTTCGCACAATCCATTTTGTAGATTTGCCCCAACACCCCTGTGAGATAACCCCATTATTTATTTTTGTGTTAAAACTTGGCTTTTTTTCGGGTTTTTCCATTGTTATCCCCCTTCGTCCTTTTTTGTCCATTGTGTCTAGGTAAAATCTAGGTTGAGGGTCGGTACATTCGATAACCATGCCAACATTATGGTGTTAAATGCTGTTCAAAGAACCCAGTGGTTTTAAAAGGCTCTAGCCTCCTTGCATCTGTGAATAGGCATTTGATTGCTTTTGCATTCGTGAATTGACATTTGGCATACACTTACATTATAATGCCCAGACATACTATTCAAATAATGTTGGCTTTTGTTGTTTGAGTTACGAAGTAGCATGTATCCTAAAGTTTCGATAAAAGAGAGAGATTCACTGTGGATCACCCTTGCAGTTATTGTGGAGTCAAGCTTGTTTATTCCTGTGTAAGTTTGCTTAAAGATTAGTCGGATTTACAGATTTGCTTTGTCTTTCCAGGCAAGATGCATGCCAAAGCAATCTTAGAAGCGCTGCATATGAAGCTGTTATGGAACTTATTAAAAACAGCCCAAAGGTAATGATCACGTGGACTCAATCAATTTCAATCAACATAAGGAAAAATTTGGTACAAAGTAAGCCAATAGCGCTTTGCAAGAACACTCAAGTAAGAATTGAACGGCTAACATAGCTAGGCCAATACAGACTAGACTGGGTCAAGAAAGCCACGATTCCGCTTGTTATATCTTGAGCTAGGTGATGCAGCTAGTCTCTTCTTTATTGCAAAACGTCTAAGGGTGCGTGAAGAACCATTTCCCTACAGATCCAAATTCTACCTGAGACAGGGTTCAATTATTTTATGGAGTTATTTTATTATTATGGTCTCATAGTTTTATGGAGTCGTGTGATACACGGAAAGCAGCCCAGTTTCCAGTGATAAAACTATAATTTTTAAGTTCATTTCTCATTGACGTCGTGAAGAAACTTGGAATTTCTTAGCTTTAATTCAAGTTGTTTAACGTTTTGAATTTCAATTTAGCAACAGGAAGGGAATGCTATGTTGGTTGAAAGGAATAGTAACTCGCTAAGGGACAAGGAAGAGGGAAATTCTGCTGTCATCAATTTGAAACGCTGAAACTTGCATCGTGAAAACTGATATTTGTTGCAATAAGAATTCGATTGACTGTAGGGTCCCTGGCTGCAAAGGGGAGTGGTCCATGCCCATCCTCCTTGTACATATTAAAGGACCTGAGGCAAATATTGAAGAGTAACCTGCAATGCCCCCCCCCCCCTTCCACACCGTGTTTAAACTTGCATTGGAGGCATTTTAAGGAACCTGATAATATTATCAGCTAGTCATTCAAACAGACCTTTGATTTATAACTGTGCACATCACTGTAAGTGCACGGGGATTTCTTTTTTTAAGAGGTCTCCTATTTCGTGCGTTTACAAAAATTTTGGCAGTTGCCTCGACAGTTTAGTCTTTTGATGCTAAGAATGACCGATAGCAAGTTTTCTCTGCACCTATGCATCTCTTTACAAAGGTCTCTTTCTGACCAACCTCTCCGTCCTATATTTGATTGGCAGTGCTTCTTTGGTAATCTTGTCTCCCATGCCTACATCGTATGATCTGTTTTTTGTAGGATTGTTATGATGTAGTTAAAACAACAGTTGTTTCTGTTTTGGATAGAATATCAAGGATTCTTCAAATGGAGGTATGCCATTTCATGTTTTCTCACCATTCACAAACATTAATATCAAGGTTGTCTCCTTTTTAGTTACATTTGACGGTCCAAGACATACCGTCACATAGCATTAATTTTTCTTATACAACTTGTCTTCTTTTTAAGCACAGCAGTATTTCTTCTATTTTCAAAGTCAGAAATACGCCCCAAAACAAACTAGCAAATTCTTTTAGTCTGACATTATTCTGTTTATAAGGAACATGGAATTCTATGCAAGGGAGGAGAGCGGTATGGAAACTAGAGAAAATGTTTGAAAATAAGTGTTAGGCTTAGCTTAAGATTGTTGACTGTTTATAAGAATACCAGCCTGCTCTTTTACTCTTCACTTGAATAATGTTTGCAAAATATATATACTTTTTTTAATCCACTTGCGAATAAAGCTAACGTTTCCCTACCGATATTGCTAAAACTCTCTACCCTTCAAAAATTATGAAAGGTGCACCCAAAACCTCACTTATGTCGTAAAAATGCATGATATTAATAAACGTTGTAGAGTTTCTTTGGTCTTTTTTTTATAAAAATTGTTGCTGTTGTTTGTTACAGAGTGCCGGATCAAACCTGGGTGACCACAGCCAACACAACGACTTCAAATCTCTGCTTTGTGCTGTGCTTCAGGTAAGGCTTTTGTAAAAGTTACATTGTTTTTTAATCAGATTTAATTTGTATTTGGTAAACATTGATTGTTCATAACAGGCCGTTTTCAAGGTGGGATTTGCAAATTTTTCTCGCCAAAGTTTCAGCTTTAGAGGAATGTGCATAATGGTCTGTCAAGGGAGATTTGCTCCTAAACAATGTATTTATGGGGATCTGTAAGATAAGTCGCATTGGACCAAAATCTTTTTTAACATTTCTAATCATCATGATACAGGTTTAGATCATATCCGACAAGTTTAAAATTCAAATGTACCCCGAGGATGGCTTAAAAGGGACTCAACCAAATAAATATTTATTTACAATAAAGTTTGGGACATTTTGGCAAATTAACACTTTCAAAATTGAATATATTCTTTAAAAGTATATATTACTTTTGGGAAACGTGACGATTTTCTCTAGGATTTCACAAATCTAATATTATTACAAAGCAGGTTTGTTGAGCTAGGGGGCTGAAAATCAGGGGGTCGCCAGGAAAGTGGCCCTTTTTAGCGTTTTGCTATTGTTTCTTGAGTTTGTTTGCGGGGGCCCCGCACGTTCTTTTCATAGGACTGCACTCTTGTTGCAAAGTGGCAACAGTGCAAAAGTTAAGTTTCCTTTTTCATAGCATAGGTTTTTTGACAAGAGTAAGCAGATTGACTGCCATAACAATAAGAGTTAAACGAATCTCTTCTGTTAAAATTTGCTCTGTTTTACTTTCATTGAATTTTCATTTGACTATTGATGTCATGTCTGTTTTAGAGCGGAATTAGAAAATTTACCCCTGACGATGCAGCGCAGGTTGGAGATGCAGTGATGCAAGCCCTATTGCAGATGTTGAGCGCTACAAAAGCAGGAGGTGTGCAAGAAGACGCGTTCATGGCATTAGGCACCCTTATTGAAGGTATTCTGTCTTTTTACAATTTGCTTGTTTCTACGTCTTAGGAATATTCCACACAACTCCAGCCTCCTTTTCAGTTCCTAAGAGCCTCGTCTTAGTACTTTAAGAGCCTCGTTTTCAGTTTTATCAGACTTGCAACTGCTGGCAAGTCTTGAGACAGTGACGCCAATTTACAAGGTTTTCAGTATCACACATTTCACCTTCAAACAGTTTTGGTTTGCTACAAATAACGTATTAATTTAGAAAGCTTGAACTACCAAAATTGTCCTTGGGGGTAGGGGGGGGGGGGTTCATTGTTTCATTTTTCATATTCAGTATTCTCTAATCCTCCCAGTTATGTTGATACATATTTGTTGGATGTGCTCTTCTAAAACAATGCAATATAGGTTTATTGTTGTTTACATTTCCAAAATGATTCTTTCCATTTTCACGCTTTGTTACATGTTGGTCCGTTTTCATAGTGCATTCAAACGTATCTGTTTTCATAGCGGAGTAATTTGAACTCAAGGCCAAAGCAGACGGGTTTTATCAGTTTTAATATGAAAAGGGAGTATTGTAGGCTTAAAACACAGTAAAATTTTGGTTCCAGTAAAGAAATTCCAGTAGACAATCTCAAAAGGGTTCAGAACCACCAATAAAACTTAATTATTCTGTATAGATAATTTTCTAACCGCAAATTAGTTAACTTCATTAAACCCCACCAAATGGTATTTTGCTTCTAGTAATCTTGGACATCTCAACATTGTCTCTAAGTTGAATATTACCTTTAAGCCTCTTTCAGTCGCCTGGTTCCCACAATATTTAATCAGCAGGTGTGCTGTTTGTCTGATCCATCAGCTGAAAAACTCTTGACAAGTGAAACTGTGAGCGTACATTAGAAGCTCCAACTGCGGCTTGAACCTAGTTTTTTTGTGAAATTCAATTCGCCTGCCTTAAGTTTTTTGAACGAAATATTTTGCCTGTTGGTAACAAGTTATCCCATGACTGAAAAGTGTGGTATCTTTCAGGATGATTTTCACGAAGGCTCAAATTTACAAACTTTGAAAACAGTGAACCTTGGCCAAGGGGGAATGATCTTGTACTTGCCAAAACATAGATATTGCGTTAACCAGCACATTGTTGTTTATTTGCTTCAAATACATGCTAAACCTTCAAACAGCATAAACCATCGTTGCTTCTAGTTTAGCTGTTAAATGGCGAAACTGGTGACGTCAGTGGCTAAACAAAGCTAGATAAGAGAACTTATCGTTGGCATGTCTGGTTTCACTCTTGGGTTACTTTTGCAACTTTTTCTAATAGCTGATAATCGTGGCAGTCTAGCTTGTTTTGCGGATCCCTGTCAGGAGATTTCAGGATGGCTAATTTCTTATTGACCCGGGTAGGATAAAGCTGCAATTTTACATCCGGATCCAAACTTAAATTAAATCTCGGACCCGGTTGTTTGTCTATAGAGCAAATGCCTTGCGCATATGTATAAGCGTGTTTCGGTTATTATAAGCATATCTGGAGGCATCAGCGCTGATGCATACTGGGTTTTTTTTGCGCTCAGCAATTAGATTGAGGGATAATTGGTTTTCTATCGCCTGTTTATTGAAGCTTGAACGTTGCTCTTGCAAAACCTTGCAATGTAGTGTATTGGGTCTAGCTTAACGTTTTTGCAGAAGAGATTCTTTTGGCTCTACTCAGTATATTAGCAAACACTTTTCAAGCTTAGGGTCGATACCTGTAGTAACTTGAGGGCTAGCCCTGTCTACGTTCATTATGTTTGGAGTCGAAATCCTCGGTCTTACCGCTACCCCATTTGCCCCCGTCTTTCTTGTCATCTGCTACTACCCCATTCCATTCTTCCCTTCATCAAGCATTTTGTATCACAAGGTCGAGTTCTATAAGAATCAGCTGTATATTTTTACCGTACATATTTTCATCTTAGGCCTTGGAGATAGGTTTGCAAAATACATTCAAGCTTTCAAGCCATTTTTGATTGAGGGACTCGGAAATAGATCAGAATATCAGGTACGTCACAATGGTGAGATGCCTGTTGTTTTCATGCCTCATCTTGATTTTATTTCGCTTTTTAGATTACGATATCACTAAATAAAGCTATCTGAATACCTGTCTTTTTAGCTCATCAAGATCCTTCTGTTATCCGTTCTAGAATCTTTTTATTACGGCTAGCCGATTTCATTAAAAACAGAGCCCATATAGTGCTTTCTCACAATATCAACTCGTGTTATTGTGTAGCTCTTATTGTGATATATCACGTTTGATGACAAATACATTCGTATAGTCTGTAAACAAATCGTATTTTGTCGAAATAGTTCCGTGGAAACAAACAAGCCGAGCAAGTTTCTTAAAGCAACCATTTCTCGCAAAAAAAATAACCATGTCCTAAAAGTATCACTTGATTTATGATGAAATTTCCGCGTGGTTAATTTGTTCGATAACAAATATAGCTCCTTCATTATATCAACTGGGAATTTCAAAACACGCTCTTTATGTCTTCTGGACATTTTTATCTGCTTAAAAAGGATCTATTCAAACAAAATCTCAATCCATGAAGCAAACAGTCTCTTTCTTATGTTAGAACTATCTTATTTGGTTGATGGCGTCATAAAACCTAGTGTGTTTACTGCCCAATGAATAAAGCCCCGTTTAAGATCAACCTTTAGGTACGAGTTTTGGTAACTGCGATCAATCATTTTAACTTTCCAGTTGCAGTAATTATACACCCGACTCTGTTTTAGGTATGCATAGCAGCAACTGGTGTAGTTGGTGACCTTTGTAGAGCTCTGGGAGCACAAATTCTGCCTCTTTGCGATGAAATAATGACTAAATTTGGCGAAGGAATAGCGGTTAGTTGATTTCAAACACTTCTGTTTTGTTCTCGCTGTCTTTGAAAGCTACTTATCTAAAAAGGAGCTCACTCGAGAGGCAAGGAAATTTCTCTTTTTTAAAAAAATTGTCCTTATGTTCAGGGGCGGACACTTGGTCAAATATTGGGGGGAAGCCTATTGTTTTAATAAGATGACGTCACGTTTCCCATTGTTTTAGAAAACAAGACCATTGTTCTCTAAAGTATTGGGGGCGGTTGCCCCCCCTCGCCCCCCCAAGTGTCCGCCACTGCTGCTTATGTTTTTTAAAAGTTTTCTTTCGTAAATAATATCCCCTTCTTCCCGTTAACTCGGTTGCTCTATTATCAAGTTTTTACTCTTTATTTTCATTCAGTATTACCACATTTTGACTACTCGTATTAAGAACCCCAATGATGAAAATTCATTTCATCTGTTTGTGACCCCTTAAATTTAAAAAAGACAGTAATTTTGTCTTTGTGTTTAAGTATCTCTGTTTTTCTCTGCTCAGGACCAAACTGTTCACAGATCAGTGAAGCCACATATTATATCAGCGTTCGGTGACGTTGCATTGGCCATTGGTACTGAGTATCGAAAGTACGCCGAGCCTGTTCTTCTCACCCTAGCTCAAGCGGCTGCTGCTCCCGTCGATATGGTAACCACAACTGTATCTTTTTTACCTTAAGTGTATATCTGAACCCTTTCACAATCCTATCTAGGGACTGTTTGCACTTAACAACTTGTAGAATGTTTATCTCTAGTAGTTTATTGAATTTTCCATGAATGAAGTTAAAGTTATCCATGCTTTTTTCAGCGGTTTGTTAATGTGGGTTTTCTTGTGAATGGGTTTTTGAATTTCTGCGAACATCAGTTAGTCAATTGCCATACAATCTTTCCAGACAGGTTAGATAGGAACAGGTCTGATTGGGTGGCTGTGATTGAGCCTGTGGTAATTAGGACGTGATAGAAATAAGCTGTTGCATAGAAATGGTTGATAAAGAAGGCGTTTACTTCAATATTTTCTCATATCTTGTATGGGAAACATGAAATAGGGCCTGGGCGTATTTCAAAATAGAAAATTCTAAAATTTTGAATGCATGTATTTATAAAGTAAATCTGTTTCCGCAATTATTTATCAGTTGAAGAATGACGATTCCCACACATAAAGTTAACTACATTTGATTTTTAAATACATTTAATTTGTTCATGTTTTGTAAACATGTTTTTTAATTTTCAGACTGACTACGATATGATAGATTTTGTTAATGAACTTCGAGAATCTTGTTTAGAAGCTTTTACAAGTATTGTTCAAGGTCTAAAAGGAGAAGATGAAAAAAATATCAGTCGTAAGTCTTACTTTTTTGAATGTTAGTTTTCAAATGTAGAATTTAGTTTACAAAAGGTGAAGTGTGTATGTGATTGGCTCGAGAGAACGCATACAAACAGACGGCTGGTTTCCATGGACGATCCGTGTATATGAGGAACAGGGTAGCCGGGGGGAGGGAGGGGGGTTTCTCCCCTTGAATGCTGAACACTGCAGTCGCTAGCCACAGACGCGTGCACATTAAAGACATTGTAGCTTGTTGATTAAAGGCGTAGTAACTTTTGGAGTGCAGAAGTGGCCATTTATCCTTGTCATGTCTTTTAGATATACACATCTAGATTACAATTATGATTATTTTGACATTCATTTATGACCTCCATGATTTAATGCACATATGACTAAAGGCAAGAAGGATCTTTCCTATTGCAACCAATTACCTAACACTTTTATTTGAGATATATGGTATGTTTTGGAAAAATATTGTAAATAAGCTTTCAAGGAACAGCATAGTTCAGGCGAGAATGGCTGAAGGGTGCAAGTCGTGTGAATCAGAACAAGATACTTTGATACTGTAGAATTTACTTTTTCTGTAGCAAAAGCTCTATGAAGGGTAAGAGTATAGCAAATCTGACGATTTTGACGCAAGTTATGAAAAATAATCCTTGACTCTTGCTTTTGTAGTTTTGCATTGAAATTCGTAATGTCCTAACGAACTGAGAAATTTTTCTAAATATTTCGACATTCTTGAAAGCAATTAATTGTTTCGTTTCAATCCCCCTTAGAAATTAGGTAGATTTAAACACTTATTTATTATAACCAAACTTTTACGGAAATATGAAAACTTTGCAAAGATATTAATTGTCCAAGGACTCTCAAGCAGGGGTTGGTTGGAGTTTGTGAGGCAATAACAAATCGGGCCGAAAATATTGCCTAAGTCTTCGGGACTAACAAAAAACAAGCAATCAGCTCTCAACCAATTATGACTTAAATTAGAACAAGGAGATAAGGTCATGTGCGTAGACATTATGTGTAAATAATTTTCGTTAGAATTCCGCTGCTTAAAATCGTTGTTTTCATAATATCACCACTAGTTTTTCTGCAGTTAGTGCATTACCATAGAGGCACACGGAGCAGCTATTTCTTAGCAATGCATTCTGACTTTATTTACCTGTTAATGTGGATGTTTGTGTTTGGAAATCCTGCAAGGTTTATTAGTGAAGCCAGGAATACTGGAATTGACCTGTCTAATAAAATCGAGATAATTTCAATCTTAGTTCCAGAAAACAAAATCTTGCATTATCTTTGCCCTGGTATGTAAAGTGCTGTAGGAAAGCAGTCCACCTTTACAGTTAGCTTTTTTCGTGCGGCTTTTGACTAGGAAAACACGAAAAAACTATTTTTTATGAAAACTTACCCTTTTAAACTTCTTTTGCATCATAACCATAAAGCTATTCGATTAATAGAAATGTTTTGAGAAAACTATCTTTTTTGGTTTATGGAATCTTCCAAGCAACACAGTTTTAGTGGTTAATTCTGTCAATTCTCTTCTTTCTAGCTGAAGTGAAGATTGTTGAGCCCCATGTTGGCAATGTAATGAAATTTATCGAAATAATAGCGCAAGACCCCGATAGAACGGACAGTCTAATTGGTGCTTGCTGTGGGCTGATTGGAGACTTGTGTTCTGTTTTTGGCTCAGCAATGGTACCAATCATCGATAACCAAGTGTACCAAGATCTGATGCAGGAAGCCAGAAGGTCGAAAGTGCAAAAGACAAAAACCTTAGCAGTATGGGCATCAAGGACTCTGAGAAACCTAAAGAAATAAACAGGTGAGTCATTTTCAAGTTTACCTGTATGCAGCCTGTATGCAAGAAGAATATTGATTTCAGAATCATGCTAACAAAGAGGCTTAGTAGTGGTTTATGATTCGCTTTTTTTTCTTTCAACGTGCTTTTATGCGCATGGTATTAAATAGAATGTCCAAACAAATTTTGGCTGAATCGTGTCCTCCTCACCCACGATTTTCATAGTTTCTCAAGCCCCAGGACGTGTTACTGTGTCTTAACACTTTGTCGCTGCGTTTAAGTGTAACGGTGGTCAACCATCATTACGCGTATTATCAGGCTTTTACTAGTAGCAATGTGTTTGCCGATTTTCCCAATGCACCTCTTCAACTAACCGAATCCCATTCAGTTATGGCCTTAAACCTGCCTGCTTTGTGATATGTGTACTTAATTAAAGTTTTTATCAAGAATTTTAATTTAAAATGGATTATGAAGCCACATATTAGCATTTGAATGCGTATGCTTATCGCAACTTGAAGTGCTTACTATTAGAGAGACATCGAACAATAAAAACAGCCCTGTTTTATCTGTCTTCATGCCAAACTCTGTCTCTTTCTTAAAAATGCACGCTATTAAGAAATCTGGTTATCTCTGCATGTGTAGAGTAACGAAGAGCTTGACAGGTTTCCTTACAGCTTTCAAAGAGCTGGAGTAAAGCCTAAATTTGACCAGTCACACTTGCCGCTGATTTATCTCACCATGCACTATGATTAGGCCTAGTCATTAAGTTCTTATGCTATCATCCCTTATGCCCTTGTGATTATTCATCGATCAGATCAATCGAACGATCATTGATTGTTTCTGATCTCGTGATATTATTTTCCTTTTGTCATGAGCCAGACTGGAGTTTTCTTTCCTTTGTCTGCTTCTGAATTGTTTTAGAGTTTCATGGCGAAATCTTTCAAGGAGATAAGACTACGAAATTGGATGTTGACCTATTTTTGTGACACAAGGCTTTTGTTATCTCACCCTGTTAGTTCGTTTCTCGACAATGCATTTGACATGCTTTCCTTCTTATCTCTGCTCCTTACAATGAAACTCCTATCATCATAATCAACCCGTGCCTGCTAAGACACCCAGTTCAAACCTGTTTTCTTTCTCTTTTCCTCCTAATCTTTAAAAGCTATGAATAAAAATTACTTTACACATTTCAGTTGGACTCAAGCAGCCAATCGTTCCAAATATTTTCAAAGCAAGTCCACTCTGCCTCGTTACAATCTTGCAATCTCGCATGCAATCTTTGTCTCTTTGAGTGTACAGCCATCTCCAATCTATTGCAACACGCATTCTCATTGATAACATTCTATGACAACACGCATGCTCTCCTGAATTACTTGATAGAATCCCTCTTTGCAAAATCGACATTGTACGTTCGTCCCACTCGCCCCCTTCTTATCCTAAGTAGGACGTTACAATTGGTTAGCCTCTGACTCAATTACTGCTCATGATTTTGCATAATGCCAACACAAACAATGAGCGTTGTTACTTTGCTAAAATCCAAAAGCAACACATTTAATGTTTCCTAGTCCAGCAAAAACCCACAGTTTTTTGCAAAAAATCAAAATGTTGAATAAAGCAGCCTGACCTACTTAGAATAGTTAGAGAGGTTTATCTTGTTGCAATAGAACACATAAGTAGGTCTTCCTGTCTTTCTCTGGGGCGGCGATCTCGACATTAAAAACATTGTTGATAATTAAAGATCGTCCATCATAAATCTGTGAAAATTCCTTAATTTCCCTTATCTCACGACCAAGCCTTTCAAGAAACTCTCTAATTGACTGTTCTCCTCCGGAACTCTATCCATTTGTAGATGCGGCCATTAATTAATTTACTATGCATGCTTTTTGAATAATTAACAACACTTAACAATATCGCACGTTTATTATAGATATCTAGGCATTACAAAGGATTTCGTTGAGTCATTCTAATTACCACTGCCCAGCTCTTATAAATTCGCCTTTTATGTCACGAAGTTTTTTTCGAATGTTAGAAATTTGCTCTAATCCTGCAAATAATGGATTGATAAGTCGAAGAGCCACAAAATATATTAAAAATGAGGAAATCTCTTCTTGAAAGCGATCCACTTGTCTCCAGTCGCCTTACTTCCGAAGACTGCCTCCCTTGTGTCACCTTTTTTTCGTGATTTTTGCAACCAGCTATTTCTCCGTCAGGATCCCCCTGTTTTGTGTTATTTCCCAACTCTCTTCAGTTTGTGTATGTTAATTCATCTTAATGTTCTTCCTTCAATGCTTGACAGTTCATTGTTATCTGGTTATCTGTCCCCGCAACCCTTGTGCCCCTCCATCTACCCCATCGCTAATTTATTCAGTTTACTTGCTTGACTGCTTACTGTTATTCTTGAATGAAATGACCCATAGTTGGTTGTGGGAGACTTAACGTATCGCCATTTCAAACCAATTTATACTTTCAATCTTGTTTCAAATTAATTCAGTTTAACGAGATCATTGAGAACCGCATTGTTAAGTTGAGACTCGCATCTCATTTTAATAAGAACTGAAGCCGAATAGGATCAGAGTTTCTCTTGTAGCTCTGCATGATAAACAAGACTGCGTCTTGCCACTAGACGAGTTTTGTTTACACCCTCAAAATCTTGAAAATTATTGTCTAAGGCACTTCCGAGACATTGAACATCAACGCTATTGTATTTCATCTTTTATTGATATAAATATTCATAAATGCCTACGATAGTGTAACATTACCCCTGTTTGTATGTTTCAATTTTCTCGTTTACATTGTGATGCCTAATTTTTGATTTTGAGCAACTCATCATCAAGGTTCAAGGTAATCCTGTTCCAGAATTCCATAAACACCCTGCTTAGTTGTGATTATTTTGGATACTTTGGAAATTATCTTCTTCAATCTCAATTTTCTCTCTGAATAAGAATGAGTGGTTTATTCTCTTGAATCACCACACCTCAACCGCACCCCAACAGTTATCCTCATCATACCTTACTGAAAAAACGGTTCTATACTGTCGTGTAAATGAAACATTTGTAAGAGATGAAATTGTTCAGATTTACACCAATCCTAAATCAAAGACATTCTGACTCCTATGTAGGGTTTGTTATCCACAAGCAACCTTTTGTCTAATCAAAGGTCTTTCTTCACCTGAACTTCAAGCGAATCAATTCTTTTCACCCTCATCGTATGAATCTTATAACTAATAGAATCCAACATTGTGATTTAAAGCTTGAGGTTTTTCCTAATTCTGATTTTTGCTTCGCGTGTTCTATAGAGGTGACGTGGGGTCGCCTGCGGTCCATTATCTCTGTATTCATTTTATCAAATGCGTTTATCAACTTTATATTGGCCGATGACGTTGTCAGTATTTACTCAATCATATTAAATAACTCCCTTCCAAAGGTTGTTATGGGATATTGTTGATGTCATTTGTAAAGAGAGAGGAACCTTGTTTATGTAGAATTGGGGTATTTTTGTATAACAGAGAGACGCTGGATAATTAGATCTCCCTCGTTTATATGAATCTCCTTCTCTTCTATAGATGTTTGTGCCTGTTGTAAAGTTCTGTTACATATTTGTTTTAAAGGGCATTAACTTGTGCCCTGTGTTCTTGCCAGAAATATCTCAGCAGCTGCTTTACTAGATCTTCACTGACAACAGCTTACTCATCTCAACATACAGTAGTTTTTCCTTTCCGTTTTATGTGGACGACGTAACTTTTAACTTTTTCTCGATGCATCTTGGTGCCTCCAGTCAACATTGATTTTCAAACCTATGCATGCATGAAAATGTTTGTTAAAAAGTACAAAGAAAACAACATAGTACAATGCTGTATCTCCAAATCCTTTTCGACCGCTGTTGTTTTTGTGGTAACTTTGTCTCGCCATGTGATACCTTTATTCTCTTTGTTTAGATTCATTTTCCTTTGTGATTTTGTGTGCTTCTTTATCCTAATACCCAAACAAAGGTAAACATTACATTCTCACCAGGTACGGATGCATTCTTATTGTACGCTCATTCATTTACAATTTTTGAGTTATAAACAAACAAACCAGTCACCCTGTTTCCAGTTAGTACACCACCGTATTTGCTACAATATTATAGGGACAAACTCTTGTTCAGAATCTGAATAGGGTCAAAATCTGACCAACGTCTCCGTCTGCCCTTATTCAAAGTTGTCTCTGAGGCGCATGCTAGTAAGTCGCCAGAATGAGATAAATGTTTTCAGACGCGCGAATTGGAGCTGGTATGGAATACGTCATATTTCAGCAGGTTTTTATGTAAATAACAAATCTCCACCAACACAGTCTCCACCATTAAATGGATTTAAAGAGACTGGCCTAACGATATCCTTCAATTTAAAATATTTATTTACCGCTATAACTCTTTTGAAATTTTTAATTTAAAATCAGACTGATGATTTTATCGAAGAATTCACTTAGCCTTACTTGTTTTCTTTTGTTTATAATTCAAACATTCAAATTTTCGTCTTGATATTTCATTGCTGCAATCTTAAAGAAAGGCGTTTAACTCTCCGTGCTGGCTGAGGCTTTAAAAGCGTACAATTTTGGTCATCTGTTTTTTCGACGTCAGTGTTTTTAGCATCATTGTAATCCTCTAAAAAACCAAATCTTAGTCTCAGCAGGTGGATTTTCACTGTTTCTGTACTTAAATTTAGTCTCGAGAATTTCCCATCAAAACCACAGGCTGCCAATAAATCGCTGTGCCCGTTACGTTAAATTACAACAGAATGAATAAATCGTGTCTTGGAAATATTATTGTACTTTAATTTAGGTGTTCAGGCGACCAGGCTGTTTTGTCTCTGTACAGCTTTTCAATCTTCAGCCGTTGGATAAAAATGTTTTATTGTTGTAATAACCTTAATATTTAACAAGACTCGACAATCTGAATGGAACCATTGTAATGATAGAAGCTACTGGAAAGCGAGGCATTTGCATAAAAGGGATGGTAATAATGGCACGAAGCGTTCGAGTCATGATTCGACTTCAAAAGAACTTCATTTAATATTAATGCCATCTCTTAGAAATATGAAACAAGATTAATGTCGTTGTTTTGTTAAGCCTCTGACATAATTGATCGTAACTCTGTGAAAGCCATTAGCAAATAAAGTAAGTCAAGACATCTGCCAGGCTATGTGATGGCATCGTACCCTTTTATTTTTGGTAGTTCATTACATTTGTGCTACCATAATCTTTATAATCCAGTTTCTAAAAACATTCTCAGATGACAGATTTGGGCATATTTTGAAAATAACGAGCCTTTAGCTTTCAAAGGGTCATAAAACTAGAGACACACCACACAGCAGAAAGATATTATTTTCATGGGTTCTAACGTTGCTTTTTTGTACCCATTCCTTCTCTACTATTGTAAGTCTATTATTTGCATTTTTCTAAATGTGGACGTAGCTTTGTTCATTGCAACTTCTTTGCATCCTTGCTCTATCCCCAAATTTCGAACCCTACCTCTAGCTAAGCGCCAAATATATTTCTTTTCTTGTTTTGGTTAATAAAGATTTCTTCACAGTCGAAGCTGTTTGTTTACTCTACTTTGTACTGAATTTTCTATAACAAACGGATCTCGAAGTATTCTTCAAGCTAGCTCAAGCTAGATTCCATTTACGTTTAAAGACTTAAATCGTGTTTGTCTTGAGGTTCATCGTTCACATATTTTGAATTCACTTGTAATTGGTTCCACTTCTATCTGCAGGCTTTCACTGGACAAGACCGACGTATTCGACGTTTTGACAGCAACAGCAACAACAACAACAACGATAACACGAGAGCGGGAGAGCTGCGAGAATGGAACGCCGGGAAGACAACAAAAAGAGAATGAGAGCGAATGTGAGTGGTTCTGGAACATGCTTTCAGTCATGAACTGATTCAAAACTTGCACCTAGCTTACCATTTTGTACGGTTACATGTGATTCTGTGTTGAAATTTTTTGTCTAATGTGCATCCGTCTGTCACTTATATTATTGTGTCAAGTAGAATTCTCAAAATTTGTTAGACGTCTGTTAGAATTAATTTCATGCAAATTTTTGACTATATTATATTGTACCAGTGTGTTCCAGTTCCGATGCGGAGAGAACTCCATAGCAGATGGCCTTGCCACCAAGTTACGAAATGCTGCTCCAATTAGACCTTTTGGATACCACAACCTTTGAATCTTCCTTTCCTCCCACTGACCTTATCCTTTTCAGGTGTTATCACTCAGCCGCCTTCCTTGTACATTGAGATTAGGTATTTCAAGATAGCCAGTCATAGTCTTTGGAGTTTTTATAGCAATACCTTCCATGTGTTTAGCACTTTTTTCCATAACTAAGCTTAGCAATTATAAGAGTGAACTCCCCTAGCCATGTCACCCCCACTCTCTTTGTCCCATTACCTATAAGCAATTGATACGTGGCTAGAAACCGAACTGTATTCTCCTCTATATACCTACTGTTAAACCTCATTGAAAATGGAAGGCCATCAGTGCTTTTAGGAACACATTCTACATGTTGCATGACTAGATTTTCTTTGGATGCAAAATTACTTTTGTGAGAGAGGAAATTTGACATGAACGTAAACAAACGATAATTTGTGTTTACTTTTTGTAGCATTCTGCAGAAAAATCGAAGGGCACGAATAATCCAAACTTTCTTTTAAATTTGTATTCTCCCCCTATCAATAAATTCCTGAATCGCCCCTTTCCCTCCCCATATGAATTATCCCAAAAGGACACGAAAACTTTTGGTATTTCGATCTTGCTTTTACAAGGATGCTGCTCGTGAAGTACTCCTGCGAATCTTCATATGATTTCTGTTAGTTGGGACTTAAAGATTTGATGTAAGGGCAGATCATGCTAAAATTATCTAAGCAGGATGTATATAGCATAAGATATCTGTATATAGCATTTTAGCACTACTACGCAACACGCTGCAGCGATTGAAGCTGCAATGTTTACAGTACTTGGCCCGTCCTTGGATTTCCTTCTGGGTCAGCTGACATTTTTGTCCTGTTGCTCTATGATTCATATGAGTCAGGCGACTTTTTCTAGGTACCAAAAACTTTTTCACGGACCTAGACAAATCCTTTTGTCTTGATTTATCTATCAATTTTTTTCCAGTCAAACGTTTATTCTTTGAGCTAATATTGTCTAACAAACAAAGACAGGTCCTGAGCATTAAACAGAGCTTTACATTTTATGTTTCCATTTTCATTGATTAACAGGTACGTAGGACCTCGGGATATGTGTTCCCAACCGGTTTTCGAAAGCATGTAACCAGCATTCTATAAGTAAAGTTGTTTATTTTTTCTGAATAGGTCTTTCGTGTTAAAGGATACAGTGCAGAAATTACCAAGTTGATCCGGACGGATACCGAAGCATTTTGTTTGAACTTTCTAATGTAAACATCAGGTAATCAATCCCCCTCTCCCTTAAATGTGCAAAATCTCTTTTCATAAACCCGGAACAGCATCAAGGGGTTAGGTGCCATTTACCCCCTATTCATTTATTGTCTAAACTATTTGATATTTACATGCAAAAAGCGGTCTCTGATTATCCCCATCCAATCAGCCCCCATCTTTATAAACTCCTACCCTCGTTTAAGTCCCTTCCCTTGAAGTTAGCCCCCATCTAGAAACGTCCAAATTAATAAGCTTCAGGGGGCTAATGCAAGGATTTATTATCTCCATTCGGTTGGGTCTGTGACATCATGGTGACACGGACCGTTTTACGTTTTGGCCCGTTCTGTGCCGCCCCTGATGTACCCGGTAACCGAATTCCGCTTTAATGGACGAAGTGAAAATATCGTTTTGTGAAAAATATTTGTTGCTTTGTAAAGTACAAGGGACACTCGAGAAATTTTTTAAAAATCCATGGCAAAAAGTAGAAAAGAGCTACTTTAGCATTTAAAAGGGGGCTCAGATCCACAGTGTCCCTCCAACTATTCACCTCTGTTTGCGGGCTACATCAAATGTTTACCTCAAATTGTAAATTTGATGCGGCCCATTTGACTTAAAAGTTCTTGCCATTTCAAAGCGAATAAACGAGCTATGACAAAGTAGGTCAACCGGTCTCAGCAACCTTTGTCTTTGCCTCGACACACCTAACATCAAGCCAACATCAAGGATTCTTTAGCAAACCATGGAGACAAAAGGAACCAAGGCTGAGTTATACCAACAAAGCCTGCAAGATTCCACGGGAATGTTTAGCACTTGCGAAAAAGATCAAAATTTGACAGAATTGGAAAACCCTGCCATAGAACCCATTCTTTTTTCAAAGCTTCAATTTTGCTGCGTTTTGACCAAAATTTTATCCAAATATACTGTATAGGGCTGACTTTTTTCAAATTTTGTTTTTTAAAAAACGTTGCCAAAATACCATACTGCGGGGCATCCATTGAAAAATTTGAACAATGCCAAATCTTTTGTTAATTGACATTTGAATTATTTTATCTAATTGTCAACTGATATTAATTAATTTCAGACTTTACACATTTCTTCTTATACACACTTTTTAGCACTACCTTAATCTTTGCTCAGCCTCGATATTTTTAAAATTTGTGATTCTTATCCTAAAATTATTCTCAAATTATTCTTCAGGAGAAACTTCAATTCTTTGGTAGTATTTGTTCGTAACAAAACATTTTAGGAAACGAAACATAGTGGCATAAAGGTTGATGATGAGTGTTAGTCTCAAAATTTTTGCATGAGTCATGCTCGTCTGCTTTGCTCAGTAAACTCATAGTTCACCCTGCATAGTCAAATTGAAAAATTTATTCTTATTAAATGTGTACTTTATTCATATGTTTTTGACCTTGTTTTATTTGAGCAAAAAAGCCTTATAGAAATGAAATTGTTGAAATATATATTAGTCAGAAGCAAGTTAAAAAAAGAAATAATTAAAGTTCTTTATTTTCCTTGCAGCAGCAGGGTAGTTCTTGAGTTTTTTATGTATTTGCGATTCAAATTCATTCAAAGAACCAGGAAACATTCAAGTTCTTTTCACTGATAACTTACGCGAAATTATAAGTCGAATTTACAATTTTATCGTCGAAACTAATAAGAGCTTTCTGCCATCGAGCAACTTCCGTGCTTATCCTTCGATCTCACCTGCAAATCTCCCAAAACATGGTGAGTCATCGCGTTTATATAGGAGCTATTTCTGTCTACTCCATATATGGCAGGATGCGTTTTAAATATTGAAGCAGCCAATCATGATGAGACAGTTCACAAATGTTTGTTTTGATTGGTTTTCATTGGTATCCCCTTTTTGTGGCATCCTCGTTGTCATTGTCTGCGTTCCATTGGCTTTCATCTCTATGGATTTCCTCTGATTGGTAGATTCCATTGTCTTATACAAACTGAAAACACTATGATTAATTTCAATCACTTGCTGCCTACTGTCTTCGCAGTGTCTACAGTACCACCATAGGAAGAGCTGCAAGGCTTCAATACTCTCGTATTTAAACATTTTCACTATTCTTATTTCTAATCATGAATTCTACGCTACCGTCGGGGAGCATTTTTCAAGAGCTACAATATATCCACGATACTGGTTTTTTCTGTCCTTCTTCGTCGGTGGAGGAAGATTGGCAACAGGTTTGTGTTTCCATTTCTTCAACACTCGATTCTTTGAAATTTACTTTGCAAAACAGGTTAGCAGCAATCTCCCTTATTCATAATACGATTGTTTTTTCTTAAGTGCTTTCCGCGTTGGCAACCTAAGTTGCATCCTTGTTCTTTGTGGCCTAGATAAACTTGACGACGCGCTTCCTTGTTTTCTAAATATTTTATAAAATTGCTAAATTCGCTCTTAAATATAGTTATTTCATCCCCAAAGCTAAGATGGTCGATTATAAGTTATTAAAGATAGTTCTGGACTTCTTTTACGAAGTTTCCTATTTGAATTCAAATGTTCTGCATGCTCATTTCAACTCGAACCTTCAACGGCCTAGCTCATTTCCTGTAGTGTAAACTTGTTGCGTTATATTGGACTTTTCTTGATGAAATGATGTATCTTCATTCCAGACAAGGATGGAATTAAACAAATACTTATGTCGGGAACCTATCAGCCTAAACTGCAAGGATATCGATGGTGTAGTACCGTGTCCTTGGAATGAATTTTTCTTTACTGAAGAACTCGATAGTCCTATTCTGGGAATCACCAACGACTTGAAGTCGGATCACTCGTCTAATAGTCAAACATCACAGATTACGGTCGTTCTTCCTGAAACTCCTACTGAACCTAAATTTCGAGATAGCCCAGACTTTGCAGTTTTGAAATCATCGACTCCAATAACAATTTTCACCAGTTCGAATCATAATGCTGGATGTGTTAACACTGACTCCATATCTCCGCAAGACGTATCTCAACAGGTTTTGTTAACGCCCCCTAGTTCGCCGGAGTCGGTGTCGAGTGGAGGAAGTGGAGTTGGTTCTATCACCAGGACATTAAAATTGAATAGTAAACGTGGAAAGAACACAGTTGATGGGAAAAAATCCAACAACATTGACTCTAAGAAAAGAGTTCATAAATGTTTCTTTTCTGGATGCAAAAAGGTTTATACAAAGAGCTCTCATTTGAAAGCTCACCAAAGGACACACACTGGAGAAAAACCTTATCGTTGCAGTTGGGAGGGTTGTGCTTGGAGGTTTGCAAGATCTGATGAACTTACTAGACATTATAGAAAACATACTGGTGCTAAACCATTTAAATGTTTACAATGTGACCGTTGCTTTTCGAGATCTGATCACCTAGCTTTACACATGAAACGTCACCAGTGACTTCCCAAAATAGAAATTTAGATGCACTTGTATACACAATTATTAGCAATTGGAAGCCAACAATGTCCGTCATATATCACGTGGTTACGAAATAGCTGAATGAACTGACGTAGCATTGTTGAAATTTCGATAGTCCTTGTATTTCGCAAGAGTGACGTATCATCATACCGGATGATGGCAAATGATCTTTGATATTCGCTCTCGAGAATCCATGACAAAGCATGGTTTTGCGTTACCGTGGAGTTGAATGATGAATCACGGATGCATTATTGATGAGATGCTTGCGGTTTACCTCTACAATATACAGATGGTTACCGGCTGTAATAAGAATGTAAAAGATGTGCTCCGTTGAAACAAATTGCATTCTGTTGATTGTGTATTTGCCGTTACTTGTCTGTCTATCTCTTGGAAACCGTGGAAATATCAGATATACCGTGAATGGTACAAAATGACTACAAAAATCTTTTCTTGCCTTCACGAACACCTTAGATAATGTAACAGTCTATGTATTGACTTCTTTTGAGAAACATAGCTATTTCGACTTAATTCCTTCTAACAGTTTCAGAAAACAACTATGCAGATATGAATTTATTTTTTAATTTAATCTTTCTAGTTTTTTAGTAAAGTAGTTTGAAATGTATACAACACACTGCTATGAGAATGTTAACAAAACTGTACAATTTATGTAAATATTAATTAGGATATTGTCTGTACAGGGAAACCCATCATGGGAATTCCATTAAATTGAAAATTCAGCGAAATTTTCAAGGTATTCTCATTGTTGAATCCTTCTTAAATAAAATGACTGGAAATTGCTGAATACAGTAATTTGAAAATTTACTGGAGACATCAATGGGAATATTTTGAATTTTCGTAAATAAGACCTAATGTTTGTCTTAGAATAAATGTAATTGTCAAAAAGGAAGATGTTAATCAACATTTCATTCATCAAGATTCAAATTATGTTTGCTTCTTTTGTACTGCTCAGCCATTTAAGGGGATTTAAACGCTCAAATCATCGATCTGCAAAAATCATCCAACAATAGTGTTTTTAAACTGACTCTGAGAAAAGTTCTCTACAGCTTTTGTAGACGAAAAGTGTTGTTAAACAGTCAATGAGTTGCCGGTAATAATCATTATCCAGCGAATTGTTAATGCAACCACAGAAATGCGTTATTGTCCTGGTTTCCATCGCTTCCTACTTTCTTCTTTGTAAATAAGTTAGCTGCCTTTACAAAGGAATGAAATCCAACAAAGAAGAATTTACGCAATTGCGTTAAAGTTCTGTTAGCTCGCTTTTTGTCTGCACGAGATTAGCACTATGTGAATTTCCCAGAGGCCGAGGATATCAGTGGGATTGTCAATCATAACGAGAGAGCGGGATTTAGAACAATATGTGCTCAAGTCGTTTGGTCCAACTGGGAAATCCCCTGATCACAATACAAATCACCCTCCCCACTGTGCCCCGCTGTCAAGGGAGCTTCGTCTTCTTGTCATGATGCTCGCCGCGGCCTTAGGATTACTCTTTGGGAAACTGAAGTGTTTTCTTTCGTTATCAGCATCAAAATTGACTAAATCTTACGCACAGTATTTTCCCAACATAAAGATAGCCTATAGCACTACTCTGTTCTCCATTCAAGTGCTGCAGTCGTCGCTAGGGGTTGTTTATTCATTACAAGAAACAAACAAAACCAGTCTGCATTGTTGATCTCGTTATTACAAGAATGAAACTGGTTCGATTGACCGTTCATGTCAACTTTTCCATTGAGAGGCTCTAACAATACATTCATTGCAGTTTGAGCTGACTCAATCCCATTTAGCTCGAGTTTCCTTAAAATTAAACTTTTTTATATGAACCATTTTAAAAGAAACCAAGCCTCAAAATTGGCCATAAGTTAAAAACAAAGTGAGAACAGGCTGGGTAAGAGGTGATTTTGAACAGTGTTGATGTCAAAAATGAGGATTTTTTGTCATTCACCCTGGGTAAAAGAGTCTCCATTATTTAGTCTCAGAAATAAAATTAAAAACTAGTCACGGAAAATTTTTTTGAGCAACAATACTTTACCCCCAGATTTAACAGGCTCTGGTACCCAGGGTAGCCATCTAGGGTTTTAAAGGATCTCTCAAGCGCACTGGCTAGCAATTGCACTGCTTACATCCTAATAATTAATAGACAAATTAAGAAAAAACCAGCGTCAATTTTTCGATAAAATCACGAACAGTCTTGAGACAGGGCCTCCAAAGACGCTGCAACGGCTGCCGAGTGAGGGTTTCATGCTCCCTTCTTGTATAATTGCAAAAATATAATACACAGTTTTTATTCATCAGAACCCCTATCTGGGGGCTTTAAGCATTAGTATTTATGCTGATAACGCCTTTTTTCAGTGCACCCCGCATTTCGCAGCAATTTTTTCCGTGGTGTTGGCCTAACCAAGTAAGCTGGTATCTGTAGCCCTGAAGTTAGACAATGGAAGATTGAATACTTGGTTTACAGGTTGCGAACAAAAAAACTGCACTTATTGTAAGGAAACCAGTTTTTGAAGATGCATTTGTTTATCCTGGGTTGCTTGTACAACCATCATTCTGGTATTGCCAGATTCCCTAATGTGGCTCAGTGATGACGTCACGAAGATCCTCTTTTAAGAATTCATGGATTTGAAGCGTGTTTACATTGCAAAATGGGCATAGAGGCACTTGTTTTCCCTTTCAAATCCCTTCAATCTAGTATTGTTCAAAAAATTGAAATGGCAGCAATACTTTGTAAAAATTTCGTGTCTTTCACTGGCCAGAGTTCAACCAATCGGTGCCAGAAATATGAATGATTTTTCAACTATAGAGGTAGTTTTGATGTTCTTTCAGATAAGATACTCAAATTTCAAAAGTTCTAAGAATATGTCATTGTCATTATTCTCTATATATGCTTTACTCATGTTGCCACGAACAGATCTGACTGACCTTCTAAACCCTAATGAGAAACATTAAAAGCATGCAGCATGTTATCCCTCAAACATTTTGGTATCTTAATTTAGGAAACCAGCCCATCTGCTTTCCTGCCGCATTTCCCAGCATTTGATGTGAACAACATGACCAAGTGTTTCTTGCTTCCCATTCATCTTTTCTGTGGTTTCTCTTCGTTAAGAACGACGCAACTGTGTGCTCTCATAAAAATATTTTTATTATTTCTTTAGGATTAATTATTGTTATTCTTCACATACTTTGTTTTGGAGTATTGTTATTATTACACTCGTTTTATTAGCGATGGCTATTTTCGTTTGCTTATTCGCTAAAAGAACTACAAAGGTCAAAACTTGCTTCTCCAGACGACAATTTTTCGCTCATGCTGTTTGTTAGCTAAACTGGTGGAGATTCAAAAATCATGTACTTAACATATGCAAAAGATTGTTAGCGTTTCAGGGGCAGCCTATGAAAACGTCATTCCCTCTGCCCAAAAGCCAAACACCTAGAATCCGAGCAGTTCCTCATTTCACCTACCCTGGGTCAGGCACCGTGGAGCATTGGGGACTGGGGGCTTTAGCCCCCCACTTTTTGCAAAAATGCCAAATATTAAGTATCAAACTACCATAAAAGCCTCTTTTTACACGATTTCAGCCCCCCCACTTTCTTTAGACCCCCACTTTTCTCAACGCTCCGCAGTGCCTGTAGGTGCCAGAGCCTTCAACACCGCAGCCGTCTACAATACTTTATCCCCGCATTTATGAGGCTCGGGTATCTAGGCGATATTTCATCTTGAAAATAATAAATATCATTTAAACTAGCAGTTATAAAGATATTGCTATTTTGAGATCTTTTTAGAGGTAATGATTCAAGTAGCAACCAAAAGGGATTTCTAAGGCATTTCATATCTCCTAGCAACATAGTTTCTTGTCATTGTTTTCTTCACAACAAAACTTCTCTGAATAGAGAGCATAACTTTGACAATCTTATGCTCTTCTGTATCTTTGTCAATGTTTTGCTTGCTCCTTTTTTGAAATGTCCTAATATTGCACCTGTAAAAGTGGGGAATCATGCTGCTCGTGGCACCCTACTCCGTTTGAAATGAATGCAGCTAACGTAAACAGTCGCTACGAAAAATACAAGAAAGAATAGAGAGTACATCACAAAACAGGTTATATTGTTAGTAGCCATTTGAACGATTGTCTTCAAGGAGAAAAGCACTTGTATATCAATTTACTTTAAACAACAAGACAGGTGTTTTGTTTGTTGTTCCTATTTTTGTTTTATTTTACAATTTACTCCGTCTTGTCAAGTTCATGTCGATTTGCTTCTGCTAAGAACTGAAATGAGATTAAAAACGGTTCTGATTAGAGTCAATCTACTTTCATCTGCAGTTTTGTCTGTAGCCATAATGTGCTAGACAGATTTCAGACTTTGCTATCTTCTTGTTTAAAATTTCACAAGAATCCTTATTGTTTCAGGGGATCAACTGTACTTTTTGTTTTATCATTGCTATCTTTTCTTGACAAAGCCAAGAACCGCAGCCTTGCACAAATGTTTACGAACTGCATCTAAATCTTATCTCTTAATCCAAATGTTTATCTTACCAAATCGCCATCATGTGATTTTGGTTGGCATTCCGCAAGGTTCAGGCCTAGGTTCTCTGCCGTTTATTTTATGGCTACGACTCAAATCTTAGCTTTTAAACAATGTAAACTCTTCGTTTTTGATCACACAATTGTATCAATCTCAATTTCTTTACAATTTTGAAACTTTCAATATTCATAGCATTCAATATTAATATACTGGATCCCTCCCTTTAGAAGAAATTCCCTAGATTTTTCACTGGATTCTCATAATTTTCGACGACGTCTATGATAGCCTTTGAAAACTTATTCTAATTGAAATTTAGCAGTTTATGTTTTTTCTCTCTACCTTACAAACTGTACTTGCCTTTGTTAAAAACCTCGGACTGAGTTATTCAATTGTTAAGAGACTACATCAGCACGTTTATTTTATCGATTGAATTAGGCAGGTTTTATGTCATTTTTCATTTAACTATTCTGAACTGAATATTTGTAGCTATAAATACATTCAAAACTTTTTTCTCTGAATCTTTATCCTCGCTGGCTTTAAAACTTGCATGTTCTTTGTGGGTCTGGACTTCTTCTACATGATAAATCCTTTATAGTCTCCAAAAACATTTTTACATAAGTTGTAGGAGACTGCTTCGAGAATCCTGAGGGGAAAGAATTTTTTACTCAAGTTGAGCTTCCTTACTCAAGTTGCCGTTTAAAAACAGGAAGCTTTGTAATATTCATAGCTAGAAACAGCTTGTATCTTTTGGTCATTAAGTTTTTCGTTATTAACGATATACTTTCTAAATAGGAAATAGCATGTAGCATTTTCTTTTCTAGAACAACTTTTTTATTTAGTGATGTAATACCATCGACACTTTTTTCCCACACCGTTTACATCTCACATACTTTCGTGCGTTTTGAAGAGAGCAACCTTTTAAAGAAACTCAACTGACATTGCCATGACGTACAACGTCAGGAGTTTCATTGGAAAAAGACAAACCCAAGTTGTAAAATTAAATGCTTAAGTATATATTAATCGCTTTAAGAGAGCGAATTATGAATTCGACTAGGTATAAAATAGTGTCTCTAATTAAAGCTGCAGGCCTTACAACTTACAATAATGTTGATTCTGAAATTACAGTGGAATCCCGATATTACGAACTCTGAAGGGAACCTGAAAATATTTCCTTATATCGAGAGATCGTTAAATCGAGAGAAAACGTTTTTAGGTATTTTCGTCCTTCATGGTAAAAAACCTCCGTTTGGCTTGTTCACTTCTGTGCAACATTAACAACTGTGCTTTCTTCTGTGCATTCACTTCATTTCAACATTCACTTCTGTGCAACTTCTGTGCACATTAAACTCCAAAAAACCAATCTGAATTCAAATAATACTACTGGTTGGTCATTGAAATTGAAAATCTTAAGCTCTGGTCAAACGAGCCAATATTTCGCCCAACATTTTTCTCGATGTTGGAAGGTGATCCAACGTCGGTGGTCAAACGATCCAACATTTCACCGAACATTTCGCCCAACATTCTCTCACGCAGATCGAAAAGGGACTGGGTAGTAGGTAGCATTGATGTTGCTTAACAACAGTAGGCACACCAGACGCGCTCGGTCGGCACTAGATCATAGTCAGCTAACTGATGTCATACATCTTTGAAACCGAGGACCAATGTTATAAAGGACTAGGTGGAATAAGACGTTTTAAAGAGTTCCCCCGCTAAATTTTACTGTAATCAAGCCTAAAGGCCTTTTTCAGAAACATTGCTTCCTTTTTGTTTTCCAAAGTTTAGAACATTGGCTGAGGTATTGACAGTGGAAATAGTTCCCTTCACCTCCTAACCCTAAACGTAACCTTAAACCTAAACCTGAAACTAACCCTAACCTGTATTTTGCACTCCTTTCCCAGAAACAATTGATTTTTCATAGCTGCTCTTCCTTGATTCACTTAGGGGCCCTTTACATGAGACCCGAAATGAACTCATGCCGGCACGAGTTCGTGCCGGCATGAAAATTCGGTGAAATTTGCTCGCCGTTACATGAAACCCGACATGAAACTGTCGAATTCTTTCGCATGATATTCACGTGACTTCGTGCTTCTCAAAAAAGAGCGGGAAAGTTTGAGAGTAAATTTTTAAAATGGCGGCAGAGGATCCAAGGAAACTTCTTTTGATCACAGTCCTAAATTATCTAGTTTTTACAACTGGTTGCATTGCGCTACAATGCCAAATGCTTCTAGCTATACAGGTATTCTTGCAACAGCAAGAAATTAAAGAAAAGTTAAGAGCTGCGGTTGAAGATAAAATCGCGCCCTTTGCCGTTACAGAGCCATAAGAAATAGATTTTTGAGGAAAAAAAGACGACAATGGAAAAAGCCTGGTCGCACAAGTGCATGGTGGTTAAATGTTTGGGATGGAATTTTAAGCGATGGAGAATGGCATGTTAACTTTAGAATGTCAAGGGAATTTTTTTCAGACTTGTTGTCAGAATTTAGGCCATACATTTCACCAAATCCAAATGCAGCATTTGTGCAACGGAGGCGATTTTATCACTGATTCCCCCCGATATGAAAAACTGATCTGTTTACACGACACTTTCGTGCCGGCATGAAACTTCATGCCGGCACGAAAAAGCGACATGAGATTTTCGTGCCGGCATGAAAACTCATGCCGGCATGAGTTTCATTTCGGTCAACGCCATGTAATCACAATAGTAGCTCAGACCAGCACCCGACATGAAACTCGTGCCGGCATGAAAACTCGTGCCGGCATGAGTTTCGTTTCGGGTCTCATGTAAAGGGCCCCTTACTGATCTATCAGTGGATTCACTGTCTGTCTGTTTGTTGTTCTGAGAAGCGATATCGAGGCTCATTGCATGGCAACAAGAATACAAATTCGTTGCTATATTTGATCGATCTTGTCTTGTTATCAAGAATAATTCTGTCGAGAAGAAGCCTAAAAAATTCCGAAAACAATGTTGAGTAACAGTGGAAAATTCAAGGATAGAAATCCAGATGTTACTGCTGTAAGTTGAATTTTTTTAAATAAATATTTTGCCTTGTTTTCTTGCCACGGTTCAGAGAATAGGCCATTGGAGGCTGTGGCGTTGTACATTATACAGTCCACAAAATTGAGCAGAGAAATATATACTTTATCACTACTGTTTTATCTTAAACTCGGTCTTTTTAATCTGAATTTCTCTTCAAGTTACTCCCTTTTTTCTACGCCTATTTTATTTTTCAACCATCGTTCGTTAATACAAATCGTTACTGGCTCGTGTTATAAATTCTTGAATCTTAAGTCTTTTCTATAATGTTATCTCAAAGATTTTGTAGTTCCTGATATAGTGCACTCAACTTTTGAGGTAACGCTTTTCTGTTTACTGCAGGCTGGTAAATGTTTTACTCTTGGTGAAACTGCAAAGGAATGCCTAAATATTCCCAGAAAGGTATCAGCTCATTTTTCTTCTTAAAATATTAGCATTTTCATGTTTATGTATTTTCAGGAAATAATACACAGTGTGTTTCTTGAATAAAATGATATGTATAGTCAATCCCATTTGGATGTTGTTTAATCCATGCATTTTTTAGAATTTTGTCAGAGAATTCTAAAATTTCCCTACCCATAGAAAAAAGTTGCTCTAGCAACGCATGCACATATTGTGGTGGTAACCATTGAATAAGACAGGTTATTTTTAGGCCCATTTTAAAGCAAAATTTTTCAGCTAACCCTCATTTTTATTTCTTCTTTTGTAAAACATAGCCACTGACCCCTGAACCAGTCCACAAATTCCGTTGTACCACAAACCCAGCTCCTGCCGAAAGAAGAATATTCTATGGCAGATACAGTGATCCAAATATTGCATCTTTGTTGAGTCATGGCATTGATACAAAACCATCTCTAAAGGTGTGTATTGAAGATGGCTGATATCATATCAGTAAAATAACTAGCTACACCTGGCATTTTCAAAAGTACAGATATGTTACAAACTTTATATATGATTATATCATTTAGCAACTATGCAAGTACTTCAAATAATTCAGTGAATTGATTTATATTGTGTAAATTTTGCAATTAGCTAGGCTTATTTAGATTTAATTAATGAATATGAAACATTCCAAATATTGTTTTGCATGTGTTTTAAGCTTTTTCTGTTTTCTTAAGCTAAAAATTATAAGTGACATGTAAAATTCTTTAAAACTGTATTCTTTTAGGCTCGGGATTTGATTTTGCCACGGCCAAAGAGTCTCTATGTGCAGAGATTATGTGATAAAAAGGAAGATCTTTACGCAACTCGCAAAAAAGCCCCTCTAGGTAATTATTTGTGTTTCATTATTTTCTTTGAAAAGCTGTTGCTCTTTATATCTCTTATTCTCTCATTTTCACTGTAATCTTTTACTGTTTAACATGATTTATGATTTCTATGATACCCCTGTTGTCTAAACACTATATGTACTTTTATTTGAAAGTTTGTTTACAAATATGTGGTAACCGAGCATATATAGAAAACCAAAGGTTGGGTTGTCATGGTGATACCCTGAAAGCCCCATAAGGCCCTGGAGTTGGAAATTGGTTTCACAAATACCATTGGATGGGCTGTTGTCCTTATGAACTCATCCACATAGGCATGGTTTTATCAGATGACATTGTATTAGTATAATTCATTGACTTTGTTTTTTCCTCACAACAGGTATCTTTGTTGTTATTTGTATATGATCCTCCTCAACTCAGGTAAATCTAAGTCTCAGATGTTGTTACTTTTACACTCCTTGCCTGTTTATCTAGTTGTTTAAACCTCAAGATGACCTAGGAAACATTTAATTTCGGTAGGAAAATCTCATGATCAGCGAGTTGGATTGCCAAAAGGGGTTGAGCCTTATGATGTTCGATATGGGATAAAGGTCTTTAGGGATTGTACTGCTGGAGAGTTAGTCAATCCTGCAAAATCAAAGAACGAAGTGGAAGTTGAATCTACTCAAGGGTCAGATTTATACATCAAGAGTCATAGTGCATATAGCGTTGGTTAGTACTCATTAACTTTTCAAAACTTTTTGCCAGATTTTTCTTTATGCTTACAAAAGAATTTAGGATTGCCTATATACAAAGATAGCTAAAGTAAATTGTATTATATGATCACCTGCAGCAAATCATAGTGACAGTCTGCAGTTTTAAAAAAAAAAGATTTTCTCTAAGTGTCATTTAGAAAATGCATGGTCGATCAAATTTGGAAATATATAACAACTACAGTATGAAGAAGCCACCTTGGAAATTTTTTTTTGGTGTCTGCACTTTTCTTTGGCTTAAGAGGGCATGTCTCAGAAGCATTTTCAGCTTAACTGGCATGCAAACTTTGATTGATTTGTAGAACCTTTCTAGAAATAAGTGCGCAAGTAGAAAGTCATTCGTTTAGAGGATTTAGGCAAAACTTTTTGGGAATGAAATTGGTACTACCATTAAGTATACACCTATTTATGGGATTGTATCTTTCATAATTTTTAGCCTTTTATAGCCTCTAAAAGATAAGATGGGAACAGCAATTTTTTTTACTCAAAATTTCCTTTTTATTCATTTTTTTTGTTTCAGCATGGGTGGCACCAGGTGGGGGGGGGGGGCTGCTGTGGGGCTCTCTTGCAAAAAAGTGTTTTTGAGAGAATAAAAAGAAAAAATAGAAATAGAAGAAAAGAACAGTGGGATAAATCCTTTACAGTATTGCTTTATTTCAAAGGAATAGGCAGGGGTCTATGGTGCCCCATAAAGTAACGAATTCCATTTTAAGACTGGAATTAATCAAACGTAAAAAACCATGTCTTAAAAATAGCAAAATTTTTGCAACAAAGGAACGCAAAGAATATTCTGAAATGTATTTTAAGCTAGTCTAGAGAGCGTGGTTGCAAAATTTTTCTGCTCGCTTCACTCGCGAGGAAGCCTCCTCTTTGGATATACCTAAGACCCCCGACAACCTATCGCCGGCCTTCCAATGTACCGCTAAATATAACGAGTGCCCCAAAAATTCATTGGCATAGAATATCGTGAAGAATTTCAGTGCGTCTAATAATGTTATCACTTTGGATTTCTTGGCGCCGCCCCTGTTCAGATTCTTTCAAATTTCCTTACCTATTTTGTAGGTGAAACGTATGATAGAAAATATAACTGGTCCCGGATACCAAAAACAAGTTGTTTTGGCAAAGAGACACCACATGACAACAGAGGAAGAAATGTACAAAAAACGCTTAAATGGCTGCACGAAACTCAAAGGTAATAGGGAGTATACTTTGTTTGATTATTAGAATTACCCTTAGGCAAATGCAAGGTTTTAGCTTCAGAATATAGATAACAAAATAAAAGCAAATTTAGTGAACATTTTTTGAAGATATCAGGGGTGTTGGAAGGAATTTCAAATAAGGTATGTCAAAAATTGATACAAGCTGCACAAGTTACATCAAAGGCACCTTGGGGGCTCAGTTTTTAGTATTTTTGGGTCTCGTATAAATACTACATTAAAGGTACCCAAAGAACCCCTTACCTTACCCCCTATCTAATTAAAAGTTTGCAGGTAATACTAGAGAAAATGAGCAGTAGTTTGTTCGATTGTTATCAAAACAACTCGAAAGTGTTTGTCCCTTAAGAATCCATACAACGTAGTCTATTTTTCATAAAGCTTGATAATCTACGCTTTTAGAGTATATAAAGGGACGCTTCAAAGTTGCTACTCCGAGTTTCGCGTTTAATGCGATCATCAAGCAACTTGATTTTCATTATGGATTTTCATACATTTTTAGTGCCAAGGCGGCTCATGTCGTGTCAGAAAGGGTGGACAATTTCAGAGAACGAACACAGCCTCAAGTTGGAACAGTTCATGACCCAATAAAGGAGACAATGCTTGCCAGAGTACCAAGTGACCACACATTTGGTGTTTTGGTCAAACCAGATGAATATGGTGCTGGAGACTTGATACATAACCGAGCGGCTGGGAGGTTTTTGCGAGGAAAAGATAAAGAAAGGGGAGTGCTCGCTGCAATCCGACAACATTTGAAGAAAGCAAATTATCACAATTTTCATGATCTCAATGCAGCATTCAAATTTTATGACAAGGTAAAATTTCAGTTTTTAGATACGAAGCAATCTTTAGTTTTCATAGTTTTTTTGATACGCTTTGATAAATTTACTATCCTAATTGCGGTAATGTCTATACGGTTTAGAATATTGTCTTATTTACTCTAGATATGTAATTAGGACATTGTTGAAGTACTAGATGCTTTTCAACAGCATCTTCCTAGCTTTGCTGCTTTGATAATATTTTTAGTTTAATTAATGCAATAATAGGGTAGAAGATTCAGTCAGTGGCGGATTTAGGGGGGCAACTAGGGGCAGTTGCCCCTCCCTGAACGAGTTGAAGCAAGTCTGGCGCCCCTTTTTTGGAAATTTTGCGCCCCTTTTGAAGAATGAGAATCAGGTGAAATAGTTTCTGAGACCGATAGGCTAATATGCTTCAAGGATTACCTAAAAGTTATGTTGTTTATTCTGAAAATAGATCTGAAATTGTTGTATACAGCGTACTCTCGTCACCAATTTTTGAAACATTTGCGGCGCCCCTACTACTGACTGCCCCTCCTTCAAATTTGCTCTGAATCCGCCCCTGGACTCAGTTATAATGAATATTATACAATACATTTTACCCTGTGTCTTGTTTCTTTAACAGGATAGTTCTGGAAAGATTGACATCAATGAGCTTCGAGAAATTTGCATCCAATTCAACCTTCCAATCGACAAGGAATTGCTCGAAGCTTTGTTTGACTACTGTGACATAGACAAAGATGGACAAATAGATTATATAGAGTTCTCGAATTTCTTGAACTGGAAAGGAAAAATGCCTACAAGGATAAAAAATAAAGATTCAGCAGATGACTCTGATACGAAAAGCGAAGATGAGGCACCAGAAGAGCTGCATAAGCAAATTGATGATGCTGTTGTTGACTTTAAAACTTCATCACAAACAATAAATGCTGTTGTCGGTGGTGTCAAAACTGGCGGTAATGAATTTTCTTGGTTATCAACAGTTACTGTCATACATTTCATTATAACTAGCCATGTTGCAAAATACAATTTTGTCAAGTTTAGGCTGTTTCAACAAAGAGCATTCAGCATGTATGAAGATATTCCAAAATTTTGCTGCTGAATTCTTCGACATTTTTCTACATGCTTAAAAAGTTTTGAAATCAAGATTTAATATGGCAAAACGTTCAGCACGATCGACAATTTTTGAACATTTTCTCATTAATGTTGACGTTGGTTATAAAACTGTTGTTGATTTATTTTCAAGCTGTTTTTGTTCGTGGTTCTTTTTTACTTATCAGTCCATGATGCATACAAGCCACAATATATATACATTTCATGGTCACTCACACATAATTCCAAAATTAATTTCTCATTGCTTGAATTTGATGCTGCATACTAGTGGCCAAATTTTATTCTGTCATCCGAAAATGTCCGACACACATCCGAAGTTCTTCTGTTTATCTGTTCTATGCAATTTGGCATTCCCTTCATTTCGTCCTTTTTTGAAAAATTTTAAAGAAGCATTGGCAATGTTTTAAGTTTTCTTTTCTTTGTTTTCAGATTGGAAATTCAACGGTATCCCAACAATAAGAAGCGATCTTCCGGCGCCGCGTATAAGAAGAATCGGTGATTCAACAGTATGTTTACATATAGCTTGACTGCATAGCCTTATTTGTCTACAGCGATGAGGTTGTTTCCATACACAAAGTAAAACATTCAAATCTTTCATATGCATGCAGATGGCATTTTATAGTTTTTCATTCATATGTTATTTTCATGTTTTCAAACTCATTCACGAAAGATCAATGAAACATAGTCCACCTCTGATTTCAAAATCTGTTATTGTCTTCCGTTTCTGTTTTGGCTATGCAACTCTACGTTGTTGTCTCGGCCTTGTTTTCCATGGGGTCTATTTGAAAGGAAAGTCACCTTAAAGCATCAAGTTCAGCCTCGTTCTTTCAATGAAGGAAACGTTTTTTGAAGCATTTTTAATCACCAAATGTATATACATTGAAAAATTCCAGCTGTTATTCTCAACTCAATGTAAATTGAACTCCTTCTTTTAACTCAAAGGAATTTCATATGCAATGAACTATTTGTACTTCGTTCTATAAACGATGAACAATGAACTATTTGTACTCTTAGTAGATCAAGTGGCGGGAGATTCTATGATTGTTACTTTATTGGCTTTGATTTCTTCGTAGAATTACGGCGACGAATCTAATGCGTACGGGTTAATCAACCCATCAATCTACTCGAATCATGGTGTCTTTGAACGAGATTTCTTTCAAAACCGGGACGAAAACGAAATTCGGCAAATATTTGATAGTATTGGCTTTGCGCTGACAAATGACGATTTTCAAAAAGTTTGGGAAACTGCAAGAGAGAACAGCGACAATGGCAAGGTGGGAAGGAAAGCATGTTCAATGTATTATTTTTTTCATTGTGTGAATTTACAGCCACGATCTGAATTTAAATGGGTTTCTTTCTTGTTCTTAAAAATTAAAGGAAAATAGTTTCGTTTGTGTCTAACTCATTTACTTCATTTAAATGCAATATATTTTAATAGTAATCAGTTAGTTTTGAATTAAATTGCAATAAATTTTGAATTAAGTACACTTGAAATTGAATAAACCGAAAACTTGAAATTGAATAAACATATAAATGTATGCTAAATTTGTATAATAAGATAAGGTGTTTCTAGCTTTTTACCCAGAAATACCATTTTAATAAATGTTAAAATTTCAATTTTAGGTATCCGTTGAGACCTTCAGGCAAATTCTATATGGATCAATTGTGAACAAAGATGAACAGGTAAAGTCAAAGGTTTAAGATCTTTTATAAACATTTTTTCTTCATTTTCCTTAGAATTTCATAATCATATATAGGCCTATCTAGCTGTTTAGTTGGTTTTCCAGTTTACTACTGAATATTGTTCACTAGATTGCAATTTTTGCCCGTTTTCGTTTGCACAACTAGAACGGACAGCACATTGCGATAATCTTAACTGCATTGTCTCTTTATAGTGACGAGAATCATATAAATTTTAATTTTGGATGTCTGGTTTGAATTTATCTTTATTCATTTTAGGATATCGCTGAGGCTGGGCAGGATAACGTAACTACAGTTGTATCTGAACGACCAGAAATTTACAGAAATATCGACTTGAAATACAGCAAGAAGGAAAGCGAATTGAAAGATGGGTTCAAGGAGGCTGAATACGTGAGTACCTCGTATCCAGTCTACACATTTGCTGCTTGAGTTTCTGCTAAAAGATGCTAAAAAGCTCCGTTTATTTTAATAAAATATTTTTGAATAGGAATTTTCATACAGTATTCTTTTCTAGAGTAATGTCACATTGACAGTTGCTTTCGTTTATAAGTTAACAAATTGAATTTTTATCTAGGTATTCATTAGACTCAATAAAGATATTTTTAAGGCAAAGCTAAGTATTGATAACTCTGACTGTCAATTAGCTGCATCAGCTGAGAATTGTTTATACTTCACGTATTGTATATGTTCACAACTTGAGTCAATTTGTTGCCCGGAGAAACAAGATTGTGTGACAGTTATGGTAGGACCTGCTACCTCATTTCGATGATTTTAAATGGCCTAACAGTTTAGGAGAGTAGAAGGTTATTGTCCTGGTAGCTTGGTGGTTTAAGGACACTGAGTTTAGATCATAGCAACTTATGTATACCGAGAGGCTGCAACATCAGGAGGGCTGGGGCGGACACTTCCATTCTCAGGATCCGAAGGAATCAATCCAAATTTAATCTGAAAGGGTAAAGGGGTGAATAAAGCTTTACCGTCACATATCTCAAGATAAGGGTAGGGCTCAACTATTTCGTATTTGCATTTCCAAAGTTTTGAGCGGTAAGGTCACACCAAGAAATAGAGCAAAGGTGCTAGTGCTATGAATATCCTCTCGGTGTCACATGCCCTACCTCAAGGTGATTTATAGGATACAATTTGCCAATATTCCTTCCTGTTTGCAACTTGTTGGTGAAAAACACCTTTCGAAACAATCCATGAACAATTCACCTTTTGAGAAAAGGAATTGAAAAGCACGGAGTTCAAAACAGCCTCAGAGAATGTCCCTGAATGTTGCTCCATCCCGTTCCATCTCGCTTATTTAATACCTGAAATGGATGTTTCACACAGTCTAATAGGACTTTTGTTTAAGGGTTCTCATTCTAACACCTTTGTAGGGTGTTTCCTTCGATCGTTCATGTTGCTTTTTGTAATTTTTGTAATTTGTAATCACACTTCAAGTAATCTGGAATATCAATTTCTTTTGATAGGTCATGGCACAGTGAGAAAGGGGACTTGAAATTTTGTAAAGAATGAAGAACTGCATAATTTCTTGCAACCTTTATCAATTTTGTTCATATGTTTTCAAGTAAAAATAACTCGTATTGATATAATCCATTAAGTCATACTTTATTGATCAATTTTGCTTTTTCTTTCATTTCCACTTTTCGTGATGAGATAATATCTACCGCAATTTTGATTGAAAGTTGTGATCAGATTAAACCAATCGACAAGAGTGCTCATTTATCAGATTAGGGTGAAACTCGTAGTAGCAACATAGAACCGTTCAGTTCTATACGCAAAACGATCCTGAAAAAAATATATCCTATATAATTTTCCAATTCAAATATTTTCTATATTCTATACAAGTAGAATATAGTATATTTATTCAAAGTCTACAAAGGGATATTGACAAGTTGTAGAATCGCTGGTCTCAGCGCTTTGTATAATTTTAAATGACTAACTTTATTACGTACCTGGATGTTCTTTGGTGCTGATGAGCATCGCTTCTGAAAATGCCCCGTAAATGAACTTTTTAAAAACTTTCTGAAACAACTGGACATTTCAAAATCAGGCTTTATGCCCTTTTATGCGTTATGAGATTGCTCTCTGTAGAGCAAGACCGCAAAGCAAATACCGGATCGAGAGGGCTCAAAAGTTTTTGGGAGCTAAAAATGCTGAAAACCAGGAGCAAGGCAATTTTGTATGATATTTTGTACATGGGGATTGTTTGGGAGTTTAAGCCTACTCTAGGGTCTCGTCAACGACTCTTGGTTTCCTTCATCACTGCATCTACAAGAGAAGATCCTTAAATGAATAAAATCCATAACACTACACCTCGATGATAATAAAGTATAACTAAAGCTAATCAATTAAACCTTAATTACAATTTTTCAATCAGCCATTAGCCATCAATCAGTTTAGCACGTCTTTTAAATGCTTTGGGGATATTACGTAAGAGGATGTTTCATGACCTTTAACTTGATCTTTAATTATTAGAGAAATTGTTTCATAAATACGTATTCAAATTCACCAATCATTTATATTTCAATTAGTTTTGAAGATACTTATTTCCTCTACGAAACTTGCCTCATAAATTTCAAGGTTCTTTGTTTTTTGTTCAACTGGCAGAATCATAAAATTTATAGGCTCTCGATGTGTATACAACGCTTTAATACATAGTCTTTGAAACAAAGTGATGGTATATCGCTTAAACCCATACTTCTGTAATGTCATATTTTTATTGGTCAGTATCTTTAAAAAACCTCGTGCACTAGAGGATAAAACAAAACTGAAACCTTCCAAACAAAGATGGAATTTCCAGCAACAGAAAATTCAAGTATAATACGTTGGTAAAAGAAAACCATCCCCTTGACCATTCGTATGTTAATATGATACTTCCTTCTAAGACTTGCTAGAGTTGCTCTTTGAACAAAAGATTTATAACGTCATTTCTGCCTAAACAAAGCTAACGCATAATTGCTACATGCTGCCGCAATTGCTAATTAACGTGGACAGGGATAATTGGAGGTTGTTGTTAATCACCTAATCAGGGGCAAGCTTTTGTTTACAATTAATTTGGCATCAATTCAACTCAATGGAAGACTTCATTCCTTCCTCTTTCAATTTTCTTGGAACGAGAATGGCGTTGTTCAAGGCAGCTTCGAAGCATTTCGTGAAAAGTGCTGGGAATTCAAGCTTGCATAATGTGCCTGACCTAAGTTCAGCTGATAGATTCAATGTCTTGTGCCTTGTTTACAGAAAGAGGTCATTTTGGCCCTGGAAAAAGCCAAAAATTTTACAAACCATGGTGACGTTGAGCGATCTGTTCGAGAAGGTATTAATGCACATCTATCCTATTTGCTTGTCATTTGTCATCTATCCTATATGCTTTATTCTTCGACTTTTTTGTAAAAGCATTATTCCCTATTTGCAAAACCTCTAATTTACTTTTTAAGTTGTGCGTAGCGGGCTCAATATCCCATGTTCACTTTGCTCCACCTGGACACACTTGTTCTTGCATGGGTATGAGATGCTAGTGGTTTATACTGCCCCTGAAAATTGGAGGGAGGTTGCTCTTGTGCAAATTATGCTTAGCCACATCCTAAATAATCCTGGAATTAGGGGAATAACATTGTAGCATCAACACATTAGTATGCCCCTTTTTGGTCCCCAGTATTTTGGTCTTTTTTGGTCTTCTCATTTTTAACCCAGTGTAAAGTCGAGGTAGCTTAGAAATGCAGCTGAGGCATACCTGATAGTTAGCTTTGCTATTGTTATTTACAAAATGAAGCCTTTTTGTTTCATCAATTTCTTATTGTGTGAAAAAGAAACACAGCATGCGAGAACACCAGTGCTATCCCTGCATCAACTTTTAAGACATTTTAATGAAGCACATTGCATTGTTGTTAAAAAAGGAACCACAACATTGTTGGCCTGTGCTGTTAAACAGATAATAATACAGATACAATCATTTTGTCTTCTGGTATTTTGCACCAACACAAACAAATTGAGGGTAGTTTGCTTTGCAAAAGTTTGTGTAATTTATCTCGGGATTCCTCCGTTATAACAACATTGAACCAGAAACTGGTAATTCTTCCATTGTCATCATATGCAAATCATTTTGACTTATGTTTGTTTAAAAAGTGTTAGCAAGGTGTGATGTAATATACTGTGTTTTGAAATATCTGGAAAATTTGACAATGGTGGTCATTAGGAAAATTTTATTCCAAATCTTTAATTTTTTGGTAGACCAAAACTTCTATGTTGATTGCAGGATAAGATTGCCAAAAATGCTTTCAATGAAGGGAGAAATAAATTAATACATCACCAAAAGTCTGCAGTTTGAGACGAGAACTGTATAAGTATTAAGAAATTCTTTCTATGAAAGTGTCAAAATTTCTCCCTATTTTATACAGTTTTTTTGTTAAGATTTTGTGATTTGTTTCTTGTAGCCCCTTTCCACTGCCGAGCTTATATCATCAAAGGTTGTAGCAGAAGGCTATAAAGATACACCTAAATTCAATGCAGATGGTGATATCGGTGCTAAAATTGCATCTGAACTTGATATTGACCTTAGCATGACTGACAAATTCTCTCTGACAGTTGATTTTGGAGATGTGATGAAGACTGAAGTAAACTGGGAACAGTTAGAGAGAGAGCTAGCAAAATCTTTAGTGAATAGCAGTCATGAGATATTTCAACAATTGCATGAGATGAAAAGGTCTTCACTTTGTGTTGTTCTGGAGTCATTGTCATGCAAGAAAGATGCATCATTGGATGAAGAAAGTGATATGACAGGTTTGGAATAGCATGCGATAGATTTAGATACCTTGTTTTTTGCCACACTGTGAGACAGATTTATATACCTTATTCCTTGTCATACTGTGAGACCAAAGAGGTATCATATAAGGGGTTAAGATGCTTGTAAAATCATTAGCTGGTTGGCCAACTCATTGTTTGGTTGGTAAAGTAGCCTGGTTTTTTTGCAAGATTTTTTTATGTATTACTTTAAATAAGCTAGAAGTACACAGATAAGCTTAGTTCTACAATAATTGACTTTTGATGCTTTCTTGGCTTACTTATGTTTATAGAAAGTCCTATATGAAAAATTATATAAATTATATTTTTGTTTTATTTAACAGAGAAAGGAAAAGTAAGTGCAAACATTCCAAAGATCTCAACTGTTTCTGTTGATGTTCACATGCAAGGTGAAGCAGAAGAAGTCTCTCACCATTCTTATAATATTCCTGCTGGCACAGTAATTGCTTTTAGCTGCAATAAATTGGACCTGAACTCTAGTGGATTCCTTTCTATGCATGTTGGTGTAGACAAGGTTGATAACCAAGAAGGGAAATATGCAGATGCTAGCGATAAAAGCCAATGTATCAAAGCTGAATTAGCACCATTGGTAGAGTCAAAGGATGTTTCAGATATTAAGGCGGCTGTGATGAATATATTGAAAAAGCCACAAACTTTGGATGACATGCTTGAGCTAGTAAGGGAGCATTTATTTTCTCATAATAAAAATCTGCATATTGTGCCTGCAACATAATATTACTAGGATCAACAGGGCCATCACAAGGCAAGCCTTGTTTTTTTTGGGGGAGAGGGGGGGGGGGGTGTTGTGAACTACAAATTTACCTGACTAAAAAATTTTTGCCTGAAATTCTTT